ATTTCAACATATCAAAACCATTGATTACAGTCGAATTGGGTAGATTTTCATTCCAAAATGAGAATAGGTCAAAATTTCTTTGTTCAGCATTGAAATCTTTGTTAAAATAATCTTTCTTTACAAATAAAACATGTTTGATCCTTAGACCTTATATATTCTGTGAATGATGTGATCAATTATACCTTATACCAAAATGATCAAATTGAGTTATGATACACTACACAAGTCTTCATTTTTCTACTAATTTCACCACCACAAATGCTTTTGTACTTGATTCTTTATCCAATTCATTCTAGCTTGAATAACTACATATTCTAATCAAATTGAGAGGAGCATCATTGACAACCATAGACAACCATTGTACAACCACAAATCAGAGAGAATATTAAAATGTTTTATATCAGAAATCAGTTGATATTATAGTCTTTGTATTTAACAAAGTTATATTGTGTAATGCCCTATCATAATTCTTTATAAAACATCATCACATGTAATTATATTATATTTACCTTTGTTTATACTGGAATAACACACATTCCCTTTTTCAATAAACAATTAAAAATACTTGAAAATAATGATTTTCAAAGATTCAGAGAAAGTAACAATTTAATTTTTTGTTGTTTTATCAAGCCTTTAATAAGAGCTTTAAACCACATGGAATTCACATGCACCATTCAACATAAAAATTTAAACAGCAAACATTAACAGATTATTTAACAGATAACTTTTGACGGAAAAACAGAAAGGTAATTTGAGTTCAAAACTTCTCATTTACTTTTCATATCAAGCAAACTTTCAAAAAATATTTTTTTCTCATCTGCATTTTTCTGTAGTAACTTTAAGTTGTTTTTCAGCCCAAGATAAAAATCTATGTGTAGTGTACAGAATGGGTATAAAGAATGTATTGTGATGTAGATAGGTACAATGATTAAGATAATATTGAAGTAAATACAGAATGAATACACCAGTAATCACATATAATATACCTCAAGTATCTTATCTAAACTAAATGCATTAAAAGAGTGTTAGATTGACTGTGACTTATGTAAATAGGGTAGACTGTAACAGCAAGTCGATATAAAGGTTAACTATTACACGGCTTGTTCAGTGAATAGGGTTAGTGTTAGGATGAGGCGTTAAGTATTGCTAGTGTTTTATCAAAGGATTTTTATCGATTTCCTAGCTCATTAAGTAATCAATACGTTCAACAACTTATCTAATATCTTATAATTATGATTAATATATTAACATAGACAACCATCTTTATACGTAATTAACATTGATTTTAACAGAGGATATCATTTTTCTAAAGGAAAATTCTAATATTTTCTAAATACCTTAGAAAAGATTCCATTGTTTAAAATTACAACAAGCAATATAATCCTTACACTGATTACAATTGGTCTACACCATTATAGTATAAATATCAATCCAAACTACTTTTTATTTTGGATAGGTTATTCAATGTTTTCATACTTTCTTAGGTGGAAAGTCAATTAAGCACAGTTTGAACAAAATGGTGGCATCACACTTCCTTCATCATTTCCTATTGAAAACCAATGAGACTACAAAACTTCATAAAGAATTGCCATCATACACAACTTAACTCAGTAACAATATACTTATACATTATTGATATACCCCTGGTTATTTCATTGTTATATTTATTGTGATATATAATGAGTTCAAAGAAAATATCACCTACTTACTGTATGAATATCTATCAGGTGATAATACACTCACTGGTAACACATCATAATCATATCATTATCATATAACATTATTACCTACATTACTTTATAATTTAAATATTCAATGACTTTTCATTTATTTACTTTATTGACTTATTGATGGCATATTACTCTGAAAACAGATAAGGACATTTTCATTAAGATGATTAGAAGTAGGGATTAATCTGTACTTAACTCAGATAATCTGACATGATAATTATCTATGTGGTTAACCAATAATTACAAACTTCCATCTCCTGTTGTTTAGTTAAATATTACTGAAAATTATCGAACTATAAGTTCATGATCTAGCACTTCTCAGGTCTAAGCACGATCAGAAGAATTCGTTTGATGCAATTTGTCTTTAAAACTAAAAATGCAAATGGCGTAAAGAAAATAGAGAAAAGTGATCATTCTTGTATTTAAACTTATGACTTGTGTTATATGATATTGAGATCAACAGACAACACATACTGATCTTACTTCTCTCCTCTCATAAATAAATAGAAAGATAAGTAAATAATATGTGATAATGATATGAATATTGTGAAAACAGATTATATTTGAGCCAAGTTAATCTGTGGGTAGAAGATAGATTAGGAGATTATAATAACTTGATGTATTGTAATTGATATACACTAGATCAATAAAGTGTTAATCTGCTTTGTCAATATCAAGTTATTTATAACATAAAGTATATTATAATATAAAATGTCATCTTAATCATCATAATAATCTATAGTCCTAAGCCATTATTGTTATTCATGCATTTACAGAATAATCCTTTTAGTTCTCTACCAAATTAACTTCATATAAATATCTAGGACATTCCTAATTTCTTATTACCCACTGCAAGTTTATGTTCAACTGCAAAAATGCACAAATAAAGCAAAACTACCGCATATATATCATACTATATAGGCATAAAATATCAAACAAAGGTACATTAATCATATAATTTGTGACAGGTAATAATCAATGTAATCATAACACATGAATATGTATGTTGGCCTACTGATGTATATCACCCTGCTGCATTATAACAATTTGTAAACCATAGCCTTCTAAAATGGCATAATATTCAGATACTTCAAAGCACTGAAAATCATAAGTATACTTAAAAAATTAGAGAAAATTTCACAGAGGTAAAACAGTTAGTATTAAAACTTAAAACTGAGTGCAGTCTTAAGAGTGAATGAAAACTATTTGTAGAAGTCTTTTATCAAGTAAAAAATAACTGTTACATTACCTGATAGAGGATAGTATCCATGTAATCCTGCAGCAGCCGCAGCTGCATATTGAGGAAATATATAATTAGAGTTACCCCCATTATAAATATTATTCATTGACATTGTTAAACCACTAACATCAATCTTTATAGCCCGATATTAACACTAATATGTCCTAATCATCTAGCCTTTAGCCATGATTGATGAAAGCGTCTGACTCAATGAGCCAAAACTGCCCTCAGGGTTAACAGCTCTGACCTCACACACCTTCTGTCCAACAAGAAATGTTGTGTAAACCTTACAGTTAATCTGTTAAACAAGTCTGTCAGCTTGTTCACCTTAAACACACTACACTGATACCAGAATCCTTTCACTTTACACCAACCTGTCACCTTCCTCTACGCCTTACCAACATATCAACCTCTCACCCCCTTAAACCATTGTAATGAACTCATCCTGTGCAGTATCATATAAATACTAAAGCAGCTGTTATTTCTCTCCAGGGATAATAGGATAGATTGACGTACACCGCTAATCACATAGTTTAATACTAACACATAACATGATGTGTTGGTAGCTGGCTGTCCTGATCTTATAGTCTTATTTCCTACCCAATGTATTGATCAAAATAAGAGTATAATAACACTAACATTAATCATGTATACCATGTCTCATTACCACTATAACCTAACTGCCATTCACCATACACATACCAAATAATTCAAGCTTGTTAAATTGATCATTTGCTTCTTAGTGGTTAATTAACACCATAGGAGCCTTCAACTATATACAGCACTTGATACAATGCAAGTTTTTATTTATGGGATATCAAAAAAGGGAAAAGCAAGAAATATGATGCTTAAAATAGATATCAATTAAAATCTTTTATTTCCTTAATATAAAGAATATCCTGAATACAATATCGTGATCATGACTAATTCATATCTTTTCAATACCATAAGCAATGTCTAATTCGAATCATTAAAGTTCAGTTTATACTATAATACACTACTGGGCTAATAGAGATAGAAAGTTTCATGCAGCAGCAGTGTGCAAAAAGAATATTTGTTAGATGATAGAACCACTGTCCCTTTTTGATTATAAGCTGTGGTTCAGGACAAATAGTATTTTCAATCCCAATGCATGATTGTTTTCCAAGCCATGTATGCCATTAAAATCTCCAATTTAAGAAGTGCAGATATGCCATGATGGATTTAAAATTGCCAAGAGAGCTGAGAACGCACATTCCATTATATATTTGCTTTGATTTGCTTAGAATCAAATATCCGATCTTAATTTCAAGAAGTGACGCACATTGACCTCTATCAGGTAAAATAGCAACACATTTAGACAAATATTTCCTTTTTAGAAAAAGAAACTTCAATTTGCACCATGATGTTCTACCAAAAATCGGTATCCTATAGCTTGGTCTTGCATCAATACTTTATAATACCAGGCATACTTAACAAGCATGTTCAGACATACAATCATCCAACCAAATAAAGAAGAAACGAGAAATACAAGATGCATTCTTGAATATAGCAGTTAGTCAATCAATCAACAAAAAATTACTAGTAATAACATTTTGTTATTATCCACGATTATACAGATATAAAAATTTCTTGAAACTTTGATGATAAAGGAGACTTCTCTTCCAATAGCCATCATAATCATTGCGATATCCCAATATAGCCAGTAATGATACATATGCCATCTCACACTTTTTTTTTTTTTTGTGGTATCTTAAAATTCAATTGCATATTCTACAGCCTATTCTGGCAAAGTCAGTAGAAAATTAAAAAAAAAAATGCATATGGCAGCTTATTTTGAAGTATTTTGCTTAAGTAAAAGGTCAATATCTTTAAGATAATTGGTCATAACATAACAAAAAAAACATATGCCATGTGAACAAAGGTTTCTTGTCACACTAATGTGAAAAGTGCTTATAGTGGAATGTAAATAAATAATAATTTATAAATAGAAATATTATCACCATCTGTCACCTAACAAAAATCTATAGATTTATTTATTTTCACAATTATTACCATGTCACTACTCTGCAGTCTCTAATACCTAATGAATAAATCAATCCATTTTTCTCAGGAATATTTTACAAGCCTTAAAGCACAACCCATATTTGTACTATATTGAAAGAATAAAAAGATAGCTTGCCAGGCAAGGTAACATACACCCATTACCAGAAATAATAACAAAATCCTTAGTGGCTTAATAATGAATTTTCAAATAATCTTAAAATCATCTTTAAGTCAAGGCAAAAATCTGAAACAGTTCATCAAGATAACATAAAATTCAAACAATGTCTCATCGCTGTACACACAAGGACTGAAACTGTTCATCCGATTATTACAAACGTCAAGGGCAATAACTCTGAAATGATTCATCCGATAATACCTATTTCGAACTTGACTGAGATCTCATCAATATATACATGCATGCGAAGTTTCATCAAGATCAGACAAAACCTGTAGTCTCTATCGTGTCTACAAGCCATATTTGACATGTTTTTAAAAAGTCAAGGGCAATAACTCTGAAACCATTCATTCGATTATTACCAAGCCAATTTCGAACATGACTGAGATCCCATCAATATATACATGCATACCAAGATCAGATAAAAACTGTAGTCTCTGTCATGCCTACAAGGCAAATTTGTCACGTTTTTCTAAGTCATGGGCAATAACTCTGAAACAATTCATTCGATTATTACCAATCTCGAACTTGACTGAGATTTCATCAATACATACATGCATACCAAGTTTCATGAAGATCAGATAAAAACTGTAGTCTCTATCATGCCTACAAGGCAAATTTGACGCGTTTTTACTTAGTCAAGGGCAATAACTCTGAAACAATTCATCTGATTATTACCAATTTCAAACTTGATTGAGATTTCATCAATACATTACATGCAAACCAAGTTTCATGAAGATGGGATAAAAACAGTAGTCTCTTTCGTGCCTACAAGGCAAATTTGATGCGTTTTTACTAAGTCAAGGGCAATAACTCTCAAACCATTCAACTGATTATTACCAATTTCAAACTTGTCTGAGATCTTATCAATATATATATGCATGCCGAGTTTCATCAAGATCAGATAACAAGTGGTTGCCTAGCAAGATACGCCCACATCCTCATACATTTTCAGTATATCAAGGGAAGTCACCTATCTGTGTCAAATCATACCAAAAATCTAATTTGTGCAAGATGTTGTTGATTTAAACTAACACACATTATTTAATAAAATTCTGACATAAACTGTCACCTCTATCGCCAACAAATTTTGATGAGTTTTTACTAAGTCATGGGCAATAACTCAATTTCTGTTGATCGAAAAATTGTCAAATTCAATTTAGACTAAGATCTCATCATTATAAATGATCATACCAAATTTCATTTAAATCAGATGAAAACTGTACTCTCTATTGTGTTCACAAACAAATTTTGACACGTTTTTCATAAATCAAGGGCAATAGCTCAAAAACCATTCATCGAAAAATCGTGAATATCTCATCAATATAAATGATCACACCAAATTTCATTCAAATCAGATGAAAACTGTAGTCTCTATCGCGTTCACAAGCCAATATTGACGCGTTTGGCTAAGTCAAGAGCAATAACTCAAAACAGTCCATCGAAAAATCGTGGTTATCGAACTTGTCCAAGATCTCATCAATATAAATGATCACACCAAATTTCATTCGAATTAGATGAAAACTGTAGTCTCTATCGCGTTCACAAGCCAATTGTGGACAGACGGACGGACGGACATGGGTGACGACAATAATGTGGGCGTAAAAGAACTGTAGTCTCTATCTTGCCTACAAGCCAAATTTGATGCGATTTTACTAAGTCAAAGGCAATAACTCTGAAACCGTTCAACCGATTATTACCAATTGCGAACTTGTCCGAGATTTCATTAATATACAAGAAATGTTAACAGGCGGACAGACCAACCGACGGACACAGGCGACGCCAATACAAATGTGGTCGTATAAAAAGCATTGAACCAATAAGTGACCACTAAAAAAACTGTAGTTCAAAACTTTCATCTGAAGCACACATTTTCTGGCGTACTTAAATCGTAAATTCTAAGATTTAACAGAATATGCACTAGAAAGATTTTGATTCGGCATGTGATCTGGTTTTCAGTAAATTGAGAGAAAGAGGTTTTTCAAGATTTTTTTTTTTGCGCAAAATTAAGAATGACACTATTTTAGAGATTCAAAAGCAAAATAATATCCCCCCACCCCACCTCCTAATGGCTTTGGCTCTATACCATATGGAGGTTCTAGGTGTCGTACTTGCAAATATGTACGTTCTTCTCATCATATTTAAAATAAGAAAAGCAGAAAAATATCTGAGATGTCAGACGTTCTCTCTTGTATAGATAAATTTACCTAATTACTTGTAAAAAATGCGATGTGCAATATATTGGTGAAACCCAAAATGCATAATTGTTTTAGTGGCCATCTTTCGATATACTTCATAACAAAAGAAATAACCAATAGCGTATCATTTCAACCTACCCAATCATTCCATTGAAGATTTTCTTGTCTTCCAATAAAAAAAAGTTCCTATTACCTGCTGATAAACCTAAAACTAAGTGATTGCAGAGAGAGAGTATCTGGATTGACCAATTGAAAACCTTTGTACCTAGTGGTCTAAATATGACAATCAAATCATACTCTTTGTTGCAACCTATGATTCCATTGCCAAAAATGCTTCTCTGATTGCCGAACAATATTGAAAGGAACTTCAAGATCAATTTCCAATTATTTTCACTACACTTTTACTGCTTTTAAGAGAAACAAAAATTCAAGTAATTTACTTGTCTATAACAAATCAGACCGCATTCCATTAACTCTCTGAAACAATAGCATTAATTGTTTTTGATTATTTGTAAGCATTATTTCAGTCTTTTCATAATTTACATTGTGGTAATTTCTCTATGCACACAGTGCAGAACATTTATAGAAGCATTTCAAAATTGATGTAAAAGAAGTATGTTTTCTTCTTGTGACCTTGGCCAGTGCTTCTGGTAGGGCAATAACTTACAATGCAATTATCCAAAAATCACATTCATCTAAGTTCTCATCAATATTGTTTTTCGCAAGCCAATTTAGAGATTAGGGTGGTTGAAAGATAACAAGTTACTATTCAACAAAAGACACTGATCGTACACAGGGCTAAAGCAGTGTTCACTATTGTTAAGGCTAGACATTTTGGAGGAATGTTGGTACGGTAAACAGTGATAATTACACTTGGAGATCTGAATATTATACATACAAATACTAAGTCAAGGGCAATACCATTAGAGTCATCTTAGATCTCATTAATATGCATGAGCATAGTACCAAAATTCCATGTCAAAATCCAAACATAACTGTCAATCTGATACATTTGACAACAAAAATATTTTCTGTGTTGGATTGCTGATTAAAGAGATTGTAAAGAGGTTTTCTAAATTCTTCATGCGTTTTGGGAACACAGATAGCATCAATTTGCACCATTCCAATTTTCCTGGTTCCTGCAATTCCACTTTGTGATGTCACCCCCGCAAAATTTACTTGTATCACACAAAACCTTTGCAGGGATGACATCATAAAACACTTAAATTGTTAGAACTACAGACGTGGAATGGTTCAAATTGATGATATTATTGTCTCCATACACATAAAAAATTTAGAAAACCTCTTTACGCTCCCTTTAAGTTGTGATTTAGAACACTTTCTTGCTTCCAGACGATTCTTATAAATATTATGTGATTTTCATCATTTCATGCCATGAAATATTTCAATACATTATCATAACAGTGTAAGGTAGATAACTCTTGTTTAGAAAAAGTAATGAAACTGGTAACATTACTGCACAAACTTAAGAAACCGAACAGGAGTAACAATTCTAAACACCACAAAAAAGTTCCAGTGCGTGGGGAAAATATGTGAACATGATAAAGATAGAAATCAAAACTGAGTTGGCTTGACTTACCCTAACATACAGAGTCTTTGAAGCATGTTGTAATGTATCTAATGCCATTGTTTATACTATAACAATATTTTGTACATTGATGACAGTAGTATTATAGAGTTGTCTAATATTATAATAGAGAAAAGTTTGTGATAAATAAATGATGTAAACTCACCTTCTCTCTCTTGCTGTTTACGATTTAAATATGATGAGCTGTTAGATTTCTCTTCCATATCATGACAAATAACTACTTCTTCAGTTCTCATCTGTAAAAACAAAAAGTTTATCAACAATACTTTCCTAAATAATATATACCTATCGTCTACAGTTTTTGTTTTAATGTCATTTTAACACACCTTTCTTTTGGGGTTCCTAATTCATTTATATATAATATATATTCAATTATTGGACGGCTAATACTCATTAAATCTAAAGTAGATGTGTTCTAATGATCTGGAAAAATACCAGTCGAAGAGAATGTAGACAAATTTTCTGACCAGTGACTGCCATAGACAATCAATTTCTAATTACTATCCACTCTGTAAAGCCATGTACATTTATGATTGGTTACAACTCTTAACCATATCCAACTGCTACTAAAGTATTTTGTGCTCCGTTTATTATCTCCAGCAACAGGACAGATTATTTTTCAATTTCATTTTGCAAAAATAGGCCTATAATAAACTAATTTAAATCAGTTTTAACTTTCCATATCTCCTTACAAATAGATTTTGCTCATAATACAAAATAAAAAAAATAGGGCCAGTAAATAGAGCTCTATATCATTTGGTGATGTAAACATACATTTCTTATGATTAAGAAAACAATTGGGTCACTCATTTTGAACACCAATAATAATATAGTTTTCTTGATTTTACTCTTAACAATGTGAAAAGCCATCTTAAATATATATCATATTTATTTCTTTTCATTGCATACACTCATGCAAAAAAGGCTAGTACTGCTATATTGGAAATTTAAACTATCAAATCCGTCCTAGAAGTGTACTAATAAAGGTAAGTAATTCTTGTAATATAATAATAGAGCCAGGGTAATTGTTGCTAATTAAAACACTAATTACTTATATTACAGTACCACATCCAAATTGTAATTTTCAACTTGCAAATAACTACTTCCTTGATAACTTAGAAACTAGAAGGAATTGGTTTAATTCTAAAAAAAAATGAAGCTGGATAGAAAAAATTACCTGTTGATCACAGCCATCATATGATATCTCCTCAATATTTGGTGGTTGTTGCATCCAATTGTATTTACGTAATTCAACAGGTACACCCATTCTTTCATATTCTGCATTCTGATGCATCAGACTATAATAACATGTATCACAGGAAGCAATTCCTTCACCATTATCAATTATTAGAGAATATGGAGGTGCCTTGTGTTCTTTAAGGAAAGGAAACTTTATCACTTCTAAAGTTCTGACTTTACATTTTTCCACTGACTTGCCACAAACATAACAGACAAAATCTGAAACGCTATATTTGCGTAGCCATCGATTTTGATCAGTTGGATTGTTTGATTCTTCATATTCTTTCCATTGCATGAGTAAGCTATGGAAGCAATAAGTACAGGATATAACTGTTCCATCATCTGTCATCGGATCTGAATTTGGTGCATTATCCCGGTTTGCTAAAAATGGGAAAAAAGGCAAGACAATACTATTGTGTGATTTGGCTTCATGACGGGTGGGATAAGAGCACAGCATATGAGCTTTGGTTATCAAAGACTTCTCACCGCAAATAAAACATACTTTCTTAGGTAAGGAACTGGCCTGTTGTAAAGGGTGGGGTATGGTATTAGTTGGTTGCTGAGCTCCAGATTGTTGCCTGTCTAGCTTACTTGGTGACGAAGTGCAGGTTGTTTGTCCACCCGTATCCAGTGAACGTGATGGTTGAGCAGCAATAGCTAACAAACCATGGTTTCCCCCTGATACAGCAGTTTGAGGACTTTTACTAATGTGGATATTCAAAGGTTGAGTGACATCTGAACTTTTCAATGAACTTTTAGAGTTGCTAGATTCACCATCTTCTACATTTGGGCGGTCATTATTTGGAGGCTCATGGACGGCATCTCTTCCATTTATTGGGAGCAAAGAGTATCTTCTTTTTAACGGTGGTAGTTGCTCCAATTCATAATGTTGCCACTGAGTTTGTAAATTTGTGTGGCAATTTGTGCAGCATAAAACAGATCCATCTGGATTCAAAGGTCTTGCACCTTGAGGTCGCCTTAATTCTCTGATAAACGGAAAAAACATTTGATTTTTACTTCCAGATATAAATAAGGGTTTAACAGAAGCACATGGCCAGGGCTGACCACATAAATAACATATTTCTGTTCCACTTGTTTTATCTTTTCTTGACATTTCTGTAGTGAGTGAAGAAGAAAGTCCAATATAGTTTTCTTTCATTTTATAAAGTCTTGCACTTAAAGGAGTACCAGCTCGTTCATATGATAGCCATTGAGTAACTAATGATTCAAAACAACCATTACATACCCTTGTGACACCCTGGTGATTAAGAGGTGTAGATCCTCGAGGGGGCGCTAAAGTTTCTAAAAATGGAAAATAAGGTTCATTAGCAGCATGTTTGATGGCAGATACAATCTTGCAGTTTGAGAGTTGACTGTCAAGAGCACATGTAAAGCAAACAAAAACATCTTTTTGGCTTAAAGAACCTTTGGACGAATTTGGTCTAGTTTCAGATGGTTTGTTCGTGACTGATAAATCTAAAGCTCCATCAGGATTGTTAGATGGGACATCCTTGTACACTTTTGATCTGGACGGCTGTGATTGATGAGGCAGTTGAGATCTTGGTAATCCATCTCTTGAATAAGAGGCATCCTCAGGGCTGACTGGTTCATAACCATCATTTGTTTGATACTGTAGACCCATGACTTGAGCCATGTACTCTCCTTGGAACTTCATCTCAGCTCCTGTAAAATGACCATTATCTGATCGTTTTAACCAATATAATCGCTTTATAGCTGGAGTTTTATTTCTTTCATAAGAGTCCCATTGTTGTCTCAAAAATGAATAACAAACTTTACAACTATCCACAATACCATCAGCACCAGGTAATCGAGAGCCTTTAGGTGGTTCATGTTGTTCTAGGAACGGAAAGTAAGGTCCTTTATCCTTTTGTTTAATATTAAGAGGCAAATCAGCACCTATATTGCCACACACAAAACAAACTACCCTGCTTGGCATTGTGTAATGTTATCAGCAAAGCAGTCCTATCACAATTTTTGCTTCAATAAATTTATATGTCTGTTCAGTTCAAAGTATAAATAGATCATAGAAAAAGTCTTTTTTAATTCATAACTTTCCTCATTCAACTCTCAAAATAGTTCAAGAACCAGCGACACACATAATATTACTATATCTAGTTTTCAAATTTTAATATCACTACTCATTACACACAGAAAACATTGGGGAATCCCTTCATTAAATACTTGGCCTGAATCACACCAGTGACAGTGGAAAATTACTTCCATTGTTCTATTTTTTCCATTTCATCGTCAAGTATTAGGCTTGCAGTATTTCTGTATGCACTAGTTGTAATGAACAGTAACTGGGTAGACTTTTAAATCGGAATTTGTTAAAGAAGAAAACGTAGATCATAAACTATTTTCTTCTGATTAATACTATGAAACTCGCGGAATTCCCTACACAAATCTCTCAGATTCCGCCATGTTGGAACATCTGTTTGAGCACAATCCCACAATGCATAGGATAATTAGACCGTAACGAGCTAAATTAGGTCAAACAACAAAGGGACCAATTGTAAACAAATCGAAATTACACCTAATGTTGTATGTTTTGTGAAGACATGAATAACATTGGTAAAAATGGCATTTTCAAGAATTGGAAAATTTGGAATTGTTGCTCGAGCAATTACTTAATAACTTATATTAACGTACGCGCACCTGCCGAGATTGACAGGTGCTTGTGCATGTACAAGACAACTCGGACCACTTTACATAACATACTCGGACAACTTTTCATAACAGACACAGACCACTTTTTTGAGCCGGTATCATACCATGATAGCCACTGTAAAGCATTTTTCCAAATCCATAGCTGTATTTACTTTTGAATCAAATCTGACCATAATTTTACTTTTTATATCAAATGTTACCATAATTAATTTTATCTTTTTCAAATCTCAAATTCAGTATACGCTTTATTATTAAGAATATAAGGTTTTATAAGAGATACACTATCGCTGGTCTAGGTCAAAAGTAGAGACTGTGGAGTTAGTAATAGACCAAAAGGCTTCAACATCGGAATAATGATCGATGAAATATATATATATATATACATTTTTAGATTTGTTTTAACAAGTTTTTGCTTTTTAGATTAGAATTTTCATTCTTTCATTATTTTAATCATAACCATTTTTAACTATTGTTTACACTATAATAACTATCTCATTCTTTGATTTTGTTTCCTACTTCATTTGATTTGAATCCTTAATGTATATGAATAGTCTTCAAAATTAATATAAAAAATTTCAAAAATCGCTATACTTCAAACTATAGGAATTTCACTTTCAACATACAGCTCCGATTTCAATATTTGAAGGTTGAGCCGTGAACAATACTAGTATTACTGATGGGCTTATCTAAAGAAAAATTAAGTACCTTGACATAACTCGGCTTTGATACCCAAATGTTGAATCAAAGTCGATTTTAGCACTTTATCACACGATGAGTTAACTAAAGTAAAAGCAAAGCCGATTTTAAGTTACATAATCGGACAAAGAAATAAATGGGCATTGCTCTCCTGTAGGCACGAGCCTGACTTTATCGCACGATGAGATAAATAGTTTTGTTGCATTTTCCAAAAAAAGAGTTGATCAGTGAGAGTTACTTAAATGGTTGATGCATCAAATTCTTAAATAATGGTCTTATTATTGGCGTTGACCAAAGATTATCTTTAATTTTGTGAATAGTTACATAGTTTTATGGATTTATTATGTTGATTTTAGCTAAGACTAAAAAATTCAAATTTTGATCATCCTTAAAGAGGTAGTGTTCCTTTAAAAGAAGGTTATCGATTCATGGTTTTTCAGAGTTTATGCCAATTTGTGTTCAGAGAGAACGTCGTTTTACTTGTTACCCTATATAATGGCCAACTCGATTTTGATGTCCGGTTGATGTAAATCTATATCGTAGCTGTTTCTAGCATTTTTCAGTCCACTTTCTTCTTTTCCTTAAAAGATAGCTTGCCAGGCAAGGTAATATACGCCCATTGGCAGCTTTGATTTTTAATAAAAATATTTATCACCAGTATGAAATATACAACCTTCAGTCATACACTTCTTTTGAACTCTTTGGGCGATACTGAATAATATTGAGTATGAGTTATTGCCCTTGTTCTTGAAAACGTGTTCAATTTTTAGCTCGTGAACACTCCAGAAGGCAGATATTCAATCTTTAGCTCGGGACTGAATAATAAAACCAAGTATTGTCAAAATCCAGCAACAATCATGCCTTTTAGTGTTTTAGAGCTAAATTTGAAGACGTTTTAGGGTTCATCCTTGGGTGGTTAGGAACAATCACACTAAGTTTCGTCAAAATCCGTCAAGAATTGTCCCTTCTAGAGTGTTTACAAGCTAAAAATTGAACGCGTTTTCAAGAACAAGGACAATAACTCATATTAAATATTTTTCGATTCTTCTGATTTTCAATAGAGTTTATCCTTGGGTGATTACGAACACTCGTGCCAATTTCCGTTAAAATCCACCAAGAACTGTCCGTGTTTACGAGCTAAATATTGAACGCGTTTTCAAGAACAAGGGCAATAGCTTATACTAAATATTTTTCGATTCTTCTGATTTTCAGTAGGGTTCATCCTTGGGTGATTCCCAACACTCATTCCAAGTTTTGTCAAAATCCACCAAGAATTGTGTCTTGTAGAGTGTTTACGAGCAATTGTACGTAAACGTACGGACCGACCGACGGACGGCAATATAGCCCCCCATTTCACGTGGGCGTATAAACATGAGTCTAGAATTCCGTTCCTTGTTCTCAATATTTAAAGTTGTCATGACAAAATGATGACCAGTGACCTTAAGAAACCCACCCATACCGACAAATATATCCATGCCGATTTCAACCATCTTGTCCAAAACAAAGCCGTCATCCATCTTTGATGGAAAATCCAATTTCATATGCAGCTTAGAAAACCTCACAGATGAAGTCATTCAACCACTCCGAGGCTGTCTTCACCTCCAATGGCAATACCCTCCCAATCATACCGATAATTAAGATCGTGACAACAATGCTGAAAATCCATTAAGATAGCTTGCCAGGCAAGGTAATATACACCCACTGGTCAGCTTTGATTTTAAATAAATATATTTGGCAGGACAGTTACCAGTTTGATATATTCAACTTTGGAGTTATGACTGACTGGAGGAACATCGCCTCGCCTCGTAATGCTAACGATCAATCAACGCGTCATTACTCCGAGATTCAACCTTCGGTCATACACTTTTTTAACTTTTTGAGGCGATGCTGAATAATATTTACAAGCCTACTAGCCGTGGTTGGATACACTAGTTGAAAATCGAACAAGCACGATTCTCACTATACTACACTATACGCAGGTATACTTCGTTTTCGATTAGTGTCTTCTTATGTGACCAGGTATTATGAAATTACCTTGTTCGATTTTTAGGTACAGTGGTGTAACCTATTTTCGTGGATATAAATTTCGTCAGAGTTAAAAAAACGAATTTTTTTTTTATGTCTTAGATGTTTCTTCAGATATTCTACAGTATAATTAAAATTGGTTTATTTCGATTTTCTTTATGAATCCCTCACCTTGACCCATATTTTATGAGCAACCAACTCGGCAACGGCGGCAGAATGCGTCACCTATTTTCGTGTACAATGTTTGATCTATAAATAAGTCTAGAAAAACACGTTGTATGGATACCGGGTGGTATAATTAACTTCTCTTAGTATTTATCTTTAATATCAATTCATTATAATTAGTGACAACTCCTTCAAAGAACCACGATTTTAAAAAAAAAATAGTGACTGACAAAATAAGATACGTAGCGTGATTTATTGCTAAACTCACTGAAACATAAGAATGTGGTCCACTTTATGTTCCATAGAAATTTTCTGCTGACACGGAATCCGCTAGTTGATCACTGACTTCATTCGTTGGACTACATTCTAGCAGACGACACCTGGAATTCCGATTACAGCTAGGGATTATAAGGAAATTCGGCAAATAAAAAACGGTGACGTTTGGTATTAAGTGAAATCCGCCCTTTTGTTTATGTCAAAGTACACATTAATACATTTTACCTTGCTTGAAACTACTGAATTCATTCTACTAGCTGATATTGTACAGAAAACCCATGTTTATCAAAACAAGTAAATGCGGAGGTCACGCGAGGTCGCACATGTAAATTATTATCTTTTCCGGAAATCCACGAAAAATAGGTTACCACGAAATTAGGTTGCTTGACTTGTACTTCTATGTGAACTCAGCCTTACAGGCTAAAACTTGAACGCGTTTTTTAGAACAAGGGCAATAACTCATACTAAATATTTTTCGATTTTTCTGATTTTCAATAGGTTTCATCCTTGGGTGATTACAAACAATCATACTAAGTTTCGTGGAAATCAGTCAAGAATTATGCCTTCTTGAGTGCTATTGCAGATGGACAGACGGAAATGGGTGACAGTAATACAAGTCCCCCCATTCCAAGTGGGCATACAAAAATCATATCTACCCAGGTCTAGAACTGGCATTCCATTAAAAGGACCTACCAGCTTTTATGACAAACTGCCCGTCCAAATTACTTCACACCTCTGGCACTATCCTGAAATCCTGTAGAGGAGACAGATACAAAAGGTGTAGTCCATCCCCACCGCCCAAATCTCTATCGGTACCATGAAACATCATTTATAACAGAATACTTCAAAGTCTCATCACCAGATCCGGAGACAAAAAAATCTAGCATTGCTAGAAATTTACCCAAAAATAACAAAAGAAATCGTGAAAGCGTCAGAATCAACCACAGTCTTACAAAACTGAATCGTGATCACCTGTTATATCCCACCCTTCTCCATCTCATAATCAGCACAGAATTTTGTTTAATTTTTTGGATCTATTATTACCTTTCCTCTGGTTTGCCAGTCTTTATTTCTTTAGATGACACATTAAATTGTGTTGAAACTCTTGGTTTGGTATTAACATTAAATTGTGTTGAAACTCTTGGTTTGGTATTAATTTATTATATTCCTTGTGCATTTTGACGTTATATTTAACAAATTATTAAATCTTAAAAATTTATTACATTATAGCATATCATATAATGCAATACATAATTTACAGATACATAACAAAACAATGATAGCACATGGGAAGTAACTCACAATGAAAGAAAATTGATTCTTAAGTCTTATTTAGTCTAACTATTTTCAACGTTGCTTCCACGAAACTGGATTTTCTCTAATGAATACTTATTTAAACAAAATTATCTCTCAAATGATCTAGCATACAATATTTTTTTTAATAACGATAGATGTTGGGCTTGAAGGGACCATTTTGTGGGAGACCAAGATATTTAGCTTGTTCTTCTGATAATTTGGTTAATTTCACACCAAGATGCTCCAAATGTTGATGAGCAACTTCTTCATCCAGCTAAAATGGAGAATAAGGAATAAAAGAAACCACACCAAAAACATTATAAATGTTATTGAATGGAATTTTCAACTCTAGCCACATAAGCCTGCAATTTATATATAAATATATGCAGAGTTTTAAGTTACTGTACTAAAACAAATTTATTTAGGACTTTAATTGCATGATCAAAACCTTTGAATGAATAAATATCTTTATAAATTTACAAATAATTTACCCTCAAAATCCTGTACAGTCAATTTTATCAAATTATTAACACAAAATAACCAATATATTTTTATTTAAATTCCATTAAACTTTTATATACACTGACACCTTTCTAATCAGTCAAGGGTAATGACTAAAATAGTTTGCCGGGACCTGCGTGACACCATGTGGATGTTTCAAAATAATGTTAACAAAATATGCAATGTTGCAGATTGCATTATGTACGCAACAAAATATTAGTGGTTACTTACAATTTTGGGCAACAAATGTACACCAACTTCATATTGTCCTGGTTTGGTCCAGAGTTCAATTTGAGCTAATACTTGGTTACAGAATGAATTGCTCATAACAAAACTAGGGTGACCATGAGCACATCCAAGATTGACCAATCTTCCCTCTGCTAGTAAAATGATATGTCTTCCTGAACTCTTGAGAGTATACCTGTCAACCTAAAAGAAATCAAGTTTGTTATCAGAGGCTTGTCAAATCAGTAAAAGATAGCTTGCAAGGCAAGGTAACATACGCTCACTGGCACCTGTCAGAAATGATAACAAGTCTTAAGTACTAAAGTACAAATTTTCTCTTATTGAAGAAATTTTATTAGATTGAATTCAAAAATGTATATATTTACTGCCAATTATTTATGCTGAGTAATTCCACAAAATGTTTTAAAATCTATATCAAAAACATCAAATTATTAAATTATACAGCTCTAATATCAAGGACAAAAAATTGTTCAGAGTGAAATCGTTGAAAAATTAAAACTTGACCAAGAGCTCATCATTATAAATAAAAAGACGTAAAGTAAAACTCCATTCATTTCATTTCATTCATCAATACAAATCATCATACCACATTTCATAAAAATCACATGAAATCTGTAGTCTCTATTGTACTCATGAACAAATTTTGAAGCATTTTATCTAAGTCAAGAATTATAACTCAAAAACCATTCATCGAAAAATCATCAAGTTCAAACTTGTCCAAGATCTCATCAATAAATGATCACACCAAATTTCATTAATATCAGTTGAAACTGTAGTCTCTATTGTGTTCACAAACAAATTTTGACACGTTTTTTCTAAGTCAAGGGCAATATCTCATTAAGATAACTTGACAGGCAAGGTAACATATGCCCACTGGCAGCTGTCAGAAATGATAAAACAATCTTTAGTGAATAAAGTATGAATTTTCTAATATTGAGGAAATTTTATTAGTTTGAATTCAATGATATATATATTTACTGCCAGCTATTTATGCTGAGAAATTCCACCCAAATTTTTTAAAATCAGTATCAATAACCCAAATACATCAAATTATCGCATCAATTTACATGATCACAAACAAATTTTGATGCATTTTTCCTTAGTCAAGGTCAATAACTCAAAGTCTGTTCATCGAACTATCAAATTCGAACTTGTCCAAAATCTCATCAATAAAAATCAATAAAATAGCTTGCGTTGCAAGATAACATACGCCCATTGGCAGCTGTCAGAAATAATAAAACCAGTCTTTAGTGACTAAAGTACGAATTTTCTCATATTGAAGAAATTATTTATGCTGAATAATTCCACAAAATTTTTTAAAATCAATATCAATAACCCAAATACAACAAACAATTAAATCACACAGCTCTAATCAAGGGCAAAAAACAACTTTTGACGTGTGTTTACAAAGTCAAGGGCAATAACTCAAAAAATGTTCATCAAAAATATCTCTTGTTAGAACTTGTCCGAGATCTTATCAATTCCAATGATCACACCAAGTTTTATCACAATCGGTTGAAAACTGTAGCTTCAATCCTGCTCACGAACTATTTTTAACAAATTTCGTCGCGTTTTAACAAAGTCAAGGGCAATAAATCAAAAACCGTTCATTGAAAATATGTCAAATTTGAACTTGACCGAGATCTTATCAATCTAAAGCATCACACCAAGTTTTATCAAAATCAGATAAAAACTGTAGTCTCTATAGTGCTCACAAGAAATGTTGAAGGACGGACCGACGCGACGATAAAATACGACCACATATTTATGTGGGCGTATAAAAAATGATCACCAAATTTCATTAAAATCATCTTAAGATTGTAGTCTCTATTGTGTTCACAAACAAATTTTGAGGCGTTTTTCCTAGGTCAGGGGCAACAACTCAAAAACAGTTCGTCGAAAACTCCCCCAACTTCGAACTTAACCAAGATCTCATCAATATACATTATCACATCATGTGATAAAAAGTATTTTAAATATATTACTTTCGCTTAGAATATATTATTAGTTTATATTGCACAATCTTTAAATAAATAAATAGATATTATTTTTTTTTCATCTCTTATGTATGTTAAGTGACATCTGTTGAAAGAGTACATATTCTACACCCTTGCTAACAGTGTTTTTGTTTCAATTCATCGCATGCAATGACTATCCATTTTGAAGATCAATACATTCCGAGGCCACGGTGAAAGTATTACCTGAGGTTTGATTTGTTCCTTCTTACTGGAGTTTTCATTCAACCATTTAACATCAATTTCACAATCAAAATGACCAATATTACAAACAACAGAATCTTCTAACATCTGTTGAAAATGTTCAGGTCTTAATATTCCTGAGCAGCCAGTAGCTGTGACATAAATACGAGCTTCCTTTACTGCTTCATCAACTGTAGAAACTTCATAACCTACAATCAATAATCACACATTTTAAGCTTAAGAAATGAAGCTCTTTATCATCTGAAAACAATATCCATCAAAAGTAAAGAACAACCTGCTGATTCTTGGGTCAAGAAGGATCATTCTCAAAATATCTACACCTATTTACAGCTGAGACAAAGTAAAATGTTTTGCTACTCACTATTATCAATTATTTTATTTTGACCATTTTGCAAATGTTTTGGAGAGATATTAAAAAAATAGCTTGCGAGGCAAGGTAACATACGCCTACTGGCAGCTGTCAGAAATGATAAAACAGTCTTTAGTGACTAAAGTATGAATTTTTTTCACTTTGAAGAAATTTTATTAGTTTGAATTCAATTACATATATATATATGCCAGTTATTTATGCTGAGTAATTCCACAAAATTTGTTAAAATCAAATCAAAAATATCTCAAGTTAGAACTTGTCCGAGATCTCATGAATTCCAATGATCACACCAAGTTTCATCAGAATTGGTTGATAACTGTAGCTTCTATTGTGCTCACGAACAAATTTTGAAGCGTTTTTACAATTCAAGGGCAATAACTCGAAAACCGTTCATCAAAATTGCATCAAGTTGTAACTTGTCCGATATCTTATCAATTCCAATGATCACACCAAGTTTCATCAGAGTCGGTTGAAAACTGTAGCTTCAATCCTGCTCACAAACTATTTTTAACAAATTTTGACGTGTTTCAACAAAGTCAAGGGCAATCACTCAAAAACCGTTCATCGAAAATGCGTCAAGTTAAAACTTGTCCGAGTTCCAAATATCACACCAAGTTTCATCAGAATCAGATAAAAAAACTGTAGCTTCAATCCTGCTCACGAACAATTTTTAACAAATTTCAAGGCGTTCTAAGTCAAGGGCAATATCTCAAAAACCATTCATCGAAAATATGTCAAATTCGAACTTGACCGAGATTTTATCAATCTAAAGCACCACACTAAGTTTTATCAAAATCAGATAAAAACTGTAGTCTCTATAGTGCTCACAAGAAATGTTGACGGACGGACCGACGGACAAGGGCAAAGACAATATACGACCAAATGAAAAACAAACCTTCCATAGCTGCCTGAAGTGCGTTGATAGGATCGATTTCTGCAACAATAACTCGTGCACCAAAAGCTCTCAAGGCTTGAGCACAACCTTTGCCAACATCACCATATCCTGCTACCAATGCTACTTTACCAGCCAACATAACATCAGTAGCTCTTTTAATACCATCAACTAGAGATTCACGACAACCATATAAATTATCAAATTTACTCTGAAATCAAAAATATCATTTATTCACAAAAATATGTGACATTGTCAATTATTTGAATACATTCATACTTCTTGGAACTAGTAATAAATGTGGAAATCCCTATCATTTGCTCTATTTGAATAATACTCTTAGCTTTCTTAAAGAGTTAAAATTTTGTGCAATTGACAATACTACCTTTGTAACTGAATCATTGACATTGAATGCTGGCATTTTCAATTTGCCGTCTTTCATCATTTTATAAAGATTATGTACACCGGTTGTAGTTTCTTCTGAAAGACCCTTGATTCCTGAAACCATGAAGTATAAACAACTTCAAATATTTACTTAAATAATAGCTGCATATAGAACAGTCCAACCAACCTAGCTGCATTTTCTTGAAACCATGTCCTAGGGTATTAACTTCAAACACTGTTTTAAGGATATCCTAACATTAAGACCTTTTGAGAATAAAAGATAGCTTGCGTTGCAAGATAACATACGCCCACTGGCAGCTGTCAGAAATAATAAAACAGTCTTTAGTGACTAAAGTACGAATTTTTTCATATTGAAGAAATTAATTATGCTGAATAATTCCACAAAATTTTTTAAAATCAATATCAATAACCCAAATACAACAAACAATTAAATCACACAGCTCTAATCAAGGGCAAAAAACAAATTTTGAAGCGATTTTCGTAAGTTAATGGCATTAACTCAAAAAGTGTTCATCAGAAATGCGTCAAGTTAGAACTTGTCCGAGATCTTATCAATTCCAATGATCACACCAAGTTTCATCAGAGTCGATTGAAAACTGTATCTTCAATCCTGTTCACAAACTGTTTTTAACAAATTTTGACGTGTTTTTACATAGTCAAGGGCAATAACTCAAAAACCGTTCATCGAAAATGCATCAAGTTAGAACTTGTCCGAGATCTTATCAATTCCAATCATTACACCAAGTTTCATCAGAATCGGTTGAAAACTATAGCTTCAATCCTGCTCACAAACTATTTTTAACAAATTTCGACGCGTTTTAACAAAGTCAAGGGCGATAACTCAAAAACCCTTCATCGAAAATGCGTCAAGTTAGAACTTGTCCGAGATCTTATGAATTCCAATGATCATACCAAGTTTCATCAGAATCGGATGAAAACTGTATCTTCAATCCTGCTCACGAACAATTTTTAACAAATTTCAAGGCGTTCTAAGTAAAGGGCAATAACTCAAAAACCGTTCATCGAAAATATGTCAAATTCGAACTTGACTGAGATCTTATCAATCTAAAGCATCACACTAAGTTTTATCAAAATCAGATAAAAACTGTAGTCTCTATAGTGCTCACAAGAAATGTTGACGGACGGACCGATGGACCGGGGCGACGACAATATACGACCACATATTCATGTGGGCGTATAAAAAGTGTGACCTTAAAGACACCATTATTGAAAGAATTGTGACCAAAATGTCACCACCTGACTTTATTCTATTAAGATTTTGAATTTGTTACTCATTTCATTGGTTGTAGTTGTGAACTTTTTGGACTGTTAACAAATAAAGATATCACTCAGATTCTAGATATATCAATATACTGAAGTCAGAGAAAAGATGTAAAAATAGCAATATGTGATAGATTTACCTGGTAAAATGTCAGTATATTTACTATGAATTAAGTTTGTTAAATCACCACCATCATCTAAAATCATATTTAATGGTTTTTTATCAGCAAAATATATAGTCTGAAATAAAAAATATATTACACTAAGGATGGAATAATCAAATCCCAAATAATTAAAGGTCACATACATTATAACCTGGAACAATCAAGGCACTCCTTGACTGAGCAATTTTGTCCTGGTCCGTGACTTAAGTCTTGTCACAGGTTTCACCAACGGGCTGCAGACACACAAAGAGACAAAAATCTTCATTCAGGCATTTTCCACTATGTTGATATTCACATGCACTTGAAAGGAAAATAATCTGATTGGGTGGCGACACTGAAGTCTTGCAGACAATAAGATAGCTTGCGTTGCAAGGTAACATACGCCCACTGGCAGCTGTCAGAAAAAAATAAAACAGTCTTTAGTGACTAAAGTACGAATTTTCTCATATTGAAGAAATTATTCATGCTGAATAATTCCACAAAATTTATTAAGATCAATATCAATAACACAAATACAACAAACAATTAAATCACACAGCTCTAATCAAGGGCAAAAAACAACTTTTGACGCGTGTTTACAAAGTCAAGGGCAATAACTCAAAAAAGGTTCATCAAAAATATCTTTTGTTAGAACTTGTCCGAGATCTTATCAATTCCAATGATCACACCAAGTTTCATCAGAATCTGTTGAAAACTGTAGCTTCTATTGTGCTCACAAACAAATTTTAACGCGTTTTTCGTAAGTTAATGGCATTAACTCAAAAACATTTCATCGAAAATGCGTCAAGTTAGAACTTGTCCGAGATCTTATCAATTCCAATGATCACACCAAGTTTCATCAGAATCGGTTGAAAACTAGCTTCAATCCTGCTCACGAACTATTTTTAACAAATTTTGACGCGATTTTACAAAGTCAAGGGCAATAACTCAAAAACCGTTCATTGAAAATGCGTCAAGTTAGAACTTGTCCGAGATCTTATCAATTCCAATGATTACACCAAGTTTCATCAGAATCGGTTGAAAACTGTAGCGTCATTCCTGCTCACAAACTAACAAATTTCAACACATTTTAACAAAGTCAAGGGCAATAACTCAAAAACCGTTCATCAAAAATGTATTAAGTTAGAACTTCTCCGAGATCTTATCAATTCCAATGATCACACCAAGTTTCATCAGAATCGGTTGAAAACTGTAGCTTCAATCCTGCTCACGAAAAATTTTTAACAAATTTCAACACTTTTTAACAAAGTCATGTGGGCGTATAAAAATAATTGGTCAAACTGCTAAGATATAAATCCTGTTTGTAATGCGCCGTGATAATGTTGTCGTTAGGTACACTGAAATTTTACTCAAGATTTGAGTCAAATGTCAAGATACAGGTCTTCGTGACTGTCCTATTGTCATGTGTCAATTTATGTGTCAGAGGAATTTACACTAATTAAACAAACCTGTTCAATACACCAAATATATTCTTCATCCGTCTCACCCTTCCATGCATACACTGGCACACCGGTCTTGGCAATAGCTGCAGCAGCATGATCTTGTGTAGAGAAAATATTACAACTTGACCATTGAACCTACAACATTCAAACAACTATGTGATAAGAATATTAATATAACAGTATCATCAATATAGCATATATCATGCATTCATTTTGTGTATATCTATGCAAACTCTTCTCTGCAGGAAGATATATGTATAAGTTCTATCTGTGAAATAATCATTTAAGTATGGGTTTAGTTATTCTATTAATATTTCTTAATCATTTTTAGAAGCTCACAGTACAAATCCTTTGATTTGAATATGAATTGATGTCAACAGTTCAATTACCCAAAAAAAAAAAATTACCTCAGCACCAAGTTCAGTGAGTGTTTCAATTAATACAGCTGTTTGGACAGTCATGTGAAGACAGCCAGCTATTCTAGCACCTTTCAATGGTTTGGAAGGACCATACTTTCTTCTCATGCTCATCAACCCTGGCATTTCATTTTCAGCTATTTCAATGGCTTTACGCCCCCATTCTGCAAGACTGATATCGGCTGGAAAACAATTTATATTAAAATTTATATTTTTTAGATCAGAATGACATTTAGAAAAACTTATGATTAACAGCCGATAAGTTAAATTATATATTTACTTTTGATGTTACACTTTATAACTAGAATCATCTGGTTTCATGCAGCTTTTTGCAAATTCTTATCAGATAACAACTGGATTGAACAGTCCTCAGTTAATTTTTAGAATGACATTTAGAAAAATGTATGATTAACAGCCGATTAGTTAAATTTACTTTTGATGTTACACTTTATAGTTGACCAGTTAGTAAGTGAAGTGTATACATACATATACATATTTATTCAAATAATGGCTATAATGGCAATATTCAAATTTGACAATCCCAATGGAGTGAGACATTGCAGACTAACATAATGTACTCCAAAGATCTGAGCAAAATAGGTTATCATAAGAAAAGATCTAATTGGTCTTTGACATTGGTTTTTTTTTTTTTTTTTGAAAGACTTATATCAAATAATTTAACATCTACAATAAACAGCTAGGCCTATATCTGCTAAAATGTTGATTTATTTCCTGTAGTATTAAGGGTGTATTGAGGCATCACATTAATTATGTGACAGTTATATTTGAAAAAATACACACATATAAATTCACACATTTATCAATTATTTTTCTTTTATTCTCTGTAAATCAGACTGGAGATTTATTTAGAAGGCATAGATTACATCTTAGGAAAAAGTAACGAAAAAGTAACAAAGTAACAGTAAAAGTCAGTCGGTCTATTTACAAATGTACTGATTTTTAAATACTGGTATTACATGTAGGCCTACCATTTAAATTAGAGGGTTGGGATGATTCTTGCATCCTTGTTTTCAAACATTATTTCAACTTGACATTATTTCAGATTCAGTCAATGAAGAATGACAACATTAACGTTTTTGGCCCCAATATTTGAAATGTCAGACACTATTTCTAGAGTTATTTTGTAGGCTTAGCCTATATAGATTTGTTGATTTTTACTGTGTCATGTAGACCTATGATATATAATAAATTTGCGTTGCTTAAGAGTTTTTTAAAGTTAAAAATAAAAGCAATTCATAGCTTAAAATTCATGAATTTATGCCCGTAGCAAAAATTGCCTGACATTTCACCCCAATCTCAAGATTTTTCAAGACAAATCTCCAGGATTTTTTTTACATGACCTGTACACATATATATTTGTGAAAATACGAATTAGTAAATAAATAAATTGGACCCATCCCCAGCTTAGAACTACGAAACACATAATGTTCAAGGATCAATGATGTATTATCCGACTAGGCCCTAGTCAGTGCCTTTTACTTTTGTTTTGGCTGGATTTCTTCTCAACATTAAAAATCTCTGACTCTGATCTACGGTTCATGATGGCTGGCCTACTCGAAGCCTAATAATAAAAAAAATTAGTTTTAACCCGACTCAAAAGCAGTTCCAAGAAGTTGCCTATTGTCTTTTGGTTTTACAGCGAGTTTGTTAGTATCGACACCGGCGGTATACAAGCCTACGTGACACTGTACAAGCCTACTGACACTCGTACTAACTTAACAATGATGCAATGTCATCTCTCAATAAATGTAATCTATATCATATAAACAACGTACCAACTTTATATGAAGGCATGATGTCAGTTGAGTAAATTTGATCACTGTGGTTTATTCCTTCTACGTGTGAGAATTGACTAAGAGACTGATAGAAGTTGTGTCGCCATATTTATAGGAAACCCATGACCTAGATTTAGTGTCACGTGACAGGTTGAAATACGTATTCCTGATTGGTTGTTTAAAATAGAGATAAATTATATCACTGTAAACATCCTAAAATTTGATCTCACGTGAAAAGGGGGATAAGAGAAGACCTAAGTATTGTTCACAAAGTAGTTTGCGATATCAACATCCGCTGGAAGCGAACGTTAACCTACCTACCTACCTTGTTCACAAAAGGGAAGTGTCTGCAAAATTAAAAATGTTGTAAGTTATACGGGAAAGATTTATATGATAATATGATATTTACTTAGGCCTATATGTATTATATCAAACCGAAATTTGTTTTAAAAGTGGGGATTTAAGCGGACTTTGCTAGCCTAATTGTAATAACTTACTTAGTTATTTAGTAAATTTTGATGTTGGCCATAAACAGCTCGATATCTTTATTTGAAACTTTGAGAATAAGTAGAAGACTATAAGTTACTTAAATCTAAAGATAGCTTGCCAGGCAAGGTAACATACGCCCACTATCAGCTATCAGAAAAGATAACAAAGACTTTAGAGGATTAATAATGGATTTTCAAATAATCTTAAAATATATTTATAAGTCAAGGCAAAACCTGAAATCAAATTATCAAACTTAAACATGAAAAGGAATAACTCTAAAACCGTTAATTCAATTATTACCAATTTCTTACTTGACTCGAGATCTCATCAATATAATTATACATATATACCAAGTTTCCTGAAGATAGGATAAAACTGTAGACTCTATCGTAATTTGACGCTTTTACTATGTCAAGGACAATAACTCTGAAACTCTTCATCTGATTGTTACCAATTTCAAACTTGATTGAGATCTCATCAATGTAGGCCTACCCAAGCACTAAAAACTGCCATTGTACCAAGCACACAACTTAAAACATCCACCGTACAAAGCACACAACTTAAAACTGCCATTGACGTACCAAGCACACAACTGCATAAAACCTGCCATTATTCCAAGCACACAACTGTGCTATTGTACCACGAACACTATCGGTACTGAAAACTGCCATTGTAGCAAAACTGCCTTTCTTTTGTTTTTGACTTTAATATAGTGAAATGGCGGAATTGTCACTGGTTTTCTGAAATATAAAATCGGTATTGCTGAAAATGACCTAGGATGTATCAGCTAATGGGAAAATATATTTCTAAACTAAAATACTCATATTATAGGCCTAATAAATGTTTACGGTAATTTTGTTTTCACAGATTACGTCCCTTTATTTATTTATTATTATAGCGGTAGGTGGCTACGTTATGATCATGTGATCGATCACTTGCCGAGTTGTAACATCCGTCAAAGACAAGTTCGGCTTGAAAAACCAAAATATTTCAACAAAATGATGCCCGAATTGAGCTTTAATATAGACCATGGATATCTGGAAGGTCTGGTGCGTGGTTTCAAATGTGGTGTTCTGAAACAGGCTGATTATTTGAACTTGGTTCAGTGTGAGACGTTAGAAGGTAGGGAAATAGAAGTAGGCTAGTAGAGTCAGAGTTAATAAAAAAGACAAAGAATATTTCAATTTCATATAGATCTAGATCTACGCATCATAATAATATCCATGGTTTATGTTGACAAAATATCAATTAACAAATAAATTCTATCTAATGATTTTAACCAATTACTAATGTCATATTAGAGTTCTTTACCAAGCTTCCTTGAGTTTGACATTGAATTGACTTCAAGTATTCAAGCCAAGGAAAGCCCAGATATAATAAACATAACAACAAAGCTATGTGGTGGTAGTGAACAAATTAAACTTATCCCATTTTCTTGAATTTTATTTATGTCAATGCCCTTTTCTTATGCCTCAAACCTTATCTTATTTAAACTTTTAAATGGATATAATACGGTAATTCATTATAATTTCAGATTTAAAACTTCATCTACAGAGTACAGATTATGGAAATTTTCTGGCAAATGAACCCAGTCCCCTTACAGTGTCTGTTATTGATGATAAAATGAGAGAAAAATTGGTGGTAGAGTTTCAGCATCTGAGAAATCATTGCTTAGAACCTCTGGCAACATTCCTTGATTACATAACGTAAGCTCAAACTTAATATTATCATCAATCAACCTTTTAGTTTTACAATAGATTATTTAATGTGTCTCTCAGAGACCAAATTCCAGCCAGCTATAAATTCAATGCTGTATCTGACCCAATGATATATTTTCAGGTGAATTTGAAGTTTGTAGTTATGAAATTGTTATGATTTTCTTTTCTTCTTGTTTTTTTAAATTAGGTACAGTTATATGATAGATAACATTATATTATTAATTACTGGAACATTACATCAAAGACCAATAAATGAGTTGATTTCAAAATGTCACCCTCTGGGTAGTTTTGAGCAAATGGAAGCTATACATATTGCTTCAACCCCAGCTGAGTTATATAATGCTGTGTTAGTTGATACACCTTTAGGTAAATTTCCCCTTTTTATTTCAATAAGAAAATCTTCCTGTTGATTTTATGGTGTTTAAGCCTTTGAAAATGAGGAAGCTTTTAGTCATTGGAAAATATTTTGAATTGTTTTTTTCTTGACTTAGATAGACCAAAAGCATAAGCTTTCAACCATCATTTTTAACTATTAATAAATGCTGCACTTCTCAATCTTTTTGCAAAGAAAGCCAAGTTTTATGCCAAAAAATTCTTTGTCAGATATTATTATCTGCTTCACAGTTATTGGGAAAAGTCAAAAGCAATGAGATCATTAATTAACATTTAAGATTGTTAAAAAGGACCGATTACTCCTAAAACCAGATAGGAACTATATTTTTTCGTAAGATTCAAAAGTTGCTTTAAAGGCTGGTCATGAAGACCATCACAGACTACATTAACTAGTACACTGTCACTGGTTAATCTAACTTTTATTCTTTAAGATTGTTTGTTATATTTTCAGCTCCATATTTTATTGATTGTATCTCTGAACAAGATTTAGATGAAATGAATATTGAAATCATCAGAAACACACTTTATAAAGTAAGTGATAAATTATTGTGTAAGTTTATTTTTCTCAATGGAACACATGGATCAAAATGTAACAACTATGATATGTTTTTTCATATTAAGATAACATCACACAGTTTCACACTGTGTAATTTAGATTTTAATGTGAGTTATATGGTCATTGGTATTTCAGGCATATTTGGAAGATTTCTATAATTTCTGTAAAAATCTTGGAGGTGCCACAGCAGAAGTTATGTGTGAAGCATTAGCTGTAAGTAGAAAATTTCATATTCAAGTTGCACCATGGTTAATTTTGGGTTTTTTAATTCTGTTTAGTTCACTTAATAAAAATTGAGTAAAGAATATCCACTTTATAAATATTAGTAATATTGAATGCAAAGTAATGAATGAAACCATGTACAATACAGATTCCGTTTAGTACTGTATTTAATTAATATTTCATGTACAAAGAATATCAGTAACAGAATGAAGAACAAAGACTTGTATTATATATATTTTAGTTTGAAGCTGACCGTAGAGCATTTATTATAACTATAAATTCATTTGGTACTGAATTAAGTAAAGAAGATAGAGAGAAGTTATATCCTAGATGTGGTAATTTATATCCTGATGGATTATCTAAATTGTCTCAAGCTGAAGATTATGATCAAGTTCGTCAAGTAGCTGAATATTATGCTGTAAGTTAAGTGTGAAATTTTACATAAAGAAATACCAAAATTGGTCCTTATATTCTTTTATGGGACAGAATCCTAAACTTTATGAATTTGAACTTGTCATATAATATTTTAAATTTGATAACTGATCAAGTAGATGAAATAACATATTGTTGACATTTTCAAATAAATTCTCATCAGGACAACTGCTGAAAATATTCGGAATAATGTGGTTTCTGAGAATGTGTTATATCATCATAATAATAATCATTCAAGTTCAAAATTGTATATAGGACTTACTTTTTTAATGATTAATATTTTGGACTCAGACTGGTTTATTATTGTATAAACTTTGGGCCAAATGTTACACTATCATTACAAAAATGAGTAGACTAACCTTCTATTGTAATTTGAATTCATCTCAGTCTAAAATATATTATTTTCAGTCTTACAGAGAGCTATTTGAAGGAGCTGGTACTAACCCTGGTGATAAAACATTAGAAGATAAATTCTTTGAACATGAGGTAAGATTTCATATTGTTACTATGAAATAGATAATCATTTTGCACACACCTTAAGCATGGTGATTGGTCATTTCTTTTTCAATTATTTATTTATGAAATAAGCATTAAGTTCATTAAGCAGAAAGAAACATGGCGTTATTGACAGTCAGCTACAATATCCATGTGTGTCTTATCTAAATAGAAGTAAAGATTAGAGACAAGGATGATTATGATATATATTTTTTCTTTATAGGTGAAACTGATGAAACAATCCTTCATGCACCAGTTCCAATTTGGTGTATTTTATTCATATGTTAAACTAAAGGAACAAGAATGTCGTAATATTATATGGATAGGTGAATGTGTGGCTCAAAGACACAGAGCAAAAATCGACAGTTATATACCAATATTTTAAATACATATTGTTTATTGAACATATATAGATCAAATAAATATGTAAGATATATTAAACCATTCCAATATACTGACAGTAAATTATATGATGTAAAATAACATGGGCAAAGAATTAGGCGAATCATATCTGATAAAAAGATTGCAATGATCATAAGTATTCGTTCATTTGCAAAGTTATCTTTTTCTCAAAAGAATACAATTTCTACCTTGACTATGTCAATATCTGCTAGGTAGATGAAAAGTGGAAAAAGTAGTTGCATTGTTGCTTCCCATAACTCTAATACATCTTTCCTGGAAATTATCACTAACTGGAGTAAGAATGGATGCCACGTATCTGGAACTTGCTAAACCTTGGTGGGCAAGGAATAATCAAAGAACTTAACTGATTGTATGCATGAAAATTCAAGTGTTTATACCTATGGTAGAACCCACAAACATCATGGTTATGTTGTTTATTGATGTAATTATTTTAAATCAGTTGTATAAAATGTAATTGCAAGGGATGTTTATATTACTTAATGTATTTCTTTTAACATCGCATTCTCCTATGTAGCAAATATATATACTCTCTTCTAATTTGCAAAAGGTTTAGTATTGAGAAATATGAAAATGAAAATATGTCATTTTAACTGAGTAATTTTCTATTAATCTAATCTATTTGTCTTGTGAAGGTATTTTAATCATTGTTATCTCATCAAAGGCTGTGAACATTGTGTAAGTGATTGACATAGAATATCACGAATAATAATAATATATATCTTATAATCACCCACCTCATTTATAACACATGTATTTAACTTCTCTTAGAGGATCTGAAATCCTAAGATATAGCTCTTAATCATACACTGGTAGATGTAATTTTTGTAATTTTTTCTCCAAATCGAGTCATTAGACTTTGAATATCAATACATTTGTGGTTAGTTATCCTGAAAATCATGTAAGTTTTATATGAAATGTATTGGAAATTAAAAATTCTGCCAGCTCACTGAGCTGATTTGTTTCTCATATAGAAATCTTGTAAATAGGTTTCTATCACAAAAAATTGTTTTACATCAGTAATTAGATGCATGGTAACTTTTTTGCAGTGGCTACCTGGAATAGCTATTAGATTATTAATTGTTATAATAATTGTTACTTTGATGTAAAATGTTATATAAACTATGACTGAATTTTGTCTTTGTCTATCTCAAATCTATATTGTAAAGTTTGTACATGTATAAAATCTTGTAGTCAATAACTTGATTTTTTTTCTGTCTTGCTGGATATATATTACTGGGTATCATTTCAACTTAAAGGGCTGGGCTTTGCATCCATTTGACCAATCGTACCTCAGTCTCAGAAACGCGAATTCTAAAGCTTATCAGTAGGCCTAATAGTGTTCACCATTAAATCCATTGCATTTGAAAGTTAACATGACGACTAGACTTTTCTTGAGACACTACAATATATTATAAACATATTATATAGAAATAGTGAGTAAAATTCCTAGTTTGAGGTATTTTTGAAGGTATTATACGATTTTGGACATTTCTAATACTTCTGTAGACTATTTACATAATATTCAAGACCCAAATCAACCTCAAGGCAAATTGTCTCTTTTAAGGACAACAGTCTAAAAATTTAAATATACAAAAAACTTTTGGAAATATTCTGTTGAAAAACAATGTGGGAGACCGATCAATGAAAATATCATTGAGATCAAGGGTATTGTAAAACCAATTTGATGCAATTTCTGCATTAGTCAACATTTCACAGTCTCAGCATAGAAAACATATGAAGATAATGCCAACTGTAGCTAAAAAATAAAGTAAGTGATGACTAAAAAAAACTGTAAAGGAATTGAATGTATGATTCAAGTGAATAGTGCCACGGTGAAGACTCCAATAGATTTAAACTTTATCCCCAAATTAGAATATATTCCATAATTTTGATAAATTGAAAAGTTACCCAATATTAAGGCCTACTTATTTTAAGTTAATTTAACCTTTATCCATGGCCATTTGATTCTGAAACGTTCTGAAATTTCTCTCAAATTGGCAAAGCAAAGATCTTACTCAGGATCATATCCCTTTAAAAAAAAAGATAGATAAACGCAACACACCAGACAGTGTGACGGTCGAATAAGCAAACCTGTCATGCGCAATTGTTAGTTACCGTGGAGGGACGTAAGTGGAGAAATAAATTGTTTCTAATGTGACAATATGTCATATGTTGAAATTATATTTTAGAAATTTCTTGTCTTGATGTTTTGTATGTAATTTCACCCTGAGGACTAAACATGTTGCCTCTGCATGCTTGGTGAACCTTAGAGTTTACGTTTGCACTATAGGTTGTTTTGTAGTGTTCGAGATGACAACTAATTAAAGGAGCATTCACTACAAAATGTTTAAATAAATAACTCAGTGATGTTTATTTGGAAGTTTGCAGATAACTAGCCTAATGAGCACAAGTTAATAAAAAAAATTGCTTTTTGACAGAATAGACAAATTTATGGTTATCTAATTTTCTGTCTGTTGATGAACATGGTATGTGACATAAAGCCATTATATTAAAAAAATGTTAACTTGAAATCAGTTTGAAATTCGAACTGGAATTAGGTAAAACAGATGTCAAATTCAACTCTTTAGAGATCTGAAAATAGTGTTTGATTTTAATGAATTGCTAACAAAATAATTTGTTTTTTTATTACATACCGCTACATATTACTATACAGATAGGAAGATAATGGGATTTAGTAATTTGACAATAAGTGGCTTTAGTCTTCTATATTTTGATTTCAAACTTTCGAGGAATCTATATAGCAGCTTAGGGCCTCGGTTTATTGTCCCATCCGAACAACTAGACGCTTTTTTCCATGTCAGCTTCTCTTACATACATCATTGATCAGGGAAATTGGGTTGAAAATTCTGAAGGTATTATCCCATGCCAGGATTGAGCCCTCGACTTACAGGTTAGCGAGCAAACACCTAACTCACTGAGCCATGGCTGCTCCTGGAATTTATTTGTAATGGTGTCATGTAATTTGAGCAATAGAGGAAACTCAAAAGTCTGTAACTAATTGATTGAAGTATTATATATTTGATTAGCCCACTTAGTATAAATTTATTAGTGAATCTTTTGCCATGCATTTTGGAATATATTATAGATGATGGATATGAAAAATCTATTTAATACTGAATCTTCTAAGTCTTGGAACAATTCACCTCCCCTCACTTATCTTTTATTATAGTTGATTAAATATATTGTAATCCCTTTATAGGCCTATAGAATCAGTACCTTCTCATACCCTCTTATCTTTTATGCATGGCAAGAAGAGTTCTCTATAATTATCTATTGCTTTACATAGGAGTTTCTAACAAAATGGAAAATGTAAATGTATTATGTTTTTTATGAACAGGTGAATACACAATAATACATTGAATTTTATGTATATTTAACCAACCTGAGCCTTATTCAAATTCTTAATCCTGGCATGAATCAGTTTATTCTTATTTTCTCAGTGAGATAATCTTGTTCCTTCCTGAAAATTTATATTTTGTTTTACAGTTTGGTGACAGGTGAAATGAAGCTTCATACTAAGCCATTTCCTGGTCCTGTATATGAATATATCTTTTTCTTATCATGGTTACTGTTTAAACCATTTTGGACAAGTTTGAATTGCTTACTCTCATTGGTATTAGCCACTACTGCAGAGAGGAAATCCCCAAACCACTTGTTTATAAAAAGATTTTGTTTGTTGTTGCCATATCTTCTCCTTACAATAATATTATCACCATTTGCTTTAATTGGCTACATTCTGCGGTGTGTGGTTTATACTAGGAGAAACCCATATACCCTTTCCATACAGAAAACTTCATCAAACCAGCAAACAAAACATCAACTTGGTGAAATTGGAATTGGAACACTTAACTTATGTTTATTACCAGAATATTTATCTAGAAGTAATAATTTAGCTAATGCTTCTTATCGTACTAAAGAAATAGGAAAGAAAATAATTATTGATCAAATGTATTATGGAGAAAGAGACACAAATAAAGGCCTGAAAATGAAATCAAATTCTTTAAATGCTGGAGTAACATGTCATTTTCCTAATATGGACTTTGTGTGTTTACAAGAAGTATGGCAATCAGACTATAGTATGCTTTTGAAAAATGAACTTCACAAAATCTATCCTTATATTATATGTGATGTGGGAATGTACAGTAGACATAGTAATTTTTACTGTTTAAATAGTGGCTTAATGTTTGCTAGTAAATATGAAATAATAGGAGCAGATTTTCAACACTTTAATTCCAGTTGTAAGCAGTGTGTTTATTCCAGTAAAGGACTATTAATGGTAAAGGTAGGCAAATATGATATCTATATCAAAACTTATTGGTTGGAAAATCTAATGATTTTGTGGTTATTTTGAGCAACGTTTAAGAGGCCAATCTTAAGACCCTGATTGGAGTGGCTGTGTTAAAAATAAAAGCTAATATAAAAAAAAGGAACCATAGTTTGGTCCACAAAGTTTGGTCATATTTTGATTAGACTGATAAGGACAGCTTCGGAATTTTTTAGCGATTGATTTGGATCGTGAATATATGTTTTCAGTTATACTATAAAGTAAGTAAATGGCATAATTTCTTCAAAAATATCACAAACTAGGATTTTCATTTTCTATATATATGTTAAAGAGTCTCAAGGCACGACAAGTCATCTTTTTAGCTTTCAAACATGGATAATTCTGGACACACATGAATTTGAAAGCTCAATTTTTGGTTTTTAGTTGTGAACACTTATACTGTTGAGATTAGCTAAAAAAAAATATCCTGTTTCTGAGACAAAGGTACAATTTGTTAAACGGATGACAAACTTGCCCCTTTAATTTAAACTGTAAAAAAAGGTGATTTAAAAGGTTACTTTCAATAGGTTTAGGGAAGCACAAATGTTGAATGTAATGGATGAGAAATCATAATTTTGTTGTCTTTAATGAATAAAAAACTCACTGATCAAGAAGCAGATAACCATAGCCAATAATATGGTATTTTTTAGGTTTTATTATGGTATGAAAATGTAAGAGAAGATAAAGCAGTTGTAGGATATATTTATATTACACATCTACAGGCATATCAGGGTAATTTCTTGTGTTATCATTTAAATAATACAGATTGTTGAAATACACATTGTTGTTTATCTTTTTAGATAATCTGATTATTGCTGTGAAAGCATTTCTCGTTATTTCTTCAGGGAAACTGAATATAAATTGTAAACAATTAGATGAAATAGTGAAATGGACAAAAGAATTCAGAGAGAAGTCAAAAAAAGACAATGATATTGTAGCCTTTGATATTATTTGTGGTGATTTTAATTTTGATAACATTTCTCCAGGTATGTTATCTAAATCAGTCTTAATAAAATTAGACCTAACTTCCGTTCGTATTTTATTAGTCGGGTTTCGAATGCTTTATTAGCTATGTACATAACCACTACAGTAAGGTCTAACACTGTCCTTTTTGACTTTTCATTCTGTTAATCTTTGCTTGACCTCTGTTTTAACCAATCACGTGACTGCCCTTTACAGCGACGGGATAATAGGTGCATACTGAGGCATATTAGACTAGCTTATCAAGTCCACTAGTCTAATACGCCTCGGAATGCACCTATTGTTCGCATCACTTTATCCCGCTAATAGCTAATTAGCTAATAGCTAATAAAACGTTCGAAACGAAAATAATAAAATACGAACGGAAGTTAGGTCTAATTTTAATTAGACTGTTATCTTAATATATCTTTTACCAACAGAAAATTCTCAATTCCAGCTATTCTAAATGGTATAAAAAAAAAAAAACCAGATGTCCATCCAAGCTACAGTGCATAAAGCATGTATATATTCCTGCTTCAATATGAAACCTGTTATGTTTTGTTCTTTATAAGTCATCATAGTTGTGCTTGTTTTAACAAAAAGTAATATGTAAATGTTTTATAAAGGTGATAAAGAGGCAAGAGAACATGAAATATTTAATTTGTATAAAGATGATGGTAGAGTAAAGACTGGTGTGGATCAGGATTGGACAATAGGTATTTGATTCACTTAACATTCATTATTCATGTATTGTGGTATTATACCCGATTTCAACTTCTGAGTAATGACCCTAAGTGTCCTTATTATCTAGGCATAATACCTTTTTTATACTGTAACTTATCACATATCTTGCTTGAGTTTTTTTATTTAAAAAAAATCTGTAGAGTCGAAATGGTCAACCTACCCTGTATTTCCAAAATTGAACATTCTGTGCAATCCTTATAAAACATGATAATCATGTCAAAGAAAAACTAGCATCGTTTTTATTTAAATCATCCTTAAATCACAGGAAATGTTACAAAAATATAGAAATTTGAGGTATCTTATGTCTACTTCAGGTACTGAAATGAGACAATTGAATATGTATAATGAAGAAGTTTTGACACCAGAAGGACTAAAGTTATGTTTAGATACACCTATTAAAAGACAAGAATATTTAACAGATGGTGATATAATAGAAGCTAATTTAGATACTATAGTTTATACTCCACATAAAACTACACTAAGTAATGTTGGTGGAAAACGTAGAATAGATTACATAATACATAATAAACAATGTCCTGTGGTAAATATAATCTTTTACATTATCTCTTATAGAGGGAATGGAATGGAGATAACATAGAGGTTATCATAGTGCTATAAGCTTTGTGCGATAGAAATTCATCAGGTCATTTAGATATTGAAAAACAGAAGGCCAATTGCGACTGTCATGGTAAAATTTGTCCCATTACACACTTCTGAGGGTTTCTTGACTTTAGTATAACAGGGTTGCTTATTGAATCTGATTAATGATACATGATTATTCATTAGAAACGCCAATTAATCAAAAAGTTAGCTTAATTTGACACTAAAAAATTAGGAGACCCATCTTTAATAAATAAAGTTTTATATTTATTTTATCTTTTTAATATGATAATTTGTTTTATATTTTGGTATTAACGATATATAATTTTACAGCATGTTTCATGTTCTGTTTTAATATTTCTATTTCTACAGCAAGTAGATATTAAGGCAAATACTATTTTATCCATATATATATATTTACAATACCACTATTATCTTGTTTAAATCTACAAATGATTTAATTTCAGGTACCATACCAGTTTAATTTTATTACCAGACTAACAACTTTAACTGATCATATTCCAGTTGTCATGCAATTCTATATACCAAATAGAAAACCCACATAGACATGATATACTTTTCTTTTTGTATTTTTTTTAATTAAATATTTTCACTCATTGAAAATGTTTTGGAATCTTCACATGGAACAGTTTGATATAAATATGCAAAAGAAAAAAAAACAATATCAATGATGTAGCACCTCCGAAATGAAAACATGCCACATAACTTATTTCAGTGGAATAAAACTTGGATCTTCAAGCTAATAAGATGAGGATTGACATCTTGGACAATCTGCAAGTATTTCAAACTTTGATCTGACAGCTGGTAGGAGCTTTTTAATCTTTTTGAGCTACACAGAATTCAATTAATTATACTGTGAAAGAGTAACAATTGAATAACACATACCAAATTATATTCTAAAACTTTATTTAAAACATTAATTTTTAACAGATATTGTAAAATCAAAGGCACATTTTTTTCTTAATCACAAATTCTTGAAATTGCATCACAAAAGATTAATGTTTTTTTTCTGTTAGTGTTAGTTAGAGATTTGAAATGCAAAGTTTCAATTTTATCGAGATTGTAAACTTAAGTAGCTTGTGTCTATCTTTAAAAAAGCATGGACTGCCCTTTCTCCCATTGAACATAACTCCACTGAAGTCATTATAGATTTTACAATTAACAGAAATAATCCTTGTTCAATGAGCATCATACATTGCTTCAGAACTGTTACAATTTCCAAATACATAATATAAAATCATGGTTTAAAAGGACAGATGCACTATTTTCAGGGAGTGGTTTGGGTCTTGAATATATGTATATACTCTTCAAAAATACTAAAAATGTACAAAAATTGTGTAATTCCTTCAAAAATACTTTAAACTAGGAGTTTCATTTACCATTTTCATATGTCTTTTGTATATATCATAGACACAATTTGTCTTTTTAACTTTCAAATGCGGATAATTTCGGGCGCACATTGATTCAAATTTAGACGGTGAGCTGTGAACACTATATAAACACTTAAAAGCTTAGCTAAAAAATTCCTTTTTCTGAGACTGTGGTACGATTGGTTTAAAAAAATGGCACATCTGTCCCTTTAATGGATTTAATCAGAAGATGGATTTGACACATTTTTTATATAAAAGCTTCTTTCATAAACCTATAAGCAGACAAGAACTGTTAGGATTGATACAACAAAGTTTTGTAATAAAATATATATATATGTAAAAAGTATTGGGTGAGCAATGATCAGACAATATATCACTTAGTATAGTGATGGTATTGGAACTACACCTGGGTAAAATAATCAATTAAGGGTGCTTTGAAATTATAATTTCAATTATTAATCATCTAATTTCATAATCATTTAATTTCATAATCATCTTTGTCAAAGTTATATTTTCTCATGTCGACCTTTTGCAAGTTCAGTCATCTACTACAAGTAGTAATCTTCCAAACAAAAAATATTCTCTTAGTTTTAACTATAAACTATATATTAACCGATCAAAGCAATGAATATATTATTGTACTTCTGTGATAAAAAAAATAACCCATGAAATTAGATGTTTATATTTAGTATTGTAGAGATTTCTCTTTTAACATATTAATCAGTAGCCTACCCATCCCTAATTGGAACACATAAGTGGTAATGAACAATATATATAACAATTCATGATACAGCACTAGTACCAGAAATGTTCCTAGATGTACAATAATTTCCATTTCATTAGTAAGGCATACAGGATAAAGTATATAGCTTAACTAGCTAATGATCAGTTCATTTCAGGTAACCCGAATACTTAATATAAATTTGACTGACAGCCAAGTTTAAAGATAGCTTACCAGGCAAGGTAACATATGCCCACTGGCAGCTGTCAGAAATGATAAAACAGTTTTTAGTGACTAAAGTATGAATTTTCTCATTATTGAAGAAAGTTTATTACTTTGAATTCAATGATATATATATTTACTGCCAGTTATTTATGCTGAGAAATTTTAAAAATCAATATCATTAATCCAACCTCATCAAATTATCGCATCAATATACATGATCACACCATGTTTCATTAAAATCAATTGAAAACGGTAGTCTTTATTGTGTTCACAACAAATTTTGACGTGTTTTTCCTAAGTCAAGGGCAATAATTCAAAAAACATTCATCGAAAAATAGTCAAATTCGAACTTGACCAACATCTCATCAATATACATGATCACACCAAATTTCATTAAAATCAGTTGAAAACTGTAGTCTCTATTGTGTTCACAAGAAATGTTGACTGACTTACGGACAGGGGCGACGGCAATATAAAAAGGTATTGTATTGTTGAATTGTTGAAAAGGCCAGAAGTTACTATAAGGCAAGAAAAAAAGGCACTCAAAACTGATGTCAAATAATATGGTTTTGACCCTTTTCATCAGAAGTAAAAAAAAATAAAAGTCATTTTGTCTTATGTTAAATTGTCCTTACTGGTACAAATAAGGCAGAAGAGTATATCAGTATATCTGCGATATAAGATCAATCTAAAATATCAACTAACAAATGATACATTTTGTTTACACAAAATTTGTCCTTTCAGCATGCTTAAAATAGTATTGATAACATGTGCTCGGATTTATGCCTTGAATCCAAACGAAATAAGTTTTTAAACCAAGTTAGACTTCAAATGAAGAGGTTACCACTGAAAAAAGCTGAAAATGTGGATCAAATTTTACTTGATTGTATGATAGCAGTGACTGTTATGAATAATCAAATACTTAAAGTATAAAATACCCTTTTTAACATTACAACCAGATGTATCACAGAATTTAACAGAAATAAAAAATATAATATTATGATACTCCTCAAATGCTGTGGTATTTCAACATTCTCTTCATAGCAAAAACAATTATAAAAATAACTATAATATCTAAAATCTATAATCTAAAAAAAAAACTAAAGTGAATCAAGAAATTTTTCATATAACTTAAATAGAACAGATGCTTAAATATTTCGATGGCCATGGCCCCTGGAAATGATTAGTTTTGATTTGGTGGTTGATTTAATTACTTAATATTTTTTTCACACAATTGGATCTTTGTAACAATGATCAAAATATCTACATTTTAATTTTAGTATTTCATCCAACTGACTACAGTCAAGTGATATTATGTAAAGCTTTGGACATATAAGTAATTTGTTCACTTGAAAAACTTGTCACACTCATTAATATTCTATATTCTTTAAGTTGCCAAATAGCTGGCCATTACAACAACCTTTTTTAAGAGATCTTTGGTATCTTATGCTACATTTTCTAATGGATCTGTCCCTTAAATAACCTTAAAACAATCTGTCCACATAGCATTCGTTTTACTATAAAATAAAGACTTTTTAAACATACAGTAAGTAATTAAGGGTGGAATGTTGGCTGTTGTTGTGTGACTTGACGATTTTTAGTTTGATCGAGGAACCACCAGGTCATAAGAAGGTGGTTTTGATGTTTTGTCTGAAAGTGCATCTGCATAAGATGGTGGAGCAGTGGCAAAACTAGGCTCTGGTACTACTTCATTATCAACTATAGTTGCTCTGTCCTAAAAGAGCAATAATGAGAATAATGATTAATAAGACAATGTGACATACAAGACAAGGTCAATATCTCAGTTCTTCATTCTCTGGGCAATATGAGATTGTGTATTGCAATATAAACAATTTTTTATCACATTAGGTTCAAATATTGTAATATATATTTTCCTGAAATAAACTCTTTGTAAAGTTATAAAGTATGTTGTTTATTGTTTCTGCTTAAAAATATTAAAAGATAGCTTGCGTTGCAAGGTAACATACGCCCACTGGCAGCTGTCAGAAATAATAAAACAGTCTTTAGTACAAAGTACAAATTTTCTCATATTGAAGAAATTATTCATGCTGAATAATTCCACAAAATTTTTTAAAATCAATATCAATAACCCAAATACAACAAACAATTAAATCACACAGCTCTTATCAAGGGCAAAAAACAACTTTTGACGCGTGTTCACAAAGTCAAGGGCAATAACTCAAAAAATGTTCATCAAAAATATCTCTTGTTAGAACTTGTCCGAGATCTTATCAGATCCAATGATCACACCAAGTTTCATCAGAATCGGTTGAAAACTGTAGCTTCAATCCTGCTCACGAACTATTTTTAACAAATTTCAACACTTTTTAACAAAGTCAAGGGCAATAACTCAAAAACCATTCATTGAAAATGCGTCAAGTTAGAACTTGTCCGAGATCTTATCAATTCCAATGATCACACCAAGTTTCATCAGAGTCGGTTGAAAACTGTAGCTTCAATCCTGCTCACAAACTATTTTTAACAAATTTTGACGTGTTTTTACAAAGTCAAGGGCAATGACTCAAAAACCGTTCATCGAAAATGCGTCAAGTTAGAACTTGTCCGAGATCTTATGAATTCCAATGATCATACCAAGTTTCATCAGAATCAGATGAAAACTGTAGCTTCAATCCTGCTCACGAACAATTTTTAACAAATTTCAAGGCGTTCTAAGTCAAGGGCAATATCTCAAAAACCGTTCATCGAAAATATGTCAAATTTGAACTTGACCAAGATCTTATCAATCTAAAGCATCACACCAAGTTTTATCAAAATCAGATAAAAACTGTAGTCTCTATAGTGCTCACAAGAAATGTTGACAGACGGACCGACGGACAGGGGCGACGACAATATACGACCACATATTCATGTGGGCGTATAAAAACTGGCAGATGTGGCCCAAGATCTAAGATAAATTGTCAAATTTTGATGTTGACATGCCCGGAAGTAAGCCAAGCAATTTGGTCATGAGGCTGATGAGGTTGGATTATTCTCATTCAGACACATTTATATTTATGTTTATCAAAACCAAAAGTATCTAGTGTTGCATTCCCGTGGTAATGTATATAATGCATTGTGATACCATTCCCTTATCAAACTCCATCGTTTACAAGAGTATGAGATATCAGTGCTGTAACATGTAAAGAACACAAGGTGCACACCTCTTGAAGAACCAATAAATTACAACAGTGCAGTCTACATGACTCGATAGTTATGCAGATTATAGTATTAATATGGACCTGGTGATTGTCAACTGGTAAATATAACTTAAGGTAAAGAATTTTTCAACTGAATGAATTCCTTACCCTATTATCAATAACTCTTCTTGTTGGAACTCTTTCAACAATAATAGCTCGTTGCTGACAAGCTTGAGCAGCTGAATATCTTCTGTTTCTTACATAACAGAAAAAAGACCAAAATATAATCTTGAACACAATCAAAACAGCAATAATCCTGAAAAAGAAATTTGATTTGGTTTCTTTCAGTTTTAATACTAATTGAGAACAACTATCTGATTTGTAGAATAACCTTTACAAAAGTAGGATAAAATAAGAACAAATAAGTGACAGAGGTCTTTATCATTGGTATTGTCTACTTCATATTATGATTTTCAGAAATCTTTTTTTGAAAAAAGACATTTAATAGTTATTTTATAAGCTAGCTTTTACACTAATCATATAAGTCAACATATTCTGCTAACAATGAGCCCTGCCATTATTTGCATCTCTATTATATGCAAAGTCTTTAAAACAATTGACAAAAGCGCCATATAGGTAGCATGGGCATGTACAGTAGCTAATAGGCCTACTTGTATATCAATAACTTTTTTCACAATGAAGGATATTATGAACTAAAGATCACGATTCAGCGAACACGATTCAGCGAACACGATCCAGTGAAGAAAGTCGAAAGATTACGATTCAGCGAACAAGATCCAGTAGTGAAGTTCCAAAGGTTAAATTCGCGTTTTGCGTTCTACAAAGTCTACGGTTAAAGTTAGATTCTAGAAGACTCAAATTGAAAAAAGTAAATAAGATGGGAGATAAAACACATAAAAATACTTTAATTTGATAAGATTAGTCATTTCTACCTAAGAAATGAACAAGCGATTTTAAGAATTTACACAATCAGATCTGGATCTTATTTTGAACCAAATACAGCGCCATATACCTATGACTCAAAAGATCTGAAAATAAACTTACACATAATAGTAACTCATATTGTCTTCTTCAATGGTAGAGATTAAAACTAATTCTAAAAAAAAGGGTTAAAATAAGAATAGACCTAGTTGAAGTGCAATGGGATTATAGAAGAAAATTGTGCATTTTTCAAATTATTTCCTATGAATTGAATAAATATATGAGTAAGTTAAAGGAACAGGTTCGCCATTTTTAAGCTTAGCTAATCAGTTAAAGTGTTTACAGCTCACTGTCGAAATTGGAGCCTCCAAATTCATGTGTGTCCAGAATTATCGGTGTTTGTAAGTTAAAATGACGACCCATCCTTAGAAAATACATAGGTATATATAGAAATAGAAATTTCTAGTTTGAGGCATTTTTGATGGAATTATTACAAATATTCAAGACCAAAATCAACACTGAACAAGTGGTTGCCTAGCAAGATACGCCCACTTTCCTGATACATAGGCATCTACAACCATAAAACCCAACAAAATCATCAGATGGGTCAGAGATTTCAGAGACTACACTACATACATGGCCCTACTACTGTACGGCTGAGGATATTTGGCACAGAGTGGTAAATAATTATTTGCCACAGGTTTTCATTATTTGCCACTTATCTTCATAAATAATGAAATAAAATATATTTTACAAATAAGATGGACATCATGATTATTTCAACACATTTGGATGAATAACGGAGACATAATTTTATCAAATGGAAGCGATTTTGACATCATTAAATTACGAAAATAAACAGCATATTTTGATCGTAAACAATGTAAATGGACTCACTCCACTAAAACATTTTATGCAAATGATTGTATAGGAATAGTCCAGGCTATTTTTAGAAATCTTCTTTCTCTCTCCCTTTTGGGGTTTTTGCCTGCCTATTTTTGGGTAAAATTTGGTCTAGATTTGGAATTTGATGACTGAAATTGCATTATCTTTCAGATTTGGTGAGATGATGAGAGACTTAAAGGCGGAAGGCTAATTCTAAAAATAGTCGTTTTGTGAAGTGCCAAACTCTAGCGGATGAGTATAACCGGTAGTAGTCTACTTTCAATTTTAGTAGCTCAAAATTTTCATGGTCATCATATAATGAATTTTTTAGGAGACATTGAGAATTGGTCAGGCTTTCATTCGACATATTGGAAAGCTTTCAACGAGATTTCTGGAAAAAAGTTATAGAAGGTTGAATTTCGTGTTTTAACATGGGAAGAGATGGCAAATGAATTAGTGGAGTGAGTCCAAATAGTAGTCAAATGAGTAGTCGGGATTAACAAGTTGGCGGTATTGATTCAAACACACACATAGTAAAAAAGTCCTACCTATAAAATATTGTATCATTAACAAATGAGAATACATCGATAAGCGACAATTATTTGCAGTATGAATACCAATACCGGTGTAGTGGGTTCAAAAGTAGCCGGCAGCGGGAGAAAACCGCCGTTTAAAATCCTCATTTTGTGACGTTTTCGCCGGTTACTTTTCGTTGAAAGCGCGTCAAAAAAAATTTTACTTTCGCTTTTATAAATCAAAATTTTACGGTATCCTTATATTTACAGAAAACGAAATCAATAAACAACTTAGACGCCATTGCATAGGTCTTTTAGACTGGATGTCCGAATCTAATGTGATCTGTATCTTCGTTTCATAAAATCCTTTTAAAATTTTATGACAGCCCGTAAACTTTCCGTTCTTGCATTTGTTTTTCTGACCAACTTATACAGGGGACAATATAACCGACATGGCATCGCTAATTGAGATACAATTTCAAGAAAAATAGAATGTAATTTTCGTCAGTAAAGCATTTTTTTTTCATTTGGACGATTTAAGAATTTGTTTCATAACCTCCGAATAAAAAACGACACTAATGTTCACGCTTTTGAGAACCGGGATATGGCTTACACTAGCTTGGTAGATCTGGACCCTACCGATCGACAATCAACTAGAATCGGAAAGCTTCGTCATTTTCAAAAAGATTTAAAACACTTTTAATTTAGAGGGGTTCTGACAGGCTTATAAATATTCGTAAGTGTATAAATCGCAACCCTGAGCTTCCTATATTTATCGGTTAGTTTTGTCTTTCTCAATCGAGATTCATACTCGTACGACCTTGAAAATTTAGACTCAATGTCACGAAAAGATACAAATAACAGTAAGAAACAAATATTATTTCTATCTTTGGCTTTGAATTGATTGAAAAATGCAATTGAAATATAACCGTAAGATAAAAAGTCTTTGTTGAAGACAAGTTGGTGGATATGCGGTATTTCTACTCAAAATTATCAGTAGCCCTAACTTCAACTAGCCCTAACTTCGGGGTTCTGATTCAGAACACAGAAATGCTACAGAAGCACTATAGGTGCATGTCTTTAATAGAGGGTTTTCCAACGAGTACAATTTTACAATAATATTATTGGTTTGGTGCATTCTGACACCTTTGATGAGGGACATAATTCATATATTGAAATTTTTTTAGAATAAAACACCTACTGGCACCGTCACTGCTTATTTACCACGGATCCGTGTATAAAAAATATTTTCTTGAAATTTATTAGCATTGATTTTGAAATTTCATTTAAATTATTCATAGTGTAAATCTTCGCTTATCCATGTATTCTCCACTGTTCATGATTCTAAATGCACATCTCAAAGGCATGCAATATTTCATAGGCTGGGCATTTTCACCTGGTGTTTACAATACGTACAATATGGCTGACAGTTGAATTATCACTTCGATTAGAAAACACACAATTACAGTTCAAAGAGGATGACTATTTGAATCACAGTTAGCTATCTTTAGGTAGGTCTGCAGCAGGTTATTATGTATCCCCAAAACCTATCCATGAAAATAATAATGCTTTAAGCGCAAAGACACTGATTTTAAGCCTCATCTGTGGATATTTGACTTGATTTTCCAGGCTTATTAACGTTATTATACCTCCAATTTTTTTATATTGTGTAGAAGACATGATGAGTCATCTCAAGGTCACCAGGGCCACAAGGTCAAATTCGAGGTCAAAGTGCATATCCAAGGTCATCAGTCGTTAAAACACTCCTATGTCCAAAAAAGGGACAGATTTGGAATCCCTGTCCAATTCCCTTTCTGAAAATACTTATTTCAACAATTTTGACCTATTGGTTACTGAGCTATGATCATTTGAATAATGGTGGTCACACCCAATTTGGCCAAAATCCCCCAAATTGGGTGGGGCATATCTGTGGAAACTGTTTGTCCGATGAAGCTAAAATTTCGAATATCAACTTTTTCAGCCCAAATAAACATAGAAACAAAATTTCAGCAAAATCAAAGGGGGTACGGTTGACTTTTTACTTTTTACTTTTTTTGGGTGATTTGACAAGGAATAACCCCGTTACAAAACACGCTGAATCCCCAATTAGACAACGGCATTTTTAATTTTTTGTGTGATTCAATAGAAAATCATTAAATCTAGAATAAAATGCGTTTTTAAATTGCCTAAAATACAAATATGTTTACCACGCCCTGGCAAATAACTGAATGTGTAGTAAATATCCACTACCCTACTGTACACCGCTTTGTCTTTTTTGATTTTGTACAGTAATGTTACGAATATAGAAAGCCTAATTGTCAAATGTAATGAAATTTGTTAACACAACTGAAGGTAATTTTTTAAGAAACAGGGGAGAACTAGGCCCTACGTCTATCATTATGACAAACCTTCTATCTGAAAGAAATGTCTGTACACTTGATTTTACTTCCTGAATGATCCACTTAATGAACGGCTGTGCTCAATTCACATACAAGTAGTGCAGCGAGAACAAAAAAATCATTGAAAATAGCATCCGCATTTGCGAAACAATCGGGCTTTTTTTTACAATTGTCAATTGGGTATTATTACATCTTTACTCGTCCATTGTTGCGGATAGTATTTGATTGAAATCCTGGCCATGTATTCTCGAAACGATCTTAACGCTAGGATATGCTTATCTTCCAACATTGATTCTAGGACATCCTAGCGCTCAGATCGTTTCGAGAAAACGTGGCCTGTCTTTGTCTGTGAAGAACTGTGACTCGAGCACACCTTCTTGGCTCCGTTCAAAATCAGCTAAGTAACGAATGTTATATGAAATGAAGATATTACATATTATGTATATATTTCCTCAATAGCCATCATAAATTACCATGCTTTTTTCCCAATTTAAACCTTTTTGGAACATAAATTTCAATTTTAAAAGATTTCGCTTTTTGTTTGAAAAATCTGAAGTTGGTAAATTTAGTTTTCAAGATGTCTGCCTGCATAAACACGTGAATACTGAATTAAAAACATCCTGACAGTTAAGTAAAATTAACAGATTGAAAGACAGTAATGGGGAAAGATCGAAAGAAAAAATTTAAGGTTCCAAAGCAACGACCTACTGGATTGCCAAGTGTCAGAGAGTTTGAAGAAGAGTTAAGAAATGGTGGTGGAGACAGCATTGATTCCATTAACTCGGATACTTCAACCGTAGTTGCTGAAGTTTTGGAGAAGGTATGTTTGGTTAGTTGGGGTGTAGATACTCCTCAAGAAAAATGGTTTGTACAGCCACTTTGTTTCAAAAGCTTTTAGAAGACTATACTCTCTTGTGCAGAGGCTTGGATGCGATTACAATAATTATAATTGTTCAAGGATTTTGATTAAATTACAGTGGTGTAACCTATTTTCGTGGATATAAGGATTCAACACCGAATTTCGTCAAAGTTAAAAAAACGAAAAAAAGTTTTTCATGTCTTAGATGCTTCCTCAGATATTCTACAAAATAATTAAAATTGGTTTGTTTCGATTTTCTTTATGAATCCTTCACTTCGACCCATATTTCATGAGCAACCAAATCTACAACGGCGGCAGAATGCGTCACCTATTTTCGTGTACAATGTTTGATACATAAATATGTCGAGAAAAACACGTATGGATACCGGGTGGTATAATTAACTTCTCTTAGTATTTATCTTTAATATCAATTCATTATAACTAGTGACAATTCCTTCAAAGAACCATGATCTTAAAAAAAAATAGTGACTGACAAAATAAGATACGTAGCGTGATTTATTGCTAAAAGTCACTGAAACAACATAAGAATATGGTCCACTTTGTGTTCCATAGAAATTTTCTGCTGACACGGGTCCGCTAGTTGATCATGTGACTTCATTCGTTGGACTACATTCTAGCAGACGACACTCGGAATTTCGATTACAGCGTAGGATTATAAGGAAATTCGGCCGATAAAAAATTGTGATGTTTGGTATAACTGAAATCTGCCATTTTGTATTTGTCAAAGTATACATTAATACATTTTACCTTGCTTGAAAGTACTGACCCTTGCGTGACATTTGCTTGTTTTGGTAAACATGGGTTATCTGTACAATATCAGCTAGTAGACTGAATCCAGCAGTTTCAAGCAAGGTAAAATGTATTAATGTATACTTTGACAAATACAAAATGGCGGATTTCAGTTATTACCAAACGTCACAATTTTTTATCGGCAGCATTTCCTTATAATCCCTAGCTGTAATCGGAATTCCAAGTGTCGTCTGGTAGAATGTACTCCAACGAATGAAGTCGCGTGATCAACTAGCGGATTCCGTGTCAGCAGATAAATTCTATGGAACACAAAGCGGGTCATATTCTTATGTTGTTTCAATGACTTTTAGCAATAAATCACGCTACGTATCTTATTTTGTCTGTCGCTATTTTTTTGAAATCGTGGTTCTTTCAAGGAATTGTCACTAGTTATAATGAATTGATATTAAAGATAAATACTAAGAGAAATTAATTATACCACCGGGTATCCATACAACATGTTTTTCTCGACTTATTTATAAATCGAACATTGTTCACGAAAATAGGTGACATATTTTGCCGCCGCTGTCGAGTTGGTTACTCATGAAATATGGGTCAAAGTGGGGGATTCATAAAGAAAATCGAAACAAACCAATTTTAAATATTTTATAGAATATCTGAGGAAACATCTAAGGGGTCATTCCATGTCAAATCACCCAAAAAAAAGTAAGCCGTATCCCCTTTGATTTTGCTGAAATTTGGTTTATATGTTTATTTGGGCTGAAAAAGCTGATATTCAAAATTTTAGCTTCATTGGACAAACAGTTCCTGAGATATGGCCCACCCAATTAGGGGAATTTTGGCCAAAATGGGCGTGACCACCATTATTTAAATGACCATAGCTCAGTAACCGATAAGTCAAAATTGCTGAAATAAGTATTTTTAGAAAGGGAATTGGACAGGGATTCCAAATCTGTCCTTTTTTTGGACATAGGAGTGTTTTAACGACTGATGACCTTGGATATGCACTTTGACCTCGAATTTGACCTTGTGGCCCTGGTGACCTTGAGATGACTCATCTTGAAAAATTTAGCTCATGTTTTCTACACAATATCAAAAAATTGGAGGTATAATAACGTTAATAAGCCTGGAAAATCAAGTCAAATATACACAGATGAGGCTTAAAATCTGTTAAAATCGGTTACTGAGCTATGGTCATTTGTATAATGGTGGTCACGCCCATTTTGGCCAAAATCCCCCAAATTGGGTGGGCCATATCTCGGGAAACATTTGTCCGATGAAGCTAAAATTTTGAATATCAGCTTTTTCAGCCCAAATAAATATATATAAACCAAATTTCAGCAAAATCAAAGGGGGTACAGTTTACCTCATTGGTTGATTTGACATGGAATGGCCCTAAAATATAAAAAAAAAAATTCTTTTTTTTTTTAACTTTGACGAAATTCGATGTTGAATTCTTATATGCACGAAAATAGGTTACACCACTGTAATAACTTAGAATAGGTGTGGAAACCACTAGGATTTAAAAGAAGTGGAAACCATTGGAGGGAACTGAAACAGGGGGAAACGACTGCATGCCATTCACACTCTGCACATAACAAACTTTTTTGATACAGTATGAGTAACAAACAATTCCAAACACTAAACGTACCGGTAATTGTAACATTGAGGCCAGAGCATAGGCAACTGCACTCTATTCAACAAAAATGCCAACAGGAGTTGTAATTTTAAGTATATTTTTAATACATTCTAGATACTCTGTACTTATGCACACAGTATGGATGACAGCCTCTTCTTAATGGAATTTCAAAAATCCAATAATGGCGCTGCTGCATTTGGAATTTGTAACACAGACAGTTGTTGATACACTGACAGAAAGAGAAAAACATTTTACTTCTTGCATTTTCTTAACCTGCTTAAGGTCTTTATCCGTCTTTATGCTGGATTGTGACAAGTAGTCATTGACTTCATTAAATAGTGTAAAATGCATAATTACAGCCTCTTTGTAGATGTAATCAATTACAAATAACAGCACCTAACAAGAAAAAGAAATTGAAAAAATTACAGTGTACTCTGTGATATCCGACGTCTGAGTATTCCGACATTATGCGTAATCCAACATCATTTTCTGGTCTCGATTGATTCCTTCTTAGGCTAGTTTAAAAAACTCTTGAGTACTCCGACACTCTGTATATTCCGAATTACGACACTAATCAGTGGTCCCGATACTCAGAAAAATCTGTATAATCAGACATCTACTCATCTTAATCACTTATCATCAATTAGATAATCGCTTTTTTTTTATTGATAATCTGGATCAAATCAAATGAAAACAAAAGATTGCGAAACTAAATTCTGCTGATTAATCACCACCAATGACCTCGCTTCAAGATCAAGTTCATTGCCTTTAGACCAAATGGCATTGGTACTTGTATCATTAATTACACCATATAGAACAAAAATATGCAACTTGACCATTCTCTGATACGCGTTTTTTTCAAAATTCTCAAGCTAACAATTTTCGTCCGGCGAAGCATGCCCGTATTGATGTTTCTCTTTGCAGAAATATTTATTTACCTATGAAATTTGGTTTACGTCGAACAACAGTAAGCAGCATTTTAAAACGTAAAGAAGAAATTTTAAAAAAAGTTTGCCAACAATATTAATTCCAATAAAACTCGTATGTACGGTAGCTCAAAATATGAACAATTAAATAATAATAACAAGTACAAATATCTTTTATTATTGTCTTATTTTTAGAAAGTTACCGTCTGTAGAATGTGGGTCACTGAGCTTTAAATAGTAACACATGGCACATGTTAAAAATTGTCGTAACTCTGAGTACTCTGACACTCTCGCTAATCCGACATTTTTCGGTCCCAGTGTATGTCAGGTTACGTAGAGTATACTGTATATTTGATTACAGATTACATCTGATAAATGAAAAATTTGTATTGGTCATTGATAACAACTGATTAAAATTACAGATTACAATTACCGACGCCTGCCTATCGAAAATAAAAATAGGAGTTATTGACCTCTTTCTTGAAAACCCTTTCAAAGTTTAGCTCTTTAACACTAATAGGTACAATTCTTGCTGGATTTTGACAAAACTTTGTAATATTATTCAGTATCGCCCTAAAAAGTTAACAGAAGTGTATGACTGAAGGTTGAATAATTCCTACTGGTGATTGTTACTGTACTGCCAAATATTTTTATTTAAAATCAAAACTGCCAGTGGGTGTATATTACCTTGCCTGGCAAGCTATCTTACTACTCTCTGTCTACAATGTTTACAGAATCTAATTTTGCCATTCATATTTGTATTATTTCAAATATAAACTCCAGATTATTAATTAGAGTGTAGATCAGTGTTAAAATCATGTAATAACAGAAAAGTGTGGTTATCTTGTGCATGGTTGTTAAAAATGTACTGTAATTATTCATTACTTAGATTATGATTCTGAATTTAATTATAGCTTCAGTCAGGTCAAGTAGAAGAAAGAGAAATTGGATGTAGTATATTGGTTGGTCTGGTTTCACAATCTGAAGCAATATCCACATTATTAAAACATAATATTATTCGAATACTAGGACCATTAATAGTTGATCCTAGTCCTGATGTCAGATGTAGATCCCTTGGTGTCTTAAGGTAAAGTGCTTTTATTGATTTTTAATTACCTACTATGCAAACGTTTATGTAGGCAACCATTGTGTTGCATGACTGTATTCAAAAAATGTCAATTATGAAACTTTGAATGAAATAATGGATATAATCAAAAAGAGATGTTGGAATTCAAACAAGAAAAATTTTTTCTCTAATTTATGTGCATAGAATATTAAATTATTATATGGAAATTATCCCTCAGTATTGAAAATGATGTAGGTCCTTTAGTTTCCAACCAGTTTTCATAAAAAAAATTTGCAAGGTTTTAGTTTAAACATCTGCATATCTAGGCCTTGTCATATTAAATGGCCCCCAATATCACCATTTTTAGTCTATTAGTAAACTATTGATTCACATGCAGTGTTGGTGATTTTTTTGATTTAAATCAAATTTTATTTTTATCACCTGATTAAAATCAGCCAATCCTGTTGCGTGAGATGGTCGGATACTGTCAGTGTATATTCATTTACCATAGAAATGGAAGGTTTTGAATTTTTTTGTAGAAATATCAGTGTGGATGGAGGCCATGCAGTTTGTGAAGAAATGATTCAAAAAGATGTAATGACACCATTAGTTGCTCTTTTTCACAAGGTCTGTTAATATTAGCTACTTGGCCTTCATTCTAGAATTGAGCTACTGTATGATTGTTGATAGCTTGCTATCATGATATCCCTAATTAGAGACTTGAATACTAACCCGCTTCAAGAAGGATTTGTCAAAGTGATGGTAAAATTAATATGTAATTGAAATTAAGAAAGTACAGACAGAGGAGAAAATTGAGTTATAGAATAACAAACTTAATGTATAAGATATAGCAAGTACTCAGAAAAGAACAGAACCTAAATAAAGAGTTTAATGAAATTGATATTGAATTTAATGGAATACAAATTATTGATTAGTTTTAGTGTTTTAAGAAATATATTAAATATTTAGAGGTCTATTGTGTATATTTTAGTATGGTATTAGTTGGAATCCAGAAGAAGAAACTAAATCTACTGATTCAGCTGTAGATATTTATATTGAAGCTGTTCATTTACTATGGAATTTATGGTGAGTCTGTCTATATTTTAGAACAGAATTCTTCTTAGGTTTAGCTTTATCATAAAGAGATACAAAGATAAGTAATGTGATTCTAAGAATAATGATAAAGAGACAAAGATGAGTTAAGATATTTTAAGAATTAAATGAATATCAGTGCTTCAATCATTATATTAGATTTCTTACAAAAAAGAAAAGTCTATCTTTATTGAATATATTTCAGTGAGAGTTCTGATATTGCTGTGAAGATATTTAATAAAGAAAATTTAATTCAACACCTTTTACCATGTCTGAATTATGAAACCTATACTTTCCCCTTAGCTGTTGCAGTAGGTGAGTTTGATTTTTGGTTAAAAAGATTTCACTGCTTAACTTAAAGATGCAACTTACATTAGATGCCAGTACCGGTACTAAATTTCATAAATTCAAAGTTACCACATTGTCTATGGAAAAATCTAAAATGACTTCTCAATGTCAACAAAAAGCTGTAAAATAATGTTTGACTAGATAAGGATATATCTTTTATCACTTGTTATTTTGATGATGAATGACATAGTCACTTGAAACTCATGTTTGAGATTTTTATACGCCCACATGAAATGGGGGGCATATATTGGTGTCACCCATGTCCATCGGTCCATCCGTCTGTCCGTCCACAATTGCTCGTAAACACTCTACAAGACACAATTCTTGACGGATTTTGACAAAACTTGGTATGAGTGTTCGTAATTACCCAACGATGAACCCTATTGAAAATCAGAAGAATCAAAAAATATTAAGTATAAGTTATTGCCCTTGTTCTTTAAAACGCGTTCAATTTGTAGCTCGTAAAAACACGGACAGTTCTTGATGGATTTTAACTAAAATTGGCATGAGTGTTCCTAATCACCCAAGGATGAACTCTATTGAAAACCAGACAAATCGAAAAATATTTAGTATGAGTTATTGCCCTTGTTTTTGAAAACTCGTTAAATTTTTAGCTCGTAATCATTTTAGAAGGCACAATTCTTGATGGATTTTGATGAAACTTGGTGTGAATGTTCGTACACACCCAAGGATGAATCCTATTGAAAATCAGAAGATTTGAAAAATATTTTGTATTTATTGCCCTTGTTCTTGAAAACGCTTTCAAATATAGCTCTTAAACACTAAAAGGCATGATTCTTGCTGGATTTTGACAAAACTTGGTTTTATTGTTCAGTCCCGCGCTGAAGATTGAATATTTTCCTTCTAGAGTTTTCATGAGCTAAAGAATTGAACACGTTTTCAAGAACAAGGGAAATAACTCATACTCAATATTATTCAGTATCGCTCTAAAGAGTTCAAAAGAAGTGTATGACTGAAGGTTGAATATTTCATGCTGGTGATTGTTACTGTACTGCTAAATATTTTTATTCAAAATCAAAGCTGCTAGTGGGCGTATATTAACTTGCCTGGCAAGCTATCTTAAATCAATGATGAAGATAGATGCTAACAAATAGTTATCAATAACATTTCAGCACAATGTCTACATACAGTAGCAGAAGATAATAAACAAATGGGTATATTTTGTAAACAAGGGGAAGTTATGGGAAAATTACAACAACTAACAACAATTGCTTGTGATACAACAGATGCTTTTTTATTACGCACATTGAGTACTGGCAAGTATAATTCTTAAAACTTTGGTCTGATCTAAATTAAGTGTTGAATTTGAATCTGATTATTAAATAGTCTGAGGTCGCTACCTAAAAAAGGTTGAGTTTTAGGTAATATTGAAAATATATCTTTAGGGCAAATATGTAAATATATGGGTTTCTTTTCAGTATTATTGTAAATATATCTTTAAGGTAAATGTGTAAATATCTGTGTATGTTTAGATATTATTGTACATATTTCTAAGGTAAATGTATAAATATATGTTTATGTGTTGGTATTAGTGTAAATATATATCTAATGTAAATTTATGTTTATGTTTAGGTATTATTGTAAATATATATGGAGAAGAACTGGTATCTGTAAATAGTAGTTTGGTATCAGCTATTATTAAGTCTGCTGCTGAAGTATTAGATATGAATATCAGAGACAATATTAATACCTATATTCATTCAACAGAGGTAATTGTTGAGTTAAAAGAATTTAAATAGATACGTTATTAACCAATGACTATTTTTTAAGGTTTTGTCAAAATTGTAACAAACTGGTAAATTAGAAATGAAGTGTTGTGTAGTGAACAAGATTATTTTGATATATACATGTATTATTATTTTGATTATAGAATGGAAATGGATTGACTGTAAATACTGAAGTAATGGAAGGTGCTGAACATCTTGTAAGTTTAAAGACTAAATTTAGAATGCTCCTTGCAATTTATTTATCAAATGTCTAAGGAGTTATTGCTTATTATTTTGTGAGGGTCTGTTATGTTCAAATTTTGGGTTAGTTTTGACAAAAATGGTTGGATTCAATGGGTTCTGTTTTGTTTGTCATTATTGAACTATTGTAACAATAGAATGCTTTGTATGGTTCCTTTTAAAATTCTCAATGAATAGATACAGTGGTGTAACCTATTTTCGTGCATATAAGGATTTAACACCGAATTTCGTCAAAGTTAAAAAACAAAATTTTTTTTATGTCTTTGATGTTTCCTCAGATATTCTACAAAATAATTAAAATTGGTTTGTTTCGATTTTCTTTATGAATCCTTCACTTTGACACATATTTCATGAGCAACCAACTCGGCAATGGTGGCAGAATGCGTCACCTATTTTCGTGTACAATGTTTGATCTATAAATAAGTCAAGAAAAACACGTTGTATGGATACCGGGTGGTATAATTAACTTCTCTTAGTATTTATCTTTAATATCAATTCATTATAACTAGAGACAATTCCTTCAAAGAACCACGATTTTAAAAAAAAATAGTGACTGACAAAATAAGATACGTAGTGTGATTTATTGCTAGAAGTCACTGAAACAACATAAGAATATGGCTCACTTTGTGTTCCATAGAAATTTTCTGCTGACACGGAATCCGCTAGTTGATCATGTGACTTCATTCGTTGGAGTACATTCTAGCAGACGACACCGCTTGGGATTATAAGGAAATTTGGCCGATAAAATATTGTGACGTTTGGTAATAACTGAAATCCGCCATTTTGTATTTGTCAAAGTATACATTAATACATTTTACCTTGCTTGAAACTACTGGATTCATTCTACTAGCTGATATTGTAGAGATAACACATGTTTATCAAAACAAGCAAATGCGAGGTCGCACATGTAAATTATTAATCATTTCTGGAGATGCAGGAAAAATAGGTTAGCACAAAATTAGGTTACTTGACTGTATCTGTGAAATGTGCCATCTTGGTATCAATTTGTCTTGTTTTTCAGCCAGAAGAATCTATATCTAGTCTTACAAACCCTTCAGATGATAACTCAGTAAGTTATAGACTGACTATTAATTTTTTCTCAATTTGAAGAATTTTTTTATTTGATCAATCAATTGGTGAAACCACATGTTTCGAGCACAGTATTTCTTTCTATTTCAGAAAGAATTGACTGATATTGAAAATCTGTTGAATGCTCAACGGTTAAGTTCAGAGATAATAGCTAATTTATGTTGTTCAGATGGTAGGTCGATTTAAATTTTTGAAATTGAAATTCATTGGATTACTGTTAAAATGATTTAATTATTCATTTAATTTAATTTTGGATGTAATGAAATATAGTATATTTCTTTTCATTGTATATCTAATTATACAGTGAGATTTGATCATATTTCTTATGCTCTAGACCTACAGTAAAAGAGTTGATGGATGTTCATGTTTTTTGAGAGTTGTTTATGTGTTTTTAGATGATGGATTTGAAGAATTACATGAATCAAGTTCAACAGAAGATTTAACAACTGATACTGATATGGGAACAAGTTTTGTAAATTAACTTTAACTCATTTCATCTGATAACATATTTTTCTGATGTTACTGCTTATGCAAACTGTAGTTTTCTTCCTAGAAAACCCCTTCTTTAGGCAACTCAACTATTTCAGCTTGATGTATCAATACATATTTACTGATATCCTCAAATCTATATCTATGATTATTCTTATGTTATATTTCAGTCACCATTATGTTTATCAAGTGAAGTTCATTCAGAGTTCCTAACACACAGTATATTTAGCAAGGTAAATATTAACAGAACATTGATTTTTACTTAAACTAAGGTTTTGTATGACACTTCAATTACTTGAAAACTCTTTTGTGAAAAGGTCAAATTCTTCTAAATTACCTCTTTGTACAGGTATGTATTAGAAATAATCGCATACATTATTTATGTGTGGAATAATAATGATAATAATATATTTTTTCTATGTATTGTAGCTACTAGATAAAGCTGAATGCCTTACAGAAGAACAGAAAACTGTGTTACAGAGAAATAGTCAAGGACAAAAAGTATTGAGAAGGTATGATTGCTCTCTATTTTTATGGTTAATATTAAAGAAATAGTGTGCAAAATCCTGAAACTGCTTTGAACATGTTAAGGTGTTTCTCAGTTTCCATTTTTTTTTTTTAACTTGAAAATATATTTTATGGTGTAAAAGAGTTGTAATGATTTTATTTCTATATGTTATAGTTATATGCAAGTACAGGAACATAGTTTATTGTCAGCTCACAATATGATTAATGCCATTGATGATAAAGATTTAGGTGGTTTACAGAAATTAGAAACAGTGTGGGAAGGTTTAGCTAAACTGTCTACATCTAAACAAGGTGTGTTATGCTTTTATTTTGTATTGAAGAAGTAAATGTGTATGGAATGTAATGAATTTATGACAGATATTTTTGATGATTATTTTTTCAATATATTTCAGCAAGTGAAGATAAGAGTTTCTTAGAAGCTGTAACTAGTGCTATGAGAGCTGTCATACAGAAACTTTCTCAACTCAAATCCTCAAATGTAAGACTGATTTATAAAAAGACAAGTAATATTATCTTCTTATATATATATATTGTATTTAATTTCTCAGTCCATCAAATCTGGCCCTACCCAGTTCCTCCGATGTGATATTCAGATGGGATATCGGAGTGGGGTTTAGGGTATTTAATGTTGATATTCATTTTCAAGTTGCTCTGACCCATTTTAAGTTGCTAGTTTCTGAGCATTTTCACCATGACAAAAGGCCGATTTGGTAGAACTTTTGGTGTCTATACAAAGCAGAACCATAAATGAGTCCATCAAGTCATTGGCAGACATTGTTCAATGTCCCTGTGCCCTAAACAACAAAACAGATATTATTGCTGCATATCATGTTATCTCATTATACCTCATATTGTATTCCTGTCAATTTATAATGATCAGAACTCAAATATTCTAAAATATTGTTTTTTTTATTACTTATGATCATTGTTATATAGTTCGAAGATATTACGAAAAATGATTTAGAGTATTTATATAATATAAGTATAACAAGTGATAATACAATAAAGATTAATATCATCAGAATAGTATCAACAATAGGTTGTATTCTGGCTACTAATTTACAACCTCATCCTATGTTAAAGGTAAATATCCTAAATTGAAAGTTTTATTATCACTGTCCTTGGAGTCTTTTGAATCAAATTTTACTGTTAATTCTTTAGTGAATTTGAATATGAGCTTCAAAGTAGTACTGATAGTCTTAGAATGACTTTGCAATGTAAATTTACATGTAAAATAACCACACAAGGATAACAACTTAGTCCTGTCTAGCTGCTGGTCATTGTATATTTCATTCATTGCCTGATTAAAGAGGAAAGATTTTATTTATAAAGAATATTCAAGTTCTGTATAACATGCTTTCTAGAATAAAAGCTTCTAGAAGACATGAATCCAGAAAAAAGTGCAAATGGGACAAATTTTGAAAACTACAGCCCAAACAATAAGTATAATATATTGTAGGATATAGGAGTGTTTCTAATAAAGAATTGTCGAGACCCAGATTTACTAGTAACAGCAGAAGCATTAGACTCTATATTTGATGTATTTGGTGAAGATCATATAGATTCTATTGTAAAAGAAATAAATTTAATACAAGAATTACGTACTATTCTTCCACCATTAAAAGCTAAGGTTTGTATTGGTATTAGTAATGTTTGCATTGATCAACTATTTCAGAAAAGATGTCAGAATGGTTAAATTATCTTTGATATGAACATTAGATTAACAGATTGGTTACGACTTAAATATTACTGAATTTTTTTTATGTTAAAAATATATTTTATCATATTTTTTAATTTCAATGAATTACTGTTTAAAGTTATATGTAACTTAGAAGCTTTGATCAAATCACAATATATAGATATGTACTATATAAGACAATATATTTCCTATTCTAGATTAGTAAACAGAAGAAAATATTGGGAGATAAATATCCTATAGTGGCTACAGCAAGAACAAACCTGATTAAATTTATCAGATATAAATCATAAAGTGCCTTATATTACCTACAATTTGATATATTGATATATAGAGCAAGACATTATGATGATATAGAGCTTCCAGCTAACATTTCAAGAGTACCCATGGATTACTAAAACTAATTTGAAATATTGTTCTATGCCAGAATGTTTGTTTTGTTAATGTCATTTTAAACTAGATATAGATTGTAGTTATTATTATCTCTCAGGTTGATTCCTGTAAAAGAATGAAAAAAAGAAATTAAAATGTGAAAATGAAGTTATTGCCTTGTTTTAATAAATTTCAAGCAAAATTCTAGACAGATTTTGGCAAAACTTAAATGAAATTTTTAATTACTATACCTTTTCTGTTATTGTGAGAAAAAGGTTATTCAGCACCAAAACAATTTTATCTCTAAAAATTTTCAATTGCAAGAACAAAAAAGATTTCACATTTTCTGAAATGCAATACAGTAGAGATAACTTGATGTTAAATTGAAATACAGGGATAGGGATTTACTTGTGGATGTATATTGTCATTTGAACTGTCCATCCGTTGGTTTGTCCATTTCATGTTGAATGTTGAACCATTGAAGTTAGATTTTAACAAAATTCAAAGATGTTCTTAAAAGTTTTTTAGTTTTGCCCTTGACATGCCAACAAAGTGTTAAAATCAGCTTGTTAGAGTTTTCATCTGCTATTGTTGAAACTGGGTATATTAAAGCTGCAGACACACAAATGGTTTTGGTCAGCGTTTTTTTTCAATTTTTGTTGCATACTAGAGTCTTGTCAAGAGTTTCACCGACAGGCCAGGGGTACACAAGGAAATAAAAAACAAGATGATCATGCAATTTAATTGTAAATGAATCTGATTAGATGACACTCTGCAGACGATAGAATGATCAGCAACAATTATCAAACTGATATTTTAAATTCCCGCTGGTAACGGGATAATCTTGTTGTGGAAGTGCAGACACACTTGAGATTTTACTCGAAATTCGGGTCGGCAACAAAAACTTTTTCATGTGCCTGCAGCATTATGCAGATGGATGAGCTCTCAGATAAGTTAAAGTTTTGTTGTACTTGACATTCAACTTTCCTAGTTTAAACAAACCAGTCAGTGTACAGTGCCAGTATTGTTGATTACTTATTTTTAACTGAATGTTCAGACAGTTTAATGTTTAAGATTATTTGAACAAGCTTTGACAAAACATAGTATTGAATGTAATTTATTGTAAAATATGTAAATAAAATCATTGATTTTGAAACTTTTTTACTTGACTTGTAAAGATTCCTTTACGGGATGCAGTTTTCCTAACTCATTAGTCCTTTATTTAATGGGAGAATTGTGATTTTTCATCTAACAATTTTCATGGTTTTAATTGCAGAGTTAAAGCCTTTATTGCACATTAATAAACAAATATACATTGCTATACAATAACATTTTTTTGTATACAAATTTATCACAATAATTCTCCAACATAACAGTTTCTTGCTCTATGCAACACTAGAATTATCATCGCTTTGAAAACACATCAGTTGAATTTTCATATCTGACTGAAATTCAGACAGTAATTTATCTACCATTCTGAAATAGAAAAATAACTTGGGTTGTTTTCATAAGTGGACATAGAACATTTAGCATATTTATAATAATACAAATGGCCGCAATTTTGTTTTTATGTTAAATTGGCTGCCAGGTATATGTCATTCTCAGGTACTGAGAAAATGTTTAATCTGCAGTGAGATATCAGTACCCTAATAATATGCATACTTCATTTCAGTAGGCTACTTATAATATATTTTTACACTGGTCATTTTTTTTGACAGCAAAACAATGCAGTACCAATCGGTCAAGGGCCACTATTAGCTGTGACCTGAAGACAACAGGGCCAAATGATGGTCAAATGTCCCCTTCAAAAGCACGATAAAACATAGTTTAGTTTTAAAGGAAATACTCACTGTTTTCCTTCTCCTGATAGTGCTGGTAAACAATCATAAGCTTCTTTAAAACATCCCCTATAAATGTATCAAAAAAAAATATATATAAGGCCACCCAAGAGGAAAGATATGATTTTATACCAAATTCTGATAAAACCAGAATGAAAATTTACCAAACACAAAGACACCTACAAACTATTGATATAGGACAATTTCTTAAATTTCTTAATTGTTATACTATGTTGTGTCCGTCTTCAAGAATTTGATATAATCTCTATATCTTTACCATAAATAAATAGAAAGCTGACTGATCTACCTGATTTTCTTTGTTTCATATAATACAACTATTGATTCCAGGGCCTTTAATTCTAGTTTAGCCTAACAAATAAACAATAATAAACAAAATTAAGTATCATACCCATATTACATGGTCCTGCTTAACCCTCACTCCAATATTACAATATCAAACATAAAAGATAAAAAGTAAATTTATGATCTATTTCTGTTAGATTAGGTTATTCTTGTCTAAATTAAATAGTTATATATTCACCTGTATAGCACCTATTGTACCAAATGCTGTAACACATTGAATAATTCTAGATATTTCTTCACATACAGCCTCCATTACTTTCATCATAACACGAGTTATAAAGGCTGGAGATATGGAAAACACCTAAATATATAAAGCAAAACCTGGTAAAATTTAATCTCGAACAAAGATATAGACCTGTGCTTTTCAAAATTAATAAACCTCTCCAGCTAGTAAGTTTTAGCAATATTTGAAGATATTTTCTTGATCCAAATCATGTCAAAATTATTCAAATATGTGCTGCGTAAAAAATCTACCCTGCCATATGATTCAGTCATCTTACCTCAGCATGTACTTCAATGATACTAATAATAACTTCCTTCAGGTAACTTCTCACACCTTAAATTATAATTGGTTGTGAAGAAATCATATTGAATATTCCTTCTACATAATAACTTCAACAAGATATGTAATTAAAACATGTGGCCCACATTCCTTATTGAAATGATATGATATGATATGAAATGGTATAGAACTAGAAGTACAGTTATGGACCAAAGCGACAGCATTAACCTATATTGACATTTTATCTCAATGTAAAAAAAACAATATTAGATGTGACTGATGTCATTTACTGAGTGTGTGTTTACATAACTTTTGACAAACCCCATGTTCATTTTCAACACTAAAAAGTGATCTTAGAATCATGATATTGACACAACTGTATTCCTTATACCACAAGTAATTTCTTTTTTATATTGATGTATTCTATTGCTGAAATATATAGTCTCTACTTGTGACCTAGGCCAGTGCTTCTACAGTTGAGTATCTCTTATAACACCTTACAAGTGTAATAATTTCTCGTTAATTCTAAATAGTTTTAGAATTACCAGTGATATGTTTCCAAGTTTTCCAATTAAAACCTGATTTATACATATTGGGTTCCATTGTTCCAATGATAGGATCTGTCTTCTGTTCAATATATGCTTGAAATAACTTCTGATCTAATTCCATATATGTTTGTTGAGCTGCCTGCAATTAAACAACACAGCTCAGTAAATAAGGTTTATTAAAATACACTTCATTTTAAAATATTTATATGAATTATATGAGACAGAAAGACAGGTTAAAAGTAAAGCTAAAGAAAAATATTAGTTTGAATATCAAACTGAGTTTGAACAGAATAGCAGACAAATGAATGCTGTAATATTATACTGAATACTGAATGAGAAGATACCCAGTTGGAAATAGTGTTTGATACATTGAATATTGAAATGTTAAGTTTTACCGATACTTAGTATACCAAATATGTACCAACTGATAACCACTTTTCTCAGAGGTAAGGAATCCTTTATTTGCCTTTCAAGCTCATCTGCATAAACCATTAAGGCAATAGTTAAAGTTAAGCAACACAGATTAGAAAAAGAGTATGGGTACCAAGAACTTTGAAATGAAACAGAAATTAAGATTAACTTACTTTTAAAGCTTTATTCATTTCAACATAACCATGTTTATTCAGATTTTCAATAATTCTTGGAACCGTTTTTTCCATTGTATGTGCACAATTACTCAGCATTATGACTAATCTTTTATCCTGTACAAACAAAATTTTAGAATGAATTGAAATGGAGCTTTAGATCTTACTTCACTACTCTAGTTTTAGATAATGAAAATGAACAAACTATGTCGAATGTATTTTGAGGTTATTTATAAACCAGCTCTTAAACCTGCAGAAATGAAAAAGAAAAACAATGGTTAGAATAATTCAATCCATTTTATAAAATAAAGAAAATAACTTACTAATGAAGGAATGGGATCTTCAAGTTGATCAAGATCAAAATCAAAACCAAGGTGCATTTTAATGGGTTGAGCTCTGAAATAAAAATAAAATACAAATTCAATATATCAATGTGTGACTTATGTTTTAAAATCAGATACAACACTTATAGTATAAATATTTATAACTGTAGAACATACCTATTCAATAGGGTATCTACACATAAAGTAACCATGAAGAAATCTTGAAATATTTCAGCTCACTTTCTGACATAACAAACTTTCTTTCATTTATTATGTGAGATTAGGTTAAATCAAATTAAAAGCTTACTGTGCAGAGTCTATTTTGTGTAATGGTGGACTAAATGATAACTGTTCCATACATAATGCAAACGCCTGTAATAACTGAGTACATAATATAGTCGCTTCTTTCTGTATTGGTCGCTGACTAAATATCTGGAAAGAAAGTTAACAGTGTTAAAATTCAACCATTCTAGCCTTACCATAATGCCTGTTTAACAGTTTAAGCACATTCAACTGTGCCTCTAGAGTTTCATACTTATTAAACTACTGGATTTTGACCGTTGGGTAGCACTTTGAAAACTAGGTCATAAAAGTGTATATATACTATGATAGAACATACCTCTGGTTCACCAGGTTTATTTAATACAACGACTTCATGTAAGTGTGATATAGTTTCATTAACAATATTCTCAAATAATACAGGCTGAAAATAAATCATCATTGTGTTAAAAGTTACAAATATTAAACATTTGTCTTTACATTTTGAAAAAGGCATACAAGTTTACTGAAATAGATAGAAAGAATATAAAATAGAATTTACCAGTTGAGTTGAACCTCCATATTCATCACCATATTCTATAGCCCATGTTTCTTTATTATGTAGCAGCTTTACATCTACAAACATAACAATTCAAATAATAAGGCTGACAGATTTGCTTATTAATTAATAATAACAATTAACATATTGTTATGAATGATTACCTTGAAATGATAAATTGAATCTAATAATCACTGAATATAGATACTTTCTATAAGATTAATTCATCTATAAATTATTACAGCTAAAAAATTTCATTCGTTTTGGATATACTGATGAAATGAGATGTTTTCTTTACAAACCTATTATAGCTTGTTTCAGTAAGGTAAACATACAATGGGTACGTAAATCAAAAGCTAATTCTTGTACTAAATTTAATGCTTCACCATGAACATCTAAATCTTGTAAAGTTGATGTACTGGTTCTGAAAAACAATAATAATAAAAAATAAATGATATTGCTTTCTGAATATTATAAGACATAAGGATTTTCTTTTTTCAGGCCATTAAATGTTCAGTATTACTTGAGTGAATATGAAATAAGATGAAATTCCAAGCACAACTTAGGATTTTAACTTTTTAAACAAATAAAGAACTTTTTGTCTGCTCTACAATGCCATTAAAAATTTTTAATTCCCTACTTTAGTCGAGTATGGTTGTCATAAAGTTCTTCATTTAATTAAAAAAAAATTTCAACCTGATATGTCTGACACAATGTGGTAACCAAGCTCCGGATATATCTTGTCTTCTACTAGGCCATACACCAAGTTTTTCTAGTTGTATATCTCCTACATCTTCTAATGACTCTGGTAGAATGGCTGCTCGAACAAATGCAGTATATAAACCTACTAGTTCTTTTATCATAGTCTAAAATAATCACAATTAATATCATCAATTAAAAGTTCAAAATAGAAATATAAAAATTAAAATATAAGATTATTCATGCATAGAAGCAAACTCATTTACCACCATTAGATACATTGGTAATGTTCATTATTCCTGACACAATAAATGTGTATGTGATTTCTAAGCAGTTTAATTCATTATAAACAAAAATATAACTTACTCGTAATTTAGCATGTTTACTGGAATCAGGTTTATAACCAGATGACTGCAGATAAAAAAAAAACTCAGATTGTAAAGGAGAGCAGATTCAGCAAGAAGCAAACTTCTCGCCACTGTGACCGGTTGTTTGATGTTAACCTGGCGGTACCTACATGGTTCAGCATAGGTCACATAAATTTCTTTGAAAGTGTCAACCTGGTATCTCTTTATATTACATGCAAAGATCCTTTCAAAATAAGCAATTATAGCTGCCAGGCCAGGTAACATATTCCCACTGATGTGTTTGCTTGGGTAACTACATTTGGCAAGAACAGCACTTCAAAGAACAAAGGAAATAACTCCTATCAAATTGATTTTTAATAGGGTCATCCTTGGGTGATATTAAAGAATTCCACCAAGTTTCCCCAAAATCAGTCAAGAAGTGTGCCTTCTTAAGTATTTACAAGCAGTTGAGGATGGACTGACCGACAAAAATATACATATGCTCCACTATGTGGGCTAAAAAAGGAATTGGCACTGCTATGTTGATACAATTTCTTTACCTGCAAAATGCCTTTATTTACCGCCAAAATTAAATTTGGGTATATGTAAGAACTAAATTCAACAAACCTCTTTAATACTAAAATCTCCAGAGAAATACGCTTGACCCAATTTCCAAAAATCTGGGAATTTTTCCATCATAATATCTGTTAAATCTTCAATAAATAAAACTTTCTGTGGTGTTTTAAACTTCCAACCTTCAATATAAATAATATTGTTTAATGTCTCGGAAGTATGAAACTTCAAATTTAAAGTGATACAGAGTGTGATGTAGAAATTTGGTATTTACCAACATTTTTCTGAAAAAAGCTTAAATAGGGTGGGTGGCCTTAGCAATGGAATACTTACCAGAAGAGGTTCTGTTTGAGGGAATACCTAAAAATATAATAATCATTACCAGTAATAAAGTCTTAGAAATCCTGGAATCTAAAATGTTATTAACACTAAAATATATCTTTATAATAATTTATAAGCTACACCACTGTGAAGAAATTTGGAGATCTAACCAACATTATGATGTTCTTGTCGCAGTAATTTTTTTTCAATACTCCAAAAACTATAATCTTTAAACTGTTACCTGGTTTAAGTGGTGATCTCAATGCTTTCGGACCTTCTGGTTCATTTTCTAAATTCATTTTTTCTACAAAAATAAACAAAAAAAATTCTGGTCAAACAATGGAATCTCATGTTATATCAAGTATTGTCATCATTAACTTTGAGTAGGAAAGAGGTGGTAGGCTACCTGTTACACAAGTATAAAAGAAAATACACTTACCTACAGCAATGTGATAATCTTTACATACATTTAATGCAGAGATTATATTCTGTAATTGATTATCTAAACATTCCCATGCAGGATCACCTTCATATTCTAAACTTATCAAATATCTGCAATAGATTAATAAGTACTATTAAAAGTGCTAAGAGAGCTCTAGCTTACTATTGAATAATTCATCATTCACTTGAGTCAAGTTTCTGCCATTTGATTTTTCATTCTACCAGACTAATTCATCCAATGATATTCTCATGACAATGACTAAAGAAATATAGTTTACCTTATGAGTTTCTTCTGTTCATCTAAACCTATTTTAGGATCTAGTAACTTTTTATGTAACATGTTACAAAACGTTCTGATTTTATTTTCAACTTCCTCATAAACTATAATAATGAAAAAAATAAAACAAAACATTGAAATCATGGCATCTGATCACATATATTATTAATAAGAAATATCAAATGATAAAATAAGATAAGACTTTTTTGCAAAAATGTTCCTGTCCCTTGCAATTAATCATTATTTCATCAACTGGCTAATTAAAGAATTGATGGAAAATACCTTTTTTGAAAACTCCCACTTCGGTTTCAGCAAATAATGACTTGACTTTTTCATAATCATTGATCACAATATTAAAATCGCCCTAAAATAATTCAAATATTAATATAACTTAGAAGTAAAATGGAATACCACAAGATTTGGTCTGCATAAAACTGAAAAGATCAGCTTAAAATAGAACAGTTGGTCCTGGAAAATTATAATACATGACCCCAGTAAGTTTGAGGAAAGTAAGCCAACACAGGGCAAAACATATAGATCTACATAAAAAGAATTGTCATGTATACAAGATTACATTAAACAATTGACATACTCTTTGTATATTTCTCTCTATATTGTAAGGCATGTAGAAAAGAAATCTGAATTTCTGTAGAACACTCAGGGCATTTCTAGTGGAGTCTGCTTTATCTTTCCTCCCTAGAACTTCTTGAAACAGTCCGTCTGCACATGATTTAGCCTCTAGAAAATAAAACATGAATATTTATCCTTGTTTTACAACCAACAACATTGAAGTAAGACAATGTCATGGAATACACAAAAGATTGAGTCTGTGTTATTCCAACTTTTTTTGCCTGGATTGAGGTATATATTTCAGGTAAATGCATGGTTCTCTATCCATGACAGTCTGATAGGCTCTTTAGGTTCAAAAATTTCACAACAAATCAAAAACCTAATTAAACTTGATCCAGTGTTTTCCTAAAAGTTCTCCAGGATTACACAAAGTACATAAAAGAATCGAGAAAATCTTAAAATATACAAAGTATCTTTACTTACGCATCAACAGAACTGCATATGAATTCATACAATCTATTCTTAAATCATCCTTAGTAAACTTTTCATACATGGCTAAAATATAAATAATTTTTTGTATTAACTGATCTAAGCCCAAACACATAACACTCATACATGTGTAATCTACCGATGTTGTCGGGTTTCTACCGTTTTTGGATGTTGTCTACCGCTCTACCGGCGGGATGACCGATTCTACCGATTTTTGTTTTTTCCTGATCAAATTTTCACGGGACCTACCGTTTTCAATGTTCAAATTCTCTACCATAAATCAACAAAATATCTATCATCACTTGTATCTTAATTGCCGGTAACACGCGTTAATCTCATCACGTAATAATATTATCATTGCCTGATTAATTAATCCCCCAATTAAGATGGTAATTTGATCTATTTTCGCCCGATAATGTGCATTTTAAGCCCACATGACACACTTTTTATAACAACATCCGGTAGAATCTACATTCGCTTTTATAATAAATTTTACAGTAGCCCTACTTTTACTAAAAAACGAAATCTTGAAGTCTTCTCAGTATCTTATACTGTCAGTGTCAATCTGCGAGGTCTATAATAGGCCTATATAACATAGACGTCGTTTCAGGATTATTTTTCATTATCGGTAGATTAGATTAGATCTGCCTGTCTAATTCTTATGTAAACTCAAACTTCGTTTCATAAAATCGTTTTGTAATTTTTACTGTAGCCTGTAAACATTCATTTGATTGCCTGCATAAAGGGCTTACTTATTACAAGTCTTTCCATTCTGAAGAACACTTTTAACAGTGTAACCGTAGATGAATAGAAAAAGAAAATAATTCGAAAGAGAAGCTTTACCAATACTTTACTATTTACTTGACAACAATAACTTACATACTTATAGACTAATTTAAATGTCTGCTATTTATAAGAAGAAAAATAAATATAGTATCATAAATTACAGCAAATACAGTAGAAACTTACCAGCTAAGCTATCTAAACATTCTAATATTGTACTGAGGTTTGATTTTACTATAGCTATAGGTCCTTGTGATCTTTGACTGGCCTTTCTCTGTAAATACCCTAATCCAGCTTTTAAATCGTCAAAACTGAAAAACAAATAATATCAAATTAGTAAAGATTAGCCTTCCAGACTTAGGTTACAGACAAGGGTAAATTTGTTACTAGTTACAATCGAATTTTCTCAACATATCCCAAACAGAATCCTGATATTTTTTGAAATTCAACATACTGAGAATCAGTCCAGTCCACTGTCCAGTGATGAAATATCCACTGCAAAATTGTGAACAAATAAAATGTTGAAATCACCAAGATTACGAAAACCAGTCAAGATTCAATAGAATTATCAGACTGTTGAAAAATTAAAAACTTACCTAGCACTGCAATGATTTTCTAACAAATACCAAACTGGTGAAAAATTCTCTAATGATAGATTTCCTGATGCTGTAAAAAATAATCAGAAAGATAACATTTACACTGTACATATTATGAACTATTTTTTTTAGAGCACTACCAAATAAGAATTAAATCAAATTCATATTAATTTGAAACTAATTATTGAAAATATTCAGTACAGATATATATTATACATATGGGAGAAAAATTAATCTTCAGGCACAAAAATTCCGAAATTTACTGAAATTCCCATATCATATCAACTTTTACATCTCTTTATAAAATATATACAAACATAAATTGTTCTAATAAATATTTACCTTCTGGAAATATCTCTAATAATTCTTCTTCTGTAAATTTAACACTGAAAAGGAATGTCACATAGTCATCTTATTCTGACTGGGTGCAAAAATACAGAAGTTAATGTTGAATTCTATACTCAGAGTCATTTAGGCATTTTTCCATGTATTTTACAGATAAACTATTCATTGATGACAATCCTTTGAATAAATATCTTTCTTAAGGTAAAAATTTGAAAAATAAAACAACAACTAGTGGAAAACTTACAGTAACAGGCATTTATAATAGACATCTAAATCTTTTTTTAAATAATCTAAATCAGTAGATTACACAAAACTACAACAAATCTTACCCATCTCCTTCATCAGATAAACCTAAAGGGTCTTCATCTTCTTTAGGTGACATTGGTGATGAGGGACGACCATGAGCCAAATTAGCTGGTACAGTTTGAGATTCATCTATCCATACAGCAGATTCTTGTAATGGACCTTTAAATATATAATAATATTCTCATTATTGTTCTAGGTACTAGACATAGCAACTATTGCTGGTTTACTGCATATATTTGTTGAACAAACTCCGACAGTATTCCGACATTCTGTGTATTACGAATTACAACACTAATAAGTGGTCTCAACATTCAGAAAAATCTGTATAATCAGACATCTACTCATCTTAATTACTTGATAATCGCTTGTATTATTGATAATCAATTGATATCAATTTTGCTGATTAATCACTACCATTTAGATCAAATGGCTTGTGTCATTATTTGAGGTACTTGTGTCATTACACCAAATATTACGGAAATAAGCAACTTTACCATTCTTTGTTTCGTGTTTTATCACAATTATCAAGCTATCGTTTTAGTTGCAATGCTCGAATTGTCGTGCAAAGCCTGCCTGTACTCTAGTTATGAAACTGCAATTTGGTTATCATGAAAGTGCCATGTGCTATGCAAACTATGAAATTTGGCTTAGCTCAAACAACAATATGTGACATTTAAAACCGTAGAGGAAAATTTTTCAAAATGTTTGCCCACAATATTTATTCTAAAAAAAAAACCTATGTCCCAATGTATGTTGGATTACACAGAGTATACTACTGTAAATGACTCTAAAATTGTTTCTGTATTATTTGGTCATATTCTGAGTAACTGGTAATATAAAAATATAATACCTATTTGAAGAAAATATCCTCTAAAACCGATACTACTGGATCCTTTACCACCAGATCTGGTTGTTATAATAACATCACCTTTACCTTTGCCTGGTCCAGTCCGAGCTATTATTTTACTTGATGATTTCCATTCAGCCGATAATAAACAATCTACACCACATATCTTTAAACCTAAAACATATTCGTAATTGCATTAATATGTAAAATATATGATACATGCAACACATAATGTAGTTCATTAAATTATACTGTATAACACTGACAATGTAAATTATACCGGTGGCCACTAATGGGTAGTGATCACACCTTGGCCCAAATAATTATATTATCTTTTCATAATAAAAGGTATGGAAACAGTGTCACTAAACATTGGGTGAAATTGATCCTTATCAATATCAACATAGCTGGTTTATGGTTTATTGAAGCATAATTTTTTTCTCAATTAATTCATCTGTGAAACCTCTTTGCTTTTAAATTTCAATTATTTTCTCAAATTTCAACTTTGATATAGGATCTAAAATGAAAAGACCCAAGGAAGAGTATTTGATTACCGGTACTTTTTAACCCCGTCATCAGGAATGAATTGGTGCTGGAACTCATTTCTAACAATTTTGAGGTGCCAAAAACATATCAAAATCTATATCTTTTTTATTTTGAACAAAGACACTGTAAATAAATATGCTGAACTGGAGAAGGTTTTGCTGGGGCTTATTTCTTACTTGCTGGGCCCCAGCCCCCATGGACCCCACCCTAGCGAAGTGCTGTAGAATTGGAACTTTTGTCACCGTCTTACTTTTATCAGAAAAGTCATCAAGTAATTTTTATCAAATCTTGCCTTACAGTACTGTTAGTTTACCTATCAAATCTCTGGCATCTATTCCTAGATTTTCCCCTCTAACAGTTATTCTTGTACCAGGAGGACCTTCTTTAGGAGATATACCAGTCACTAATGGAGCTCCAACAGACCCAATCATCTTATTAACCTATAACAAATAAATATATGTTACAATTGTTATGCAGGCTACAATTAATATTTCATTTGGAAGGGAAGTTTCATACCTTATTTAGGGTCTTTATCAGGTCGTCCAGAAGGAACTGGTTGGAGATTTTGTCAACTTGGCATTAATTGAACACTGTAGTAACCTCATATGCTAAGCCCAACGCAGACGAGGAACATTTTAAGCGAACAATCGTAAAAATTTGGTTTTGATCATTTTTTTCACCGTCTGCGGATTACAGAAACACGAACAAAAATGTATGTGAGAATTGTTTGTGAAATCAAACGTTTGATTTTTAAAATTGTTCGCCTCCCGAACAATTCTTTGTTCGCCATCTGCGTTAACGACGAACATTAGCGCCGAACAATCATCGACGAAAGACCAATCAGCGATCGAAGCCAGACCAAATGACACACAAAATTTTGGACTGTGGAGAAGGAGCAGATTTTAGTAGATATGTTGTCGCAATCTGTCTGTTTGTTTATGATTTCTTCACCCGACTATTCAGATAGGAACAAGAAGTACGCTGCGATGCAAGAAAAAGCACAAGCCCTGGAAACAACCGATACATTTACCTCCTTTCGCCCAACCTCATGTGACTGTAATGTATTCTGTGCCAACATCGATATAAACTTAAAAGTTTTAGACTTTCAATAAAGGGAGATATTTTTCAATAACGCAATTTTACATTTTCTTCTAGACGTCGCCATTTTGAGGTCATGTGATTTTCCATGGCACTGGCGTATTGTTCGAGTTAATGTTTGTCGTCTGTGGAATGTTGTTTGTCGTCTGCAGATAACGGAAAACAAATATATTTGTTGGATGTTTTTGTTTGTCGACAGAAACGTTCCTCGTCTGCGTTGGGCTTAAATAGACAATGTTTCACTAGATCCGGCAGTCAGAATTTTTTTGAATGGAAGGGAAGGGAATGCACAGTAAGTTTGTTCCTATATTTCCATGGAGTCTAAGTGTGCTTAGATCAAAGTACCAATTAAAATTTATCTCCAAGTTTTGTGAATTGACAATATTTTTGACCGTAACAAAATTATATCAGAGGACGCCTGGATGGACAATGCAGTGCTCAGAGAGATGACATCTTGACACAGAGCAGAGATGAGGTACTTGTAGTTTAGTTGTAAGGAGGGAGTTACAAATATGCCAGTGGCAGTATCTTATGATACGCAAAGGCCGCAAAGCTACCTAAAGTAAATAGGTCCTGGTGCTTAATCCAAATTAATAATTTACCCCTCCCTCTTGTTTATGAAGAAGGGTTAACTAAAAATGTAAAGAACACGAAAACAAACAAAAACCGAAAATTTCAAAAACAATTTAATTAGAACTAAATTTAGAACATAAAAATTTCTCATAACTTATTTGCAAAACTTTGCCTAAAGTTGCTATCTGTGATAGACTATTTTTCATTAGAATTTCGTTTCATCGTTATAGTTTCTCTACAATTTGTACAAAACCAAAACTTCCGGTCTGAGGAATGAATTTGTGGAAGCCACGTCAATTTGAAGAAACCTGAATTATTTCATAATATCTGAAGTTAATAACCATTCATTTACTGCAAGAGACCTCACTCTGACTACTGTCAAAATGGCATCAAATGATATTGGAGATTGGTTCCGAAGTATACCACCAATTACCAAATATTGGTTTACCGGTTCCATTGTTTTGCCACTTGCTGGCAGAATCGGCTTGTTTTCTCCTATGTGGATGATTTTACATTTCCAATCTTTCATATATAAATTTCAGGTAATGATTCTTATTTTCATATTTTTAAAGATATGATAATAAGCAAGATACCCAGGTATTTTATAAGTCAACTTAACAAACGTGTAAATTATAAATATTTTGACTACCGGTATTTTAAGTATTACACACAGTGGTGTAACCTATTTTCGTGCATATAAGGATTCAACAATGCATTTTGTCAAAGTTAAAAAAAACAGAAATTTTTTTTTTATGTCTTAGATTATTTCTCAGATATTCTGAAAAATATTTAAAATTGGTTTGTTTCGATTTTCTTTATGAATCACTCACTTTGACCCATATTTCATGAGTAAGCAACTCGACAACGGCAGCAAAATGCGTCACCTATTTTCGTGTACAATGTTTGATTTATAAATAAGTCGAGAAAAACAGGTTGTATGGATACCCAGGGGTATAATAAACTTCTGTTAGTATTTATCCTTCAAATAACCATGATTTACAAAAACAACATAAGAATATGGCCCACATTGTGTTCCATAGATGTTTTCTGCTGACACGAAACTACTTGAAACTACTGGATTCATTCTACTAGCCGACATTGTACAGATAACCCATGTTTATCAAAAAAAATCAAATGCGTACATGTAAATTATGAATCATTTCCGGAAATGCATGAAAAATAGGTTAGCACGAAATTAGGTGACTTGACTGTACTATACGAAGGTATGGTCATATTATTGATTTTATTTTTTACAGTTTTGGAGGCCATTGACAGCTGTACTGTATTACCCTATTGCTGGACCTAAAGGGTTTCATTACTTGATAAATTTATATTTTCTATATTCTTATTCAACAAGATTAGAAACTGGTAAGATTATGATTTTGTACTACTTAGCTACTCTTGCAAATATTAAACTACATTTCTTATTAATTCTTGAATTATAAAATTCTTTTGTCATAAAGAAGCTATTGTAAGGTTTAAGAGACTATTGTGCTAACCTAATTTTTGATGTACACTCATTAACCAATGAGCCAGTGATTAACCATAGACCTTATTCATGTTTTTGAGAAACTAAAAGCAAGGTTCATAACTCACATTACATCATCCATTAATATAGTCCAAAACATCTGCTTCTATTCATGCCTCTGGTGGATATGGAATTGGTGTAGGGAGAAAATGATGGTATGACTGAACTACAATAATATTCATCTTTCCAAATATACCTGGGTTTTGCAGATCCAATTATCTAAATAGGTTTAAAACTCCTGCACCCCAGAGCTTATTATTTCCACACCAGCTGACATCTGTCCAAATAGCTATCAGAGGTTGGAAGACAGACAGATGTTTCAATCTACCATTAATAAGATGGCGACGTCATATGAATGAACAGCCTATGTGACGTCACTGAACACACGTCCAATAGTGAGAAAATAGGCTTAAAACTGCCCTATCTAAAAAATGTGTGATTGTAAACTTCATCTGAAAGTATGATAATAGCTTAATCAACTCCGATTTTTATGATGTAAATATGATAAGTTTTGAGTTACTTGGACTGGAGAAGGAGGAGGCTCTAAGAAACATCAAGGTGGGGTTTTCACTGCAGTTACACCATGTTACCTTTGTTTATTTGTTTTATGAGCCTCGTTCTGGATTCAACGCATGAACGCAGTCTATTTACTGTACTTTTATTTCAGGTATATTTGATGGTAGACCTGCTGATTATATATTTATGTTATTTTTTAACTGGATTTGTCTTGTTGTATCCTTTAGAATGATTAAACCTTAGGCGTAATTCTGTGTTCTATGTTATGTAGCCTACGACATGTAATGAAATTCTGTTTCCTTTTATTTTTATATTCCTTAATGTTTGAATAGATTCTTGGTTTTGCTACAGATTTAATGGTAAGTGAACATCAATTTTATGTATCGATACGGTACTATGGTTATTGTAATATCATAGCAGAGAATCTCATCTATATGGGTACCGGTATTTACTTAGTTGTTATAGTCTAAAGTATTGACTGAATCAATGAGATATTTTAAAATATTTTTAATATATTTATGACATTACATCAGTGCTTTTTTTATCTTCAAACTGACAAGTTGCATGTGTCCAAAGGTTTTGAGTTAATAATTAATAATGTTATTATTATAGTTATTAATGGATCCTATGATATTAAGTGTATTGTATGTATGGTGTCAACTAAATAAAGATCAAATAGTATCATTCTGGTTTGGAACAAGATTTAAGGTAAGTATTTTATTACTGAAGTTCTAATGTGTACTTATTTTATTTGACTATTTGTTTCTTTTTATTTTAAACAATTCTTTCCACTAACCAAAAATGCATTCAATGTTTTATTTTTAATTTTGTTTTTCAGGCTATGTATTTACCATGGGTTTTACTAGCTTTTAATATGGTTATTGGACAAGGGTAAGCATAGTTATTTAAAGGGACAGGTGTGGCATTTCCGGGAGTAAATTATACCTTGGGCTCATAAATGGGAACTGTTCTGCTGAACTAATCAGTAATTATGTTCACAACTTACCGTCAAAATTTGAGCCTTCAAATCCAAGTGTATCCATTATTATCGATGCGTTGATGACGTCAAGTGTATACAGTAGACCTAATCATCTTTTCCATTTCATCTACGCAACAGAAGATGACTTGGTGTCAAAGACTATATCAACAAAACGTTCAAATTTTGAATACCCCAAAATATCAGGAGAAGATAACCTTGTGAACAAAATAAATAAAAATATTGGAATCGATATATGAATAACAGACATTTCTCTTTTTGTCTGCTACAAGAATTCTATATTTATATTATTACTATTCATTTCATTGGATTTATTATTGTATATTCAGAGGTTTGCAGGAATTATTAGGAATTGTTGTTGGACATCTCTATTTCTTCCTAATGTTTAAATATCCACAAGATTTTGGTGGCAACAGAATGATCAATGTACCGTCTTTTCTGTAAGTTTTATTTAAATTTTTATGATTATTATTCATCAACATCTAACAGTAAATACTACAAAAGGTATTTTATTCAATTAATTCAACCAATCATTTCCATAGCAACCTAATGTTTAATGATAGCGATTCTGCAGAATGTAGCTGCTTTTAATTGCTATCCTTTACTCTGAAAATGAGTGTGAATAGCTCCAAATGCACAAATTAAGGGGGAGGGGGAATATTGTCCGTTTCAAACTAGCAATGGATGACGCCATGTTGGCATGTACTTAAGCAACTCTAGCTTCACTTTTTATTATATTATGCTGAAATTCTAAATAGATAAAGATTAAATTTATTTAAACTACTATCATTTTATTTTGTAGATATAAATACTTTCCTAACAGAAGAGGTGGAATGGGAGGTTTTGGTCAGGCTCCTTCCAGTAGAAGAAATCAAGATAATAATAGGGGAGGAGGAGGTAGACATGATTGGGGACAAGGAAATCAATTAGGAAATCAGTAAAATGTCTTTGTGTGTGCCAGTGACTTATACTAACTGTGGATGCTTTAAACTGTTTTAGTGTTCATTTCATATTATAAACCAGGGATATGGTGTTTTTTTTTTACCCACAATGCTACACAAAAAGCGTATACCTTCATTTTACAAATTCTAAATATTTAATGTGTGAGATTAAAATAGAATCTTCTCATGTGTTTTATCATATCAGAACTCGGAATTTGGCCAGTTCACCTCAGTAATTTGATAAGTAAATGAAGGTATATACTATGTGGTGGGTATTGTTATAATGTAGTGAGAGTATGAAAGAGAAACGTTAGTGTAAATAATATTTGTTGTGTGAATGTGTTAAATCCTTAAAATTGTTATATATTGATTGAGAGAGACGTTTCTGTAGATGTGGATTTCCAATCATGTATTTTAATTTTTTTAGAGGTAATCTTGACTTTATTATTATACAGAAAATCATTTTGCTCAAATGAAGCTTTATCTGCTAGTAAATCAAATACTAAGATGACAATATTATTTTTAAATCTATTAATTATTCCAAGAAATCCATCAACCATACAAATTACTGCTTAAAATCATACAATGTTTGTTTTGTCTCTTTGTTTTTTGTACATTCTATAATATGTAAATATAAAAAAAAATGAAAATAAAAAAGCCTAAACATATTAATTTTTTGAAATGTTACTGTTAAATTACTGTGGAGTAATAAATTAAGTAGCCTATGAACAGAACAGATATTACTGTTTGAATACAACCTGACATTCATACACAACAAAAGGGGGAAGAGAGTTGAAAATAGTAATTTAAACTTGTTAGTAACTGAAGTTGGTTTAGACCACACAACCAATGTCAATTACAGTGGTGTAACCTATTTTCTTGGATATAAGGATTCAACACCGAATTTCGTCAAAGTTAAAAAAATTGTTTTGGTACTAGCAACTAGTTCAGACTACATTGCATCTGCACAAATATGATTTAAACAGAACTGTGACAATGACCAAAAGATATATCAAATAGGTCCAAATTGGTCATAGTAGATCAGAAGGACAAAGAGCATACTAAAATGTATTACAAACAACCCTTCTTTAATGTAAGAAGACGACTGGGCCGAACAATTTTAAAGATCAAGCGGATCAAATCATGTTGGGGTCAATTTTGGCGGCAAACATAACAAAAATAATGTTTAAGGGAGGTAACCGGTAACAGGTTTTTTTTTAAAATAGGTCACGATATATTCCAGGGAAAATAAATTTCTTTTGATTGGACAATTGACATTGATATGATATCTGATAGTACAGACCTGTGATGACTCAAGAAAATGCACGTTTATGAAGCCGGGCGTCGTATTTTAAATTTTATCCTGAAAAGTGTAACGGGTAGGCCCTACATTTGAAATAGAGCTCAGGCCAGAAAACGGGAATTGGTTTGTGCACTATGCTAATAGACTAGAAATAACGTCAGAAGAATAACCTTTGTATGTAACAATTATGTATCTTAATTGTACAAATGTATGTTATGTTATTAATTTTAATTAAAAAAAAAAAAGAAAAAAAAAAAAATTTAACTTGTGACAGCTTTGATCGGTTAGATTTCAGAGAACCTAAATAAGTTGGCGATCAAAACATATAGGATTGCTCAGTCAGAAGTGATTTGTCATCTGCTAGTACAGTGGAACTGGAATAGCTCAGCCAGTATTTGGTTACATTGTCATCTGATAGGAAAGAGGAATAGATAGTGAGTTGGATAGTCATCTGCCGGGGCAGTGACAATGGAAATGCTCAGACTGTGGTGAGTTGGATTGACATTTGCTAGGACAGTACGTAAGACTGGGATAATTCATATAGTAGTGAATCGGATTGTCAATTGCTACGACAGTGGGACTGGGATAGTTCAGTGGGTAGTGAGTTGGATGGTCATTTGCTAGGACAGTGAGACGGGAATAGTTCTGTAGGTAGTGAGTTGGATTGTCATTTTCTACGACAGTGGGACTGGGATAGTTCAGTGGGTAGTGAGTTGGATGGTCATTTTCTACGACAGTGGGACTGGGATAGTTCAGTGGGTAGTGAGTTGGATAGTCAATTTCTACGACAGTGGGACGGGGATAGTTCAGTGGGTAGTGATAACTAGTTTGATTTCATCTATTAGCACAATGTGAGTGATCAGTTGGTCGTGTGTTGGACTCTGCTCTTGGTGCATTGGTCACCCCAATTGCCAAAGTCGCCGTCATCATCTGACCCAACTGATCTCAACATCATTACCCGCTAATGCTAATGCTAATTAAAAATCCCATGACAAGCCCCGAAGGTTGTGATATTTCCCGGCTGCACGTTAACAACGGGAAGTTTATTTTCGATACACTGGACACATACGACATGAGCCGAGTTTTCTATTTTGAAGGGAGTTAAATGTGAGGTTAGCAGTCGAATGGACATAAATATTTTAAGCACAAGTCAGTTAGACACGGCAGTGGCTATTTACTACTGGCGTGGTAAATAGCCATAAGTACCCTTACAGCTATTTACCACGGCGTGGTAAATAAAATTAGTCATGATTTGATATTCTTTTCGGAAAAAATTGCTTAAAACTACCTAAATATATAAAATAACAATTTAGCAATCAAATAATCATCATTTTCATCAAAAATTCGCTTTTTGAAAAAAAATGTCGTGTTTGTTTACAAATAAATGTCAAGGCCAATTGTGAAGAGTTCATGGTTCAAGGATTTATACTTCTCAATTCAAACCTATCTAAAAATTTCCGCGTTGTATGAAATTTGGTGTACATTCATTTGTTCTTTCGGCAATAGATTTTAATTACAAATTAGTCCAAATTTACTTTTAACCTTCTGAATGAATTGGAAAGCAGGCTTATTACAAGTATATCTATTCAAAATCAATTGAGGAGTAAACTTCCTCAAACGATCGTAAGGGTATTTTGTGTGAGAATAAGTTTTGAAAATAAATTCCTGCATTTTATGCAATGTTTCTCCTAATATTACTGCGTTTTTACAAGTTACTACAGTGGCGTATTTAGAGGGTAGTTCCCTCGGAAAGCCAAAAAGAGGGTAAATGTGCCCCTCACTCCCGTCAATGAAATCCTGGCTACGCCACTGAGTAAGTAGACCTAATGTATATTTCCACAAAAATTGTAATGTTGTGTCCTATGGATATTAGGGTGATATGAGAATAAAAATCCCATAAAAGCGCAGGCCTAGGTTAAACGCGTTCGCCCCTATACATTTTCGGTCTTTATCATGTTTGCCCCTAGATCGTTCGCCCTGGGTCCGTTCGCTCCACAATATTTTATGACACAATAACCCATGATCCACAAAATTTGGACAAAATGTTTAAATATGTGTTTAATTTTTAAACTTGGTCACTTATAAATTTAAAAAGGACCCGTCCGCTATCATGTGACTAAAAACTGACTTGTTAGTCTTTCATTCAAACCTCTTCCAATTTGTCGTCCAGAAACTTGCCTTCACCGACACAATGTTGTTTCTCTAAAGGATTCTATTTTTCTTAGTGTCCAGAATTAAAATGAACTTCGAAACAAAAAAATGAATTATGTGAAAATTGTGAAAACTACTTAAAGTTCTCAAGAAAGTGGAAACATGGCTCACTTTTCAACTCGATTCATGCAGCATGGAACAATTTTTTTGCGACCAGGACAAATAATTTTTTAAAAGGGACAGTTACGCCAACTTTTTGACCAATCATACTTTAGTCTCAGAAACGGGATTGTTTTAGCTAATCAGTAATAGTGTTCACAGGTCACCGTCCAAATTTGAGCCTCAAACTCACATGTGAATTAGAGGTCAGTAATAATACAGATGTTGTTTCTGTTTGACTGTAGAATGTAGTAGAGATCAGTAATAATACAGATATTGGTAGTGGTCGATTGTAGTATACAATACACTATCAATATCTGTATTATTACTAACCTCTACTACATACTATAATCAAACACTATCAATATCTGTATCATTACTGACCTCTACTACAAACTACAGTCAAACACTGTCAATATCTGTATCATTACTAACCTAGACAACATACAATCAAACACTATCAATATCTGTATCATTACTAACCTAGACTACATACTTCTATTATAATAGTATCAATATCTGTATCCTTACTAACCTCTACTACATAATACAGTCAAGCAGTACTAATATCTGTATCATTACTAACCTAGACAACATACTGCAATCAAACACTATCAATATCTGTATCATTACTGACCTAGACTACACACTACAATCATACACTATCAATATCTGTATCATTACTAACCTAGACATTATACTACAGTCAACACTATCAATAGCCGTATCATTACTGACCTAGACTACATGCTACAGTCAGACACTACCAATATCATTACTGTATCATTACTGACCTAGACTACATACTACAGTCAGATACTATCAATATTTGTATTATTACTGACCTATACTACATACTACAGTCAGACACTATCACTATCTGTATTATTACTGACCTAGAGAACATACTGCAGACAGGCACTATCAATATATGTATTATTACTGACCTCGACTACACACTACACTCAAACACGTCAATATCTGTATCATTACTGACCTCTACTACTGTATACTAAAGTCAAACAGAATCAACATCTGTATCATTACTAACCTTTACTACATGCTACAATCAAACAGTATCAATATCTGTATTTTTTTTCTGACATCTGGAAACAAACAGCCCAAAAGAGTGAGTCGGTCGAGTCTAAGATATTTTTCAACACTTTAATGAGGTTCCTACTTGATTATTATGAAGTTTTATCTAAATTTATCTAAATTTATCAATAATTGTGCCTTCTTCAGTGTTTACTAGCTAAAGAACAAGTTATATTGTGATAGAGTTCATCGTTTGTTGATAATAAACAATTTTACCAGTTTTGTCAAAATTGTGCATTTTACACGTTTCCAAGAACAAGGGCAATAACTCATATCAAATATTTCTTAAATTGTTTTATTTTCATAGGGCTGGTGAAAGGTTCTCGAGTATTTACAAGCTACAGACTGAACGCATTTCGAAAGACAAGAGCAATGCCTCATAACAATCAAAACATTGTAAATTTATAATTTTATTGATTTTTCATTCATAATAATCACTTCTATGATACTATACTAATCAAGTAAGAAATTAGATGTTCAGTAGGATTGGGCTTTGTGGTTTTCCTTGCACCAATAGCTCAAATATAGGAACAGTGTCGACAAATCCTACGCATATCATCAGCCGAGTCTATTTATATCTTTAGTTTTGATAACTAAAGTGTCGGGGTTCGCTTGGGTTCGTCGTGTTGAAGGGCACCAGAAATCCTGAAACTCTTCTCCTACAATAGCCTGGGAACCAGGAATATACAGTATTATAGCTTGGAAATTAAAAATTCAATAAAAGTCTGTCAAAAGCATAGCTTTAAAATGAATATATAAACGAATTGCAGACTAATAGACAGCTGGAAATGCACGCAATACCGAAGTATGATCATAAACACGCATTCCTTATGGTTCACATCACATAGCGATTGCAGAAATTTTTAGACTGTGAAATTTAGCATCCAAAATGCCCGAAAACCATAATCACCGATATTAAATATGGCGGATATTTTTCTTCGCTAGAGATATTAAAATGCTTATTTTAGTGTGTTAACAATGTGAAATGTTCACAATATTTATATTTTTGAAACCTAAAAAGTGTGATTTTTTAAAATTTGAAAAAAAATCGGATGAAATCCACCAAAGAAACAAAAACGTGGTAAAATTTAGTTACCACGTTTTGTCTCCATAGACTAACATGGTGACATTGGCCTAATTTAACAAGTTACCACGCCGTGGTAAATAGCTGTAGGGGTACTTCTGACTATTTACCTCGCTTACCACGCCAGTGGTAAATAACCACTGCCGTTAGACACGGTACTTTAGGCACACGTTCATTTGGGCACAGATCATAATGATATAGACAATAATATGTAGTCACACCTTTAGTTAAGCACATATTCACTGAGGCAGACGCTTTTTAGTCACACTAATATTAGGCACAATATAACGTGTGCCTGAAGTACGTGTCTATAACTGACGTGCTCAACATATTTGTGCCTAAATGACAGTGATCCTAAATGTGAAGCTAACTGAGGAATAAAAGTGAAAAGAGAAGTAAACGTAGGCCTTAGAAAGTCAGTTGACAGCTGAATCCTATTGTTAAAATGACCATTTAATTGCGAGGATACGATATGTAAATGACCTACAGTTCATATTTCCTGTAAGCGTTTTATAAACTAAATTCAAATAAATTAATGTATTGTGCGTAATGATCGTGTACAACGTAAAATTGAACCATACATGTATATAAATATGTATAAATAAACAAGGGATATTATACAGAGAACGAAGTTCATTTCCTATTTTGGATTTGCTTAAATAAATAAAATAACATTATGGGAAAAGGATACTTTAGATAGAAGATATGAATAATTAAACAAACAAAAAAATTGTTTGAAATGTTATAAAATAGTGTACATGTGTATTCAAGAGCGCATTTGATTTGATATGATGTCAAAATAAAATGTTATATGCTATCAGTACAAAGTGTACCTTGGACACCAGTTTAAACAATTGGACCAAATCTTACCGATACTTGTACGATAAGATATAGCATCACACAGTTTTCAGTAAACCATGTATTGCTGTATACAAGACCTATAAAAAGAAGGTAACTTATTGAACTATTTAATCTGATTTTGAAGCGAAATTAAAGTCAAATATGCTCCTCCTTAATTAGTTTTTCTCTCGATAATATATACAAATTTCAGAGAAAAGAGAATGGTGTGTACAAGGACGTTTTTGGTTATTTTATCAATAAGTATATTATTGATAGCATACAGAATGTATGGTTTAATCCACAGACCAGTGCCACCGGATATAGACCAGCCACAAAAACTCAAACTTATTGATGAACTTGGAAGAATCACGAGATTTTTGGTAAGTACTAAAGACAATGCCAGCCACACAACCGCTTTGATAGATTTTTATGTCGATCACAATGTCAAACCTGAACTGTTTAGGCTGCATTCATGTCACATACAACTGTTAATGGGCAGCCATGTAAGACCTTAACAGATCTGTTGAATAGAAATCTTCAGGAAGCTATTTAGGCCTTTCAATGAACTTTCATGTAAATCTCGGAGCATCTTGTTAATAGACAATCGTAAACGTCAAAAAGAACTGTAAATAGACAAGGGTGTTTAATCAGTGCCTAGTCAATAGATATTCATCGCATAACATTGAAAACTGCTCGACAGTATAGACTGTTTTTAAACGAAATGTGAACTATAAGCGAGGAGAAAGAAATGAGTTGATATGAACAATACTTGAGATTTTTGTAAGATAGAAATGAGTCGATAAGAATAGTACATGAGTAAGATACAAATGAGTTAATGTAAACTATGCTTGAGTGAGATAGAAATACATATTTGAAACCTATTTGAGACTTTTGTAAGATAGAATGAAGTTTATATGAACTATTCTTGAGTAAGATAGAAATGAGTTAATGTGAACTGTATTTGTGTAAGATAGAAATGAGTTAATATGGACTGTGCTGGAGTAAGATAGAAATGAGTTAATATGAACTGTTATTGAGTAAGATAGAAATGAGTTAATATGAACTGTTATTGAGTAAGATAGAAATGAGTTAATATGGACTGTTCTTGAGTAAGATAGAAATGAGTTAATATGAACTGTTCTTAAGTAAGATAGAAATGAGTTAATATGAACTATACTTGAGTAAGATAGAAATGAGTTGATATGGACTGTTCTTGAGTAAGATAGAAACAAGTTAATATGAACTGTTCTTGAGTAAAATAGAATTGAGTTAATATGAACTGTGCTTAAGTAAGATAAAATTGAGTTAATATGAACTGTTCTTGAGTAAAATAGAATTGAGTTAATAGGAACTGTTCTTGAGTAAGATAGAAATGAGTTAATATGAACTGTACTTGAGTAAGATAGATATGTTCAATCTGACTTAATTAGAAATATGTTCCATCTGACTTAATTAGAAATATGTTCCATCTGACTTAATTAGAAATATTTTCCATCTTACTTAATTAGAAATGTGTTCCATCTGACTTAATTAGAAATATATTCCATCTGACTTAATTATAAATATGTTCCATCAGACTTAATTAGAAATGTATTCCATCTTACTTAATTAGAAATATGTTCCATCAGACTTAATTAGAAATATGTTCCATCTGACTTAATTAGAAATATGTTCCATCTTACTTAAGTAGAAATATGTTCCATCAGACTTAATTAGAAATGTGTTCCATCTTACTTAATTACAAATATGTTCCATCTTACTTAATTAGAAATATATTCCATCTGACTTAATTAGAAATATGTTCCATCTGACTTAATTAGAAATATGTTCCATCTTAATTAGAAATATGTTCCATGTGACTTAATTAGAAATATGTTCCATCTGACTTAATTAGAAATATATTCCATCTGACTTAATTAGAAATATGTTCCATCAGACTTAATTAGAAATGTGTTCCATCTGACTTAATTAGTAATATTTTCCATTCTGTTTTTTTTAAATGGTTTAAGTCTACTTAAGTAGAAATGATTCGTAAAAATGTGTTTTGTTCTAATTAATATTAATTTAAAATTAATCAATAAAAAATGTCCATTCTAATAATGAAAAATGGGTCCCATTCTAATTGATTAAGAAATGAGTCCAATTTTAACTGATTAAAATGGGTTCCATTCTAAATGATTTTAGTTCTGTTCTAATTAATTGAAAATAAGTCCCATTCTAATTAATTAAAAATTGTTTCATTTGGGTTCGAATATGAAAATTTAAAAATAGGCCCCATTTAATTAAGTAAAAATAGGTCCAATTCTAATTAAGTAAATGGGTCCAATTCCAATTAATTAAAAATGGGTTCTAATCAAATTATATACAAATGAGTTCCAATCCATTTATATATACAAATGGGCTCAATCTTACTTAAAGTGATAGCCTACTACGTCTTAGAATGAGCATAAAATTTCATTCTCAAGAATGGTCAATATGAGTATATATTCATCAGTTAGCTTACCTGGTGTCATAAAGTTACAACAGAATCCCTGTAAAATCTAGAAAATTGGAAAATTCATAAAACTAAGTAATAATTCTTTAGTTTCAATAGTTAATTGCATTTATATTAAGTTTTTTGGATTTATCGGATTATATGCTATCTTATTTTTTACACCAGGTATATCTACTGCTGATGCTCTTATTGGCAAAGTTTAAAATTTAAAATTTTATGTTTATTTTAAGACGTAGTATCCCTTTAAAAATGAACTGTTCTGAACTATTTTAAGTAAAATAGAAGCAGTTGATAATATGTTGTAAATAGTACTGTGTTGCTCTACTTTATCTGATTTTATTTATTTGAACCTATCTTTTGTATTTCAGGAGGGAATATTTGAATATTTAAGAATAAGCCCAGCATCTAAACCATTGAAGATAATTGTTGATTTAGTATTGGCTCTGTTGACTAATCCTGTAGCTTATATTGACTACAACATAGAGGTAAAGTTTATGTTATTGTTTTCGACACTATGTTAAAGGAATCATTTCAGATTAGATTTAAACAATTCCATTCCAATGTCCGAATAGGCAGAGAAAATTTGCAGACAAGAAAGATCTTTTTCTAATTTCAGATTACAGAAACTGTTTTGAATGGTGTTCCAGTCCATATTTATACGCCATCACGTCAAACTAAACCACTTCCGGTATTTGTCTTCTTTCACGGTGGTGGTTGGACCTGGTTTTCTGTTGGTAATTATAAGTCAGTCATACATCATTGTTATATAGTAGAAATTCAGCAGTGTATGCATATATTATCAATTTGTTGACGATACTACCTATAAGTTACCCATTGATTGCACGTAGAATCTGAAATTCACTTTTGTTGCTCGTTTTTTATACGGGTATTGCGACAAATGTAAGTGGCTATATATTGTCGTCTTTATCCATTTTCCAGCCTTTGATATATTTACATCTTGATTCCAGGTACATACAATGCAGCTCTGAGAAATTTTGCCAATAAAACAAATCATATTGTAATAGCGGTGGAGTAAGTGTGATTAAAGCAAATTACATGGGTATACTAATGGTGCCCTTTTCGTCGGTGGTAGTTTATGATGCATTTTAGGATCAAATCGTATAGGCCTACCAATTGTCATCCAAGGATTTTGTTTTCATTAATACATGTTATTATTTTTGTACGCCCACATGAAATAGGGGGCCTATATTGTCGTCACCCATGTCCGTCCATTCGTCGGCCTGTCCACAATTGCTCGTAAAAACTCTACAAGGCACGATTCTTGACTGATTTCGACGAAACTTGGTATGGTTGTTAGTAATCACGCGAAAACGCGTTCAAATGTTAGTTATAAAAATTCCAGAAGGCACAAATTTTGACGGATTTAAATGAAACTTGGTATGAGTGTTAGTAATCACCCAAGGATGAACCCTATGGAAAATCAGAATAATCTAAAAATAATTAGTATGAGCTATTGCCCTTGTTCATGAAAAAACCGCGTTCAATTTTTGGCTCTAGAAGGTTCAATTATTGACAGATTTTGACGAAACCTGGTGTTAGGGTGTATTGAGACGAGTCTCAGTGAAAGCACTGGCCTAGGTCACAGAGCAATAGATAAGTCTATTGATTATGTGAAAATTAGTTAGTCATTAGTATGATTTTAGTTGCTGGTGTGAGTGTTTGTTGTCACCTAAGGATGAACCCTATGGGAAAAATAAAAAAATAATTGGTATCAGTTATTGCCCGTGTTCTTTAAAAGGCGTTAAATTTGTAGCACCTAAACACTCTAGAAGGCACAATTCTTGATGGATTTTGACAAAATCACCCAAAGATGAACCCTAGCGATAATCAGAAAAATCGAAAAATATTTTTGCCCTTGTTCTTAAAAACGCGTTCAAGTTTTAGCCTGTAAACACTCTAGAGGGCATAATTCTTGACAGATTTTGATGAAACTTGGTAATGTTATTCAGTATCGCCTCAAAAAGTACAAAAGAAGCGTATTTCTGAAGGTTGAATATTTCATACTGCTAATTGTTACTGTACTGCCAAATATTTTTATTTAAAATCAAAGCTGCCAATGGGCGTATATTACCTTGCCTGGCAAGCTATCTTCATGAATTTTGGTACGCCCTCTATGTCTCGAGTGTCCATGCAGGTAATGTTGGAAGTTTTGCTGTATCATATTGCTTTTATTTTTTCAGCTACAGAAAAGCCCCACAAGATGTATTCCCAGCTGCATATGAAGACTGTTTAGCAGTTACAGAATATGTGATCTATAATCATACTAATTTTAACATCAAACCCGATTCTATCTCAGTAGCTGGTGATGGTTCTGGTGGAAATCTGGCAGCTGCCGTTGCTATCACATTAAAAGATAACATTAGACTACAGTTACTTATTAATCCTGCCTTACAGATGATGAACTTTAAAACGCCATCTTATATAGATAATAACGATATCCTTGCAGGGTTAACGTCACCGGAGAAGTCAGCAGCAGCTTGGTTAAGATATGCTGGAATGTCCTTGGACTTTAAACCCATATTATTACAAAATAAACACATTTCTTTGAAACTCCATTCAAAATATTGGAGTTTAATCAACAGCAAGGAACGTATTCCAAAGCATTTAAACATAACTCGGAGAAAAACTGTCCGTCCTAAACAACAATCTGAAAGGATATCAGTTGTGTTTGATTCACTCGTTAAAGACTATCGACTGTGTCCTATGTTTGCTTCTGATGTATCAGGAGTTCCAAATGCTTATATTATTACATCTCAGTATGACGTGTTAAGAGATGAAGCTATTATGTATTCTGATAGATTACAAAGATCAGGGGTAAAGGTCAAACTACGCCATTATTTTAAGGGTTTCCATGGTTTCTTTCATTTCGCACACAAATGTCTTTTACAGTTTAAGGAAGCTAAACTCGCGTTAGATCATTTGGTATCTTTCCTTAATTTCCAGTATGACACTAACAGTGGATAATAAAACACCACCTAATAGTCATATTGGCTCTCTGTTACACCTGAATTATTCGAGATATAAAAGGCCTTATATGAAATGTCATGTGTTTGTACTATTTTGAATAAATTGCATGCGTTGAAAAAAAATCCAAGGGATTTATTTTATAACTGACGTAAAGAACAAGAAGAATTTTTGTATTTATACATATCGAAATTTGTGACAACCCACCAGTTCCATTACTGCAACAAAACACCATACACCATTGCCCCTTCGAACAATCAAGTCTGGCTATATGGTAATTTTATACAGTATTCAACGTTTAAAACGAAAATATATTATCAAATGAAAATGTTGATATATATAAGGGTTAGGGCTGATTATTTCTGGCTCAAACTGTAATGATTTATTCGTAAATAACATAATGGTCATTCAGAGGTTGACAGAGATCCATAAACAATCAATGTTCCTGTTTCATGTTAAGGTGAATACGAACAATTGTTAAACATTTAGTACATATTAGGGCTATTGTTATGAATAAACCCCAGTATTCAGTATTAGTAGTATGAACCATTCTGTCACTTTATAAAATATTTGTTAACCGAACTGACCCTTGTATAAATAAAAATAAAAGTAGTTTCCACTCATAACTTACCAGTAAGAGTCAAATATTGGAGATCGAAATATAACGATGACCCATGTGAGGTAAGAAATGACTTATTCACTTATCATTTTTATGTGTCATACATTTTATATATTTTATTGTATTCTATATTATAGCATCAGTACAATTCGAAATTTTCTCAACTTCCTGAAAAGTTTTATTTGGTATCAGAATTGTGGTGGCGTTCAAATTCCATTATGTCAATGTATAGAGACCTTGCACAAAGTTTGAATGTCGCGAAGTGAAGCTACAATACTATTAGTTCTTAGAACAACCTTTCAATAATTTGCACAAATTTGGCTTTAACAAGCTGGTAAGCGAATCATATAGAAAGCTTTTTTAAGGAATCATTTAATATCAATCGAATTCGGATCACAGTATAAGACAATATTCATCTTTCTTATTTTCCACTAGACGTTGTTCATCAGATTGTACCAGTGAATTTGGTGGTGGTGATGACGTCAGTATTGCATCCAGCAGGAAATATGATTCTGGTAAAGATAAAGTAGCCGGATTTAGCTCTGATGTAGCAAGCAGATTACTTAATCCTAGAAAATCGACAAGGTATATTTTATTTGATATTTTTTAAAGGGAATAACGAAAAAAACTTTGCTAAAGTGAGGGTACAGAGGGGGCATTTGCTCCCCTAGAAAAATGGCTTGCACCCCCGATTATACCCCCACTTTATTTTTAACAAATTTAAAAATATGATTTTTTTGTCCCAAAATATATGTCCAAATGCACCAAAATCAATTCAAGTTTTCAGATAATTTATTGGGAAAACCCTCTCAGACGCTCCATGAAAGACACCTCCGCAAAAATACTGTACTTTGAAATTCCCCCCGTAGAGACACTCTTTAAACCCATTGAACTATATAAGTAAATAATAAGACGATAAAATAAAACAAATATACGTAGTCTTTTAAGATAATCTTTGTGCTTTATATCAATTCAAACGACCCATACGTCATGTAAGCAGATCATCCATTTAACCTATGTACAAGCTTAATGTGTTGAAAAGATTCGGAACAAACATTTAAACGGATGCCATATAGAGATATACTGTTTTGTATGTATTACTTTCTGTGTTAAAACCGATAGAATACACGAATGTTAATGACCTCTTGTTTATATCTAAATAATTAAACAGGTCAAGATCTAAATATTCCTACTTCAATACCTTTAGGAAGCATTTTACTTTGTCACGGAATCGAATCTTTGATTTGTTTTAATTAGTATCGTGCCAGGAATAACCATTGTAATTAATGTCATGCAGGCGCCATTTAATGGTAGCTAGTTACGCGTGTTTATTCACAGGCTATCCTATACGAGCGTAGGTCTCGAGTGTATTCAATTTAGAGATAATGGACGATCTTGATCAAATAAAAATTTAACAACTCGTAATGGATAAAAAAGTAGAAGATGAAGTTCTCCAAGTCTTTAAAAGAAAAGTTAGTAAAAGAACTCTACTCGAGGAAGAATTTCAACAAATTATCACGTTAAGGTAACAAATAGAAGTACTCTTTTCTAACAAAACATATTCTACATTGTTTCAGATAGATATCTATATGTCCCTACTTTTGAGATAAATGTTTAATTAGTCCTCAGCATTGAGATAACTGTTTAACTTTTCCCTCTACTATTGAAATAAGTGTTTAATTAGTCCCTAGCATTGAGGTTAATGTTTAACTTGTCCCTACTATTGGGGTAAATGTTAAATTTGTCCCTTCTATTGAGGTAAATTTTGAATCTGTCCCTACTATTGAAGTAAATATTGAATTTGTTCCTATATTGGGGTAAATGTTTAATTTGTCCTTACCATTGGGGTAAATGTTTAATGAGTCCCTACTATTGAGGTAATTGTTTAATTTGTCCCTTCTATTGAGGTAAATTTTGAATCTGTTCCTATATTGGGGTAAATGTTTAATTTGTATTTACCATTGGGGTAAATGTTTAATGAGTCCCTACTATTGAGGTAATTGTTTAATTTGTCCCTTCTATTGAGGTAAATTTTGAATCTGTCCCTACTATTGAAGTAAATATTGCATTTGTTCCTATATTGGGGTAAAGGTTTAATTTGTCCTTACCATTGGGGTAAATGTTTAATTTGTACCTTTATTGAGGGAATGTGTTCCTGGGCCTAATAATGATCATGCGAAATTATTACTTGGCATTCGAATCTATTTCCGATGCGATCATAAAATCCTAATAATAAAAAAGGCTCTGTTTGATCCTTATGCTAATGTCATTTCAAAGCTGTGTCCTATATATTGATTGATATATATAATGTTATGCTCTGTTCAATTTACATCACATTCTATAATATATAATCTATAATCTGCTCGAGAATTTCACATGCAAAGAAGGACGTTTATTTTGATTTGAATAGATTTATGAAAGATAGCTTGCCAGGCAAGGTAACATACGCCCAGTATCAGCTGTCAGAAATGATAACAAAGTCTGTAGTGGTTTAATATGTGAAACCAATCACCCGATTGTTACTAATTTCAAGCTTTACTAAGGTCTCATACCAAGTATCAAGTATCATCAAGATCGGATAAAAAATGTAGTCTCTATCAGGTCTACAAGCCAAATTAGACGCATTGAATTAATTCACCATTTTTGAACTTTTTGATCTCATCAATTTATACATGCATACCAAGTTTCATCGATATCAGATAAAAACTGCACCCTGTATCATGACTACAAGCCAAATTTGAAGCGTTTTTACTAAGCAATAACTCTGAAACCGTTCATCCGATCATTGCCTTGACCGAGATCTCATGAATATATACAAGCATGCTAAGTTTCATCAAGATCAGATAAAAATTGCAGCCTTTATCGTGCATACAAGCCAAATTTAATGCGTTTTCACTAAGTCAAGGGCAATAACTCTGAAACCTTTCATCCGATTGTTACCTATTTCGAACTTGACCGAGATCTCATCATTATATACATGCATACCAAGTTTTATCAAGATCAGAAAAAAGCTGTAGCCTCAATTGTGTAAACAATAAATATGGACGCACGGGCGGACCGACGGACGGTGGCGACCGCAATATACGTTCACATTTCCATGTGGGCGTATAAAAAGGCATCAAAAGGATTAGCATTTATAGTGAACATACGTAGGCTACTGAAAATAGAATGCCTATTGAAGTTGTCTTTTTCACACTGATCGCCTTACGACTGAAAGAAACAGCGAACTTAATTAATTTTTAACCTCTTTTATTGACGTGTGTTGAATTCACGTACAATAGGCATTGAAACATTCTGAAATGATTAAAAACCAATTTTTGGTTAAATTTTTGACGTTGATATCAAATATGGTTGAAAGTGGATAAAATCATTTTTGATTTTGCATACTTGTAATTTGTTTGAATATATGATTTTGTCTATGCTTACGGTGTCAAAGGATTAAGAAGAATATTGTTAAAACGTGAATTTAAAGAAGTGACAATGATATTATTTTAACTAGAATAAGGCAAATAATCTCCAATTATAGTTCATGCGTAACTTGCTGGTGTTCAGTATTTGCCAGTTCCATAGTTACAAAGAGATTCTATTGTAAACATCAAAAGGCATCACATGATAAAAGTTGCATGTTGTCATGAATCTAAAGTGTTCATTTTAAAGCGATGACGTTGGTATTTAACAGTATAATAACACCAACTAATGTAGAAACATATAGTTACCGGATTACATGGAATGCATGTCTTATCAAACATAATTTGTGCATATTGCTGTGAAATATCAAATATCATGGATATATCTTAGTATTTTTTGATAATTGTTGCAATTGCCTTTCATTGTGGAAATATACAATTCTGTGCCGTTCCAATTTATCTGATTCTTGTCTAAAGCTCGATACCATGACCATGCAAGCAATAATTGGCATTGTCAACATTATGACTTAAAGTCTCCGTTTTAACATGTTCTTTAAGTAATGTACGATTGTTCACATCTAGATGATCATAATATCATGTAGCGTTTCTTAAGGAAAACATACCGTTTTAAATGATGTTTGTATAAGTTATACCACATCGAATCTCTTCAAGGTTACTTTTTGTGTCTAATGAAGTAATGATGAATCTATGAAGTATAAGTGACATTTGTATACAATCCAAGCATTAAGAAGTATTAATATTATAACCTATCGATCAAAACATGTCGAAGTTAAAGACAGCTGCGATATGGCAGAAAGCAGCCAAGAAAACATCGGAAATACCTGGCTTTGAGTCTCAATGTAAAGATAGAATGCTCAAACACAGGACAAGCTTTTCGACATTAGCTCAAACTGTTGTGGATAATAAACGTGCTGTTCAAAGGTAAGAAGAAAAACTGGTAATCGAAATATTTAAACGATATTCAAAACATGAGGTAATAAAAGTCTTTCTAATAATTCACTGTTTCTGGGGGTTTAACAACTAACGTAAAACTCATTAGAAGACTGCACATATCAGTTTAACAGTAGATATCCCATTCATGCTGTAATGGATCCTATCGTTAAGAGTTATCTAAAGATATTATATTCATTAACAAACTCGTTCGGGAAATGATCGAAAAACGCATTTTAATAGATCAGATATGATATCTTATTCATCCACATTCAATGTTAATCAGTGGCCGCGGCAGTGGGATACCACCACTTCATAAATCAGAAATATGATTTTTATACTTTTTTGCCCCAAAATATGTGTCAGAATGCACCCTAATTCTATTTTTCAAAACTTTTCATGTGGGAGAACACTCGACGCTCAATGGGAACTTATCTGCACCCCAGTCTTGACACTGATGTCAATGGGAGTAGGGGGCGACGACAAAATATCTTATAAATTTCCATTAAAAGCCATTGCAGGCATTCCCTACAGTTCTATTCCGTTTGAATGTATATATTCAGGGACCAATACCTAAATGCTCTTTTCCAACTGTCTTGACATTCGAATCGTGAGGATGACAAAATGGATTTTACTGGTTCAGATTAAAACATGATTTACAACTTTTCATAATGAATATTAAACGTTGGGTTCGCCTGAAATTAAAACTGTAACCAAATGTTTATGACGTTTCTAACATGAAAATGATCGTTCAGACCCTTTTTTCTCTTGTATTATCGTTCTTTTTCCAGTTAAAATAGTCCCTTTCAATATTGAAGAGTTGGAGTTATATTATTATTCCGATTACTGTTAGGGGTCTGAAAATTTATTTTTATCAGTTGATAACGCATATATTTCACTGAATACAAGAATATCCCTTTATGTTCAGAGTTGACTAGTTCTTACGAATGGTGGGATTAGAAATCGGTCGATATCTATTCCATCATGTAATATGACATTTTGTTCTTTGTTGTATTATACAATATTTAGTACTTCTATTGATTCCAGTCTTTGGTCATATACAGTTAACTTAATTTTTTAAAACTAGTGTAAATTTTTCAGGAACTTTCTTTCGCCCTTAGTTACAGATGGCAAGCAAACAAAATGGATCTCATATTAATCAAAGGTGATCAGATATTTCTCAAACACGAGGACGATTGAATTATAGAAAGCAACAAGTGATATCCGCTAAAGGGGAAATTGGGTTATGTCCAAAGTAGGTACAGTATCAAGAAGGTACAGCTGTCTTCCCACTGGACCAGCAACGTAAGTAGTTTTTTCATTGATTAAATCATTGCAAAATATTTTGGTTTTATTCTATGAAAATTTTGATTTACAGAGATAAAGAATTAAAAGCCAAGACAGCTGAACTAGAGGAAGTCAAAGGTCAATTGAAAAAGGAAAATGAGGAGAAAAAGGTAATAACTATATATCTCTTATAATCAAAGAACGTCGATATTGCGAAGCTGTGTCTCTTCAACACGCCACATATTTCTACCTTGTTTACCTATAATATAAAAGGGACTAAGGTAATAATTATTCACGATGTCACGTGATTACCAAAACAGCCAAGCACAAGCTTAAACATTCGGTTAGTTTTGTAAATATGAAAATTGAAAACGCATGAAACTCTTAACTACAGTTACGTAACCTAATTTCGTGCGAACGTAATTTCGTTTATCTCCGGAAATGATAAATAATTTACATGTGCGACCTCGCGTAACCTCCGCATTTGCATGTTATGATAAACATGGGTTATCTCTACAACGCCAACCTGCAGATTTTTTCCTATTCTTCCAAATTAATGTCAAAATTGTTATCTATTTCGAACATATACAAAATAGCGGTTTTAAATTATTACAAATTTTTTATCGGCCAAATTTTCTTATAATCCCAAGGTGTAATCGGAATTCCGATGTCGTCTGCTGGAATATATTCCTCAGATAAAAGTCACGCTAATTCAATAGCTAATACCATGTCACCGGAAAAATTGTTTGGAACACAATGCAGGCCATATTCTTGTTTTAGAAATAAATTACTCTTACGTATTACTTATCTTATTTTGACTGACACACTTTTTTTTCAAATCATTGTTCTTTGAAAGCATTGTCATTAGTTATAGTGACATGATATTAAAGATAAATACTGAGAAATGATAATTATAATATAGAGTATCCATACAACGTGTTTTTATCGACTAATTTATAGATCAAACATTTTACACGAAAATAAGTGACGCAGTTTACAGCCTTTGTCGAGTCGCTTACTCATGAAATATGGGTCAAAGTGGGGGATTCATAAAGAAACAAACCAATTTTAATTATTTTATAGAATATTAAGAAACATCTAAGACATAAAAAAATTACCAGCACGGACATCCCTCTTACATGAAAAATGTGTTTGGACTGGTTATAATTCATTGCCCCATTCGAAGCGAAAGTGAACTACGAAACAAAACAGAATACCGCCCCCCCCCCCCTCTTTTTTTTATCCAACAGATTTGGGAAGAACCCAGTTCCCAATCAGGTAACTTCAGTTTCTGAATTATAATTGTGTCTTAGGTATATTACTCGAGAAAAAGGTAGAAAAACGAAAAAAGCATTTTGATAATACACAAATGACAGGTAATCAATGGGCTTTATATGATCGAGTGCTTCTTAACCCACCTTCTTTATATTTAACCTAGTTCTGTATAGCTACCTTAATGTGGTAATGATTGAAGCAAATCGCAAGAGAAAGATGGAGATATAGTGTGCTGTTTGAGTTCCACGATCCCTAGTTTGACTAGAACATTGGCAATAAGTCATCACGATATTAGTTACTGCATGAAAATGTCCTCTTTCATTATGGCCTTGTATTACAATCTGTGTGTATTTTGGATAGTCAAGGGTCATAGAAAATGCATTACCATTGAATAAAGAGACCATGGTTAAAAATATAAATTCATTGAAATGGACGATTATAGTCCATAAAATAATGACTGTTGGTGCGTATAACAACGTTGTAACAGATTAACAATTATTGATAATCAAAGGAACCAACAGCTATTCAATTTTTCTTGCAATTTCAGCAACTTCAACTTCAGCTACAAGAGCTTACATCTAATCAAACAGAAGCAAATCAAAAACTCAGACATTTTGCTGATACTAATGAAAAACTACGTTTGGAGTTGAAAAGAAAATCGGAAGCTATAGATAAATTGGAGAAACACATTGCAGCTTCTGATGATCGAATAAGGAACTTGGAAATTAAAGGTATCAATATAATGAATGCTTGATTCAAAACATCTTATCTACATAATTATATATTATATTACTATAAACTATAGATTAGGCCATGAATGAACTCACTACAGGAGAAAAAATGTTTAAAATCATGTTGCATTTCAGCTTCAGAAGTAGAGAAAGCAGAAATTACACTTGAATCTACCAAGAAATTGTTGGAGACTAGTCAGTAAGTCCTCAATCCTACTAAAATTTTATTTTATGCAATTAGATAAAACAGCCAGTTCTCTAGAGCTTCGTAATTGATCAATAATTGATGTCCATATCGGCTTCACTATCATTTCGATAGTTTATCATTTTGTTCAACAGTAACCACTTTTACTTTCAACAACTAACTTCTTAAGAAAACTCGATTCCAAATAAAGCGGGGTAATATAAAATTAATACCAATCAACTAGCTGACCATACATTGACCTTTTATGATAATAAAAATGCTTTTTTATAACTTTAGAGGTGATTGCAGGGGGAAGGACTCGGAATTAAGAAGAATGAAATTGAAAAATGATGACACTGAACGAGAATTAAAGGTAATATTCAGTACTACTCGGTAGTTAATTCCGTTCATGATTAATTCATATCTAATTCTAACTGAAAATTTCATCGTGTATGTTTACATTTCTGGTGAATCAAATTAGAATTATATTTTTCTCCAGGCAGCAACTAAAAAAAGTAAAGATTTGGAGCTTACAATTGATGATTTGAAGAAACAAGTTCGCCAAGAACTAATGACAAATGAAAGTATAGAGAGGGTAGGTCAATATAATTCTACTTGCCAAAATACACTTTTCATGTGCAAAACTGACAAAAATGTGTGCATCAAAGAGCTGTGATTGGGCATGCCATTACACTAGTCTGCATTACACAATCTTTCATTTAAGGTGCTCAAATGCAACCAATCGACACAGAATCAAATCCAAGGAACCCTGTAAAGTTTCACAACTTTCAGAATTAACAATCGTCTTCATTTTTTCTTTTACCCTTTTTCGCAATTAAATATTATTTTTTAACAATCCAAAAATCAAAATTCAGAAAAACTGTCTTTTGATAGAAAAATCAGGAATTCAATTAATTATTGGATTATAAATAGAAGCTTAGATTACACTAGGGTTTTATGTATAACATATTTGATCTGTGTAGTGTGTACTTTATTATAAAACAGACATACATTTTTTGCCAACATGCCAATATTCTAAAAAGCAGCAAGTTCATTTGAAAATTATCGACAAAAAAATGTTAACTATTTGATAACTATTACATGTGTATTTTCACTAGGGTTTACAATCAATTCCTATTCTAAGAGAACAGCTAGCGGAACAAGAAGAGAAAATAGGTGAATTAGAGAAAGAGTTAACAGAAAAAACAGCTTTACTGGTTGCAAGTAAACAAGCTGTAAGAGAATATAAAGATAAAATCAGGGTATGTTATTGTTTCAATCAATCATCTACTTGTAGCAAATCGGATATTCAATACAAATACCATTATGTATTATAGTACAACTTAAGTTTAACCAGATAATTGAAATCAAGTGACTTCTACATTAGCAAGAAAGTGATCAACTACGTAATTAGCCCAAAATCTAACGACAGAGTTATATTTCAGGTGAATAATGATAAGCTGACAGAAACAGAGCAATTGAAAACTGATTTAACCTTGGCACAACATGAAATAGAAACATTGAAAACTTTGATGAAAGGAAAAGATACTGTCATGATACAAAAACTACAAACTTTAGAACAAGCTAAGGTAGGTAGCTCACATCATGCAGTAAACAAAACTTAACTAATGCTTTGCCTGCTGCGCTCAAATTCTTACATATCAAATAAAGGACAAATAACAAACTCCACAAAGCAAACTTATTAACATTTTCTTGTTTTCAGAAAATAATAAACAGTCCTAAATCTGAAGTTCAATATGAAGAAGTGAATGATTTAAGATCATCGATAGATAAATTAAGTAAATTAATTCGTTCAGATCCAAGGTAAATAAAATCTTTTCAGCTTATTAATAGTCTTAATATAACAGAACATTTTAAGTTGAACCTGTTTAAGGTTATTAAGCTGTCCCCGACGCCAGGAATGAATTAGTGCTGGGGCTCAGACAATTTGAATAATGAAAGTCATTTCTGACAACTTTGAGATATATCTGTTTGTTTTTGTACAAAGACACTGTAATAATTAATCTGCTGAACTGAAAAAGGTTTTGCTGGGGCTTAATTCTCACTAGCAGGGCCCAGCCCCCACCATAACGATGGGGCTGTATTAAGCACAAAATCTGGTATAAGATTTTATATTATAGTTTTGGATTGAACAGAAGAACAATGCCTCTAAGATCTCAATCAGCATGTCATAAATCAACATTTATGACCATTGGCCTGGTGAGAAAATTTGAAACAAATTTATTATTCTTCATGATATTACAATATTCAAAACTAGTCAATAGCCTGGTCAAAAATAGAAACCTGTAATCCTGTCTGCATGATATGATAATTTATGCAATTTGACATATTTTTGAGAAGTAAGCTGAAAAGAATTATCTATTTGAACATAAAACTGTATATTGACCAAGATTCTTTCAATAAAAAGCTCATTTTGCAGCAACGCTTCTGCAAAGCTGTACTATTTATGACATTCAACAAAAAAATATGACTTTATTTCTGACTGTAGACAAATTCTTCTGTTTCAGGTTGATCAAATAGATAAAAGACAAACTATAGAAGATGATAGAAATAGTCGACCGGTAACAGCAATAGTATATCCTATTAGACCTAATACAGTAGCTGGAACTCATAAGAATAGAAAATATATTACAACTGATTTTGATATATTTAATGAGAATAAACAATCTGAAGTAGTACACAATGAGTGTGATTCATTATCCAACGATTCATTCCTCGATTCATTCCTCTCACATCGACGACAATCAGATGACGAAATATTCAATAATCTATCATCAAAACAACGTGAAGAAATATTAGATAATATTATTAATATTGGTGATCGTGTTAAAATTATTGCCCCCCAGAAACAACCTAGATATGGACGTAAAAAAGGTAATATTTCAAAATTCAACTTTGAAATGTAGTTTTACATCCTAATTATTAGTTATCTTTTGGTTTAATAAATATGAGCATTGGGATGAAATTCCAGATGTATATTCTTAACTATGCTGAGATTGAAAGGCAAGCACGCTTTCCTGCTCATGCAAGTTTGATAATAATATTAAATAGTGCAATCTTAATCCATCAATTTGTTATTTTAATTTTTGTGTGTATAATTTCTAGTGAATCCTTTAAATTATTGTGGAATAGTTAAATACAAAGGATATATAGGTAAACAGTCACATGATGCACCACTAATGATAGGAGTCCGACTTGACCTCCCAAGTAAGAATTTATGTATATTATTTTCATATATTGTTTGAAGTATTATTAAAAGAATAATGCGATTTACGTACATTTCTAGTACTTCTGAAGACTATTTACCAATACTAAAATCAATACCCAAAATGCCGCAACTGTCCCTTTAAATATCAGTTGCAATTAGACTGGTTCAATGACTGCTTATTTAATGTCATCCGTATTCAGTATATAACACAAATAAAATGATCTTCATCAGGTATGTGGAGAAAAGTAAGACACGTTTTATTTCATATCTTTTCATAGATGGTGATACTGAAGGTGTAGTAAACGGCACTAATTATATGTTCACACCAGTCAATCAAGGCAAATTCTTCAAAATAAGAGATGTTACTTCAGTTTTCGATAGATATGTAAGTATTTGATTTTAAGGTTGCGCAAAATAGCAAAGTAAACTAATAGCTTGTTGATATGTTAGGTAAGATCTGGACGTATAAAAACTAAATTTAAAACGTTCATGCAATGAGATTACAAATTTTGGTTATATTTGATTTTCCTAAAAGTATAATGACAAGCCAAACTTGCTTTGGGTGAGTTTCTAGTTGTTTGAGACACAAGTATAAAGGTTTGATGAAAAACTTTTGAGGACATATACATACAGTTTTACTTTCATATTTCAGAGTGGTAACTATAGAGGTACAGAGAAATTAATGCTACAATATAATAATCAACAATCAACAGACAAACATCATAATAGTGATTCCAATTAACCTGTTATCTGTTATTTCATTTCAATCTTTTATCTTATAAATTCAGTTACAAAATTCTTCATCAAGGATTTTCACCTTGTTTTCCATTTCCCACTGAATATGTTTCTTGTACTGAGCTAAGGAAAACCAACACACTCATAATAATAATAGTCTTCAATATCTGTGCATGTGTTAGATCTTCACTATACTCTCATCATCAATATAACAAAACATTGTTCACTAATATCTGACACTCCATTATCATGTTTTATATACAGGTTATTTAGTCCCAGTTTTTAAGTCTAATGATTCATTTGTAAATTGAAACAAATCTTCATCAAAATATTCCTCAGCTAATTGTTCTGATTCATCTTCAGGATACCAGGTTGGCATAGGTGGTGGATTCTCTGTTTTTCTACGTAATGGCAAAACAGTGTCATTTATACGGACAAATGTGTGTGTTTCTCCTGGTATATTTTGTCCTTTCACATATAACACATTATATTTAGTATTAATCCTCAAAATCTGTAATAAAATAATAGAAATTCTCATTAAAATTTAATGTGGCAGTCATTCTAAATGACTTTAGATTCTAGTTTTCTATGTAACGTTTCAAGGCTATCAAGGGTGAATAAAAGTCTTAAGTTTTCACCTTCAGTCCTTTTAATGTTCTCCACTTTCCTCCCATTACTCCAGGCATTTTCTTTCCTTTCCATACACCTGATGTTGCTTTCTAGTAAAAAGAAGAAGACAGTTTGGTGGCAGAGAAACTCGCTAGCAATTGCAAGTTCATAGAATTAAGCCAAATATTCTACATATATAGGTAAAACAACTTTGTCAAAGACCATTGCCAAGTACCAGTAAGCAAGTGATGTACAACTTCTTCAGCATATAGATAACAAAAACAAGAATCTTTCATTTTTTTATTCTCTCTTCATCACAAGTTTCTTTAAGATTTAAAGTGTATATTTATGTAATGATTTATAAATATATTTATTAAATGAACAGACAGATCAATTCATATTTGTTTTACTGTACAAATTAACTAGAATATTATTGGTCAAAATTACTAAATTAATTGCTTAATCCCATTAAAATCAAGTACTACCATTCAGAACAATAGTGGGAAACCATTTTTTATATTCTGTGAGGAAATGATTATTTGACCCACAAACTCTCCACAAAAAATAATGTCACAACATGTTTATTAAAGCATACAATTTAAAAAGCATACACCTTAAAATCAGTATTTTATCTTGATGAAACAATTCTACTTACAATAGTTTTACCACCTATTCCTCCTACAGACCGATGTTTCTTTGTTGTCCCATGTGTCTTAGGTAAGCCTTTAAAACCCCACCGTTTCACAGCACCTTGAAAACCATGATGAATTCTACAAACAAAGTAAGCAATTAATTGTCTGAATAAAACATTTGAGTGATCATATTCGCTATTTTATAAACAAAGTATGAAATTTAATTCATAGAAAATAAAAGATCATTATGTTTAATTCAGAAGAGAAATCATTCATTAATGACATGTTTTTATCACATATATTAAAACACATACGTCTTGGCTGAACAATCAACAAAATCACCAGGTCTGAAATGCATTGCATTTAATGGAGTACCTAAAATAACCAAAATTCAGAATGAAAGTAAATATTGTAGAAAATAAATTCCTATAAATATGAATAGTTTTCTTAAACAGCATCATAAAAGACAATGTGGTCTGAGAACTCTAGACAGGATTGTAGCAATATAAATTTAAAATTTATAGTTATAATTTAGAGTTGCGCCTTCCAAAATCCTTAAAGGGGCAGATGTACCATTTTCGGGGTTGATTTTAGTCTTGAAATATGTGAAGAGTGTTCAAAATTACTAGAATGTGCAAAAATCACAATATTCCTTTAAAAATGCTTCAAACTAGTAATTTTACTCCCTATTTCTAAATATGTCTTTTCTATATATCACAGAGTATTTTATATTGAAACACAGATAATTCTGGACATACATGGATTTGATGGCTCAAATGTCGACGATGAGCTGTGAACACTATTACTGATTGGCTCAGCTAAAAAATTCCAGTTTCTGAGACTAAAGTATCTTTGATTGCCTACCTGTCCCTTTAAAACATTTTAAATCAAAGATTACAGAAGATACTCCATAAAGAAGCATTACTATTTAACAAAAATGTAATTATTTTAAAACAAAGCATAAATGTTGTAAGCTATTTAAAAAGTGAGTTTAAGCATTACCAGGTTGGATAGCAGCATCTTGAGTAACTAAAAATCTGGTTAATTTACGTTTGGGTGGAACACCAGCTTCTAAAAATTGCTCATTATACTGCTCATTATACTGTCAAATAAACATGAAAAATTAAATCATATTTAAGCAGATGCTCATAAATAACCATTCAAATAGCAAGCTTACATAATATAGAATCATTAAAACCTGAATAGACAGAAGAGCAGAATACAACTATAATTCATTTTAGTTGACAATTAAGTGGTTTATTTTTCTAATTAATATGAAGAAATAACACTGATTACAGTTAACTTACCTTGCGAGGATCAGTACTTAAAGCTCCAACAACAACAGAACCATATTTATCACTCCATCTTGGAAGCCAACCAGCTTGAGTTTTAAAAACTTCAGGGGAATAGTACCTTATGACATGATTGTCCACAATCTTAAATGATATAATAAATCTTGCATTTAACTACAGATACAATCAATAATGTTGGTGACTAGAACTCATTCATCTTTAATTTGAAAGTTACTGGAGAGAAATGATAACTACCTGTAGTAATGTTGTTGTAATTTTCTTTCCATCCTTTGACCACTGGGGCAGGTTACCTAATTTTATAGCTAATACCCCTGTTCTCAATGTTCTGAAATAATTGAAATCACTCAAATTTATATTATTCTGAGAAATGTGGAACAATATAGTGTTGTTCCAAAGTAAATGGTACAAGGGCCACACCTCTATTAACCTTTTCCTATAAGTAAGGAAAAATCTTTAGCTAGAAAACATACATCTTCTTTTTTTATTAAACATTAAATGATAAGTTATTTTAAATCAAATTGACATGACATTTACAGAACACCATTATCACATAAATCATATTTTTAAAAGGATTATACAGAATTTCATTTGTATGGACCATCTCAGCAAGTATCAAAATGTTTATTAGAATTGTCTTCTGAATACATGTATTCATAAGAGTACCATATATGCAAAAAGACAAACCTTTTAGTGTAAACATTCCTTTTCCAAGGTCCATCAGCCAATGGACTTCTGTATTCTGGTTGATTTGCATAGAGATCATTGACAACATTGTCTAGAAATTCCTGATTTTCTTTTGTTAAAGATTTATCTTTAGTTGTGGCTAGAGCTTGTGTTGTAACTTTAAGGGCTGTATGTACCTTCTTTCCTCTAATTTGATGTGTTACTGGACTGAAGAGAAAGCAGATCGTCTTCATTAAATTAAGATAAAATAGATAATAGAGATTACTGTATATTACAAACTAAAACTGAAGTTTGGTGATGTAAATTAGTAATTTCATTTTCTACATATGGCATCTATAATATTCACTAGCTTTACATTCTACATAATATCCTGTTTCCTGATCTAAATGACATGCACTCAAAATTACATGTGGAATATTTTTGACATAGATCCAAAAAACTAAAATAATTTTGATTGTTAACAGTATTGCCTTTCTTCATGACAATGATAGACAGAAACTAAAATAAATCTTAAAATGTTAGGTTATCTGATATATAGCCTACTTATTGTGCAGGCTATTAATTAGTATCATTGCTATTATATTTGTTATAGTCTAAAATATTTGATTTTGAGTGAGGTCCTCAGTGACAGACTGATGAATATGACCTCCAGGACAAGGACTTTGTGTACCTAAAATGGATGACATTATTAATCAATCTCCCACAAGTAAAGTTTAATTTACTATACACATTTATAATCATGGGGGCAGCCATTTTTCAAAGAGAATTATTGAGCCGCTCGCATCATTAAGAATTTCTAACCTTTGTGTCTTTGATATTGCTACATAATATCTAAATAAGTCAAACAAAATTAACAAAAAAAAAGTCGCAAAATACTACGGAATTACAAAACAACTATAGACATTTATATTATTTTGTTAATAATTCATAGCGCAAGCGGCAAGTGTCAAATAGGGTTTGACTAATGTACGAATGTACCAGCAGATACAAATACTTACAATAATAAGGTAAGCCTTTGAGATGAAATTTATTTGGATCAAAATGTAACTTACTTTTCCAAAACATTTTGAAAAAAAATATCCTTTTTTTGTACCAAGCCTTCTGTTATATGTGCATGTTTCCATTTATTGATTTTAAAGTCAGTGAAATTGAAGCCTAGTCATTGAATATAAGTCTGTTTAGTTGTATTTTTGGCTTAAGTAACCTTGGGGCAATATTGGATAACAATTAACAATTAGATTATAGAAAAAATTGAAGTTGAAATCATAATTTACTCAATATAATAAGCATACCAGGATTTTTTTTTTTTTTTCTGTTTTGATCAAAATCATAAAATAGGATAAAAACTTTAAGATGGGCTCCATTATTCTCATTTATGAAAATGAAAATGCTAATAAAATGCTTATATGAATAGAAAGTAGAGGTGTTCTAATGACTTGGAAAAATACCAGTTTGTCACACATGACCACAATTAATTTATAATTAGCAAAATTAGAAGAAAATTACCAGCAGAATTCAGAGTGACCGATCAATTAGGGAAAAATGTCCAGAGTGTATATACATGGACATTTATGATTGGTTAAAACGCTTAATTATATGCAATAAGAACATAATGATTTGATTAAGAATACAAGATAATTTTTTAGAAACACCAATTAATCAAAAAGTTTGCTTAATTTGACACTAAAAAATAAGAAAATCCATTTTTAATCCTCTATATCAAATTTGATGTATTTAAGACCAATAATTCCAAAACTTCTCCCACCCACTTTTTCAAATTGTTATTATTTTATATAGTGAAAAAATGACCTGTGGCCCCATTGAAATATTTTGTTGCCCCTGCTTGGCCCAATGTCCTTAAGTTTCTTCGAAACGCCACTGTTGGTGTGGTGTTTACTATTGGCGAGTGCTTCAATAGGATAGTATCTACACGAGTTATCAAGTTACACATCAATAGAATGCAAAACACATTTAATGGTGTTGTAGGAAATAATGAACAAAAAATTAAACTGGAATGTTTATTTCTTATCACAGTATAAAAATGCAATTAAAAAAACTTGGATTGATAAATGAAGAACACATTAGGCTAAATATAAGAACCTTTTTTTTTAGAAAAATACTTATCTAAATAATTGTTTATTAAGATTTTATTATCATCCTATTATGAAGATATTTGCACAATTTCTGGCCATATTAAGGTGCTAAAGTATGACATCATTATAAAAAATGGACACTTCATTGGTCAACCATCGTAATTTATCAAATAGAATTCAAGTTTGATTTAGATAGTGTTAAAGAAATACTACCTCTTAGAAAGTCTCAATCTTAGTAAACAAGTTGGACTGTTGGACAGTTGCCATGACTAAAGAACAGAATCTCTCTATATTATAAGATCCATAAAACTAAATAATTATTGAAATATACTTCTACACTTCTAGTATCATGGATTTATTGGATTATAGAAGGATTCTGTTGTATAGTTTTGACAGGTAAGTCCACTGATGAACAAAGGCTCATTTAGCCAAGATATACAACTAACAACACTTTGTCCAATTTTGAAACTACAAACTGATGAGTATTTAAAGCATATTCAATATGCAGGCCTATTAAGTTAATATTTAATTCTGACATGTATAATTAGATCTATCTGGCTGGACCCCATGTATATCTTTCTGTATAGCTTGAGTCAAGGTTAATCCAAATATGAACACTCCTATGGTAATAAACACACAGGAAAAATACAATAAAAATTTGACACGTTTAACATGAGTTATAAATTCTACTCCCTCACATATCTTATCCAACATTACTTTGAGTAAACACATTCCTGGAAAACAGAAAAGTGAAACATTTAAAAAAGAGAACCATGTCGAATTGCATTTGATATTACTAAACAGCAGTATTAAAACACATTTTAAAAATAATGACAATACAATTTCTGAGTTGGTATTTTAAAATTTAACATTAGGCCTACCTGGAAAGACAAAAATAAATAACCCAGCAAATGCTCCTAAAAGTTGAATAACAACTCCTATATTTGGTATAAATATTGCCAATGCAACAGTTAAAGTGAACCATATTAAAGTAACTATTATTCTCATTTTTCTTTCCCTCTCTTCAATAACCTCTGGTGTTAGTTTTAAAACTTCATTCCATACAGAATCAAACGCTGCCCTAAAATGAAAGGTAGATATTTTTTATTTCAAGTAATAGACAAAGTGGTGTAACACTGATAATTAGACCAAATAAAAACTTGACCTATGCCTCTGAATGGTTAGAATTTGTTGATCAGATGGAAAAAAATAGAAACATATACCTTCCACAGAAAAGCAATATTGGATATGTTGTATATGTTTTAACAGCAATCAATACAACAGCTATGATAACTTCAATATCAGGATCAAAGGATACCAAAATATCTGTTGTTATTTTATGTCCAAACTGTAGATATCCCAATGCAGCAGTTACAGTATAACTCAATACACATAATACCATAGCTAACGTCACAGTTTTAGAAAATTCTTTTATATTTCTTTTTTCCATGCAGGAATATATTGGGATGATACTAACATGACACTGAAAAAAAATATTTTACTTACAATTAACTCCATTACCTATACATATATCTTTAAAAGTTACTTTTGAAGATCAAAGTAAAGCCTAATTTTATTCTACTACAACAGCTAGTCATTAATTTGTGCCTTCCAAAGGTCTGCTCTTTATCAAACAAACATGTTAACATATACAGTCTTTATTCTATAGTCAGAGTCTAACATACCTGATAGGCAAAACAAATATCAGGAATAACTAAAAACACATCCATCCAAGAATCAGGACTGAAATACAATAAACAGATCAGAACAGTAGTCTCTATCATTCACAAGATAATTTAAACAAAAATTCATGAAATTCAAAATTATATTCATTCATTTCAATATACATAAAAAAACTACTTTCAACAAAATTTGACCATAGACTCTATCACATTCACAATTTTGCTATTGGGGATATAACTCAAAACTAGTATGAAAAGTAAACTCTTTTGTGATTAATATTCTTAAGCATATCAAGTTTGATCAAGTGGCTCTATAGTTTTCACAAGCAAACGAAAGTACAGACGGGATGGGTCAAATCAGAAACAATATCAACTTCTGATCTCATTTCAACTGTTCGGAGGTCATCAACATGCATAACCACATTTTTTATCCTGTAATTCTTTGTGACATGCCACACTAACAAGGGGAGGCCATGCTGAATACTCCACAGGATCTTTTTTACCTCCAATTTATCATAAAGTACTGCACTGAGGCATATTAAGCGTTCTTTGTAACATAATATTCATTCAATAAAGTTAATGAAAATTAAATGACCTTGTTTTGATATATGCTGGTTTATCATCTGGATCCTGTATGAAATATTTTACAGCTACTAATAACATCACATACATTATACCAATAACTCCTACTACACTGTGGTATAGAAATAAATAAGAGTGTTTTCACACCACGTGATGTTTTATTTAAATATCAACTATAGAGAGCTGATCAAGTTTCTGGATATTCATTACCCTTGCTAATGCCACCAGAATAGTCAGTATATTTCTTTATTTTGCCAGGATAACTATTTTAATAAAATAAATAATCTAATTTGATGTATGTAAGCTGTCTTGCATATCATGAGAATATGCCAAGATACCCAAGTGACAAAATAGAAATTGGAATTTACCTTTTGTCAATAAAGTTGAAAAATGTATGATTACCTTGCATATTTTAAGAAATCAATTCTTTTAGGAAAACATAGAGGTAAAATAAAAACTATAGATGTAACGGCTATTATAAAACTTCTATCCATATAAATTGGTCTATCAGAACAATATACAGTTTTACTTACAAACAGAAAAACTGAAAGACAAAGATTTTTTATCATATTTCTAATTAAAGATAGCTTGCGATGAAAGATAACATACGCCCACTGGCAGCTGTCAGAAATAATAAAACAGTCTTTAGTGACTAAAGTACGAATTTTCTCATATTGAAGAAATTATTTATGCTGAATAATTCCACAAAATTTTTTAAAATCAATATCAATAACCCAATTACAACAAACAATTAAATCACACAGCTCTAATCAAGGGCAAAAAACAACTTTTGACGCATGTTTACAAAGTCAAGGGCAATAACTCACAAAATTTTCATCAAAAATATCTCTTGTTAGAAAATGTCCGAGATCTTATCAATTCCAACGATCACACCAAGTTTCATCAAAATCGGTTGAAAACTGTAGATTCTATTGCGCTCACAAATAAATTTTGACGCGTTTTTAGTAAGTTAATGGCAATAACTAAAAAACATTTCATCGAAAATGTGTCAAGTTAGAACTTATCCGAGATCTTATCAATTTCAATGATCACACCAAGTTTCATCAGAATCGAATGAAAACTGTAGCTTCTATTGTGGTCACAAACAAATTTTGACGTGTTTTTACAAAGTCAAGGGCAATAACTCAAAAACCATTCAACGAAAATGTGTCAAGTTAGAACTTGTCCAAGAACTTATCAATTCCAATGATCACACCAAGTTTCATCAGAATCGAATGAAAACTGTAGCTTCAATCCTGCTCACTAACAATTTCTAACAAATTTCAACACGTTTTAACAAAGTCAAGGGCAATAACTCAAAAACCGTTCATCGAAAATACGTCAAGTTATAACCTTTCTGAGATCTTATCAATTCCAATGATCACACCAAGTTTCATCAGAATCGGTTGAAAACTGTAGCTTCAATCCTGCTCACGGACTATTTTTAACAAATTTCGAAGCGTTTTAACAAAGTCAAGGGCAATAACTCAAAAACCATTCAACGAAAATGTGTCAAGTTAGAACTTGTCCAAGAACTTATCAATTCCAATGATCACACCAAGTTTCATCAGAATCGAATGAAAACTGTAGCTTCAATCCTGCTCACTAACAATTTTTAACAAATTTCAAGGCGTTTTAAGTCAATGGGCAATATCTCAAAAACCGTTCATCGAAAATATGTCAAATTCGAACTTGACCAAGATCTTATTAATCTAAAGCATCACACCAAGTTTTATCAAAATCAGATGAAAACTGTAGTCTCTATGGTGCTCACAAGAAATGTTGACGGGCGACGACAATATACGACCACATATTCATGTGGGCGTATAAAAAGCAAAGAAAAAAAAGAAATGAGTAAAAATGATAAAAGAAGGTTCTATAATCATATATTTCATATCTCCTAGTTGTGTTAATAAGTTATATTATTTGATCCCTGGGGCTCTCCTAGTTGTGTTAATAAGTTATAGTATTTGATCCCTGGGGCTCTCCTAGTTGTGTTAATAGGTTATATTATGTGATCCCTGGGGCTCTCCTTGTATGTTAATAAGTTATATTATTTGATTCCTGGGGCTCTCCTAGTTATGTTAATAGGTTATGTTGTTTAAACTCAAATATACTATCTCTATATACTCTTAAAGGCAAAAAATTGGTGTGCATTTTAAGTGGTAGTATCTCTTTAACTTTGTTTTAAGGTTATATTGTTGGATCTCAAAAAATACTTACATTCTTCCCATTGATCTCCAATAATGATGAGGAATGTTATACAAGTTCCAAAACAATATACCAATAAACATAGAGCAGATGCATTTTGAGCCTTTTTACCACAAACTGATGAAACAACATCTTGATAAGTAGCCACTTTATCAATGTCTGAGCAATACGCTAAAATCATTATAGCTGACACAATAAACACCAAAAACAACTGAAACATATAATAATCATAAAACAATATTCCAATACAAAAAAAGATGTCCTCCATTATCATCAGGTGTTGACTCTATACTAAATGGTCAAAAATTAATTATAATAAAGCTAATATTGCTAACAGATTTTGAAAATTGGACTGTTTTTACTGACACCCTCATTAATCTTCATACAATATGAATCATACATCAAAAGTATTTAAAATTTCCAATACATTCCTTGTCAGACACAAATTATACTCACAGTCTGAATTGTTACAGCAACTACAACACCTCCTGCCTGGTCATATGCTGCAGGGAAATTCAATAAACCTGCACCCAATGCAGCATTAACAACCAGAAAAGCAGAACTGAACCATGATGAACCTATTAATGTAAGGATTGAAAAGTAAAATATACCAATACTAATCATTTAATGACATTTAGAAGTAGATAGAACATTATATAATTAAAACATAAATTTATTTATATAATATACAAATACTGTTTAAAAATCACACAATGCCAATTATTATATTTATTTCTAAAATCAACTCTAAGATAGCTTAGTCAGTGGGCCATTGAGCAATGCCCCTCCCCCATCGGGCGTTTGAAAGGTTTTATTTTGAAGTGAAAATTAACTACATGTATATAAATTGGGTTCTGGAGCATGTTGCAACGCCTCTCATTCCCACGACCACCCCCACCACACACACACCCTTCAGACATTCCCTAGATGCACCCCTGAGACAAGTACAGACATTATATTTGAGTTAATGAAAATTCAAAACACCTTATTACAAATACATGCATATGTAATTTTAGAACGAAATATCTGTCTCTATTCAGCCTCTGATAACTATTTGAAGAGATAGAAAAAATAGTCCCTGTTAAATGAAGACATTCTCATGTCCACAGAATACCTCGGATGCGAAACCCCGGTTTATTTTTGAAGTTCAGTCAAACCATCATTTTCTCCCTTCTCCATTTATGTCACGTCTCCAGTTCCATCATAACTGATCTAGCAATGGCCATTTAAAGGTCACAAATGCACATGATACTATTTAAACGAAAATTACCGTGATGCCCAACACTAATTTACAATCATTTTAAAGGTCATTCAATATTATGTTACAGAAAACGCATTTTTGGAGGTGTGGAAAATCACCATTTAACTGGGTCTTTTTCTTCTGACTTTACTCCAGCTGACAACTGTCAAAATATCCATAAGAGGCTGGAATAGAGACAGATGTTTCGTACTAGTATAATTCATCATTTTGTCAGAACAATGAAGTTATACTGGTCAAAAATAACAAATAGTATTCATAGTTTATGTACCTTTAAACACTTTTACTCGAATATCATCCACATTGATTTGTATATGAGATTTATTGAGCAATAATGGATCAGCCTCACTGTTTCCCAGGACATTTTCTAAATTCCCACTTTGCCATGTGGAATCTAGTCTTTCGTTGGACATTTTATAATCTTCTGCTTTAAATATCTCTCGCTACATATCAAACCTATCAAGAGTAAAAAAGCAATTTCCAGGTTGAAAATAGTCAGATTTGTTAAATTGTGGAATACTTGATTCTGAACGACGACATTTTGAGATCATGTGACTTATACTACTCGATAAATCTGTTATTAAAATGTTAAATGTTTAAATTTGCTTTAATTAATAACTTAACAGAATCTTGTATAGCTGAATAAATTTATTTATTAGTACATTTTGTTTGAATTCTAGTGTAAAAGATCTGCATGGATCGTTTAATATTTATCGACTCGTAATATAAATCTATTTATAGCCCAGTCATATGGCATAATACGTCATTTTTGTGTTGGTTCCCTATCGTAAAAACACAAGGAAGAAAAATGGCGGACGCATTTGTTGCGAATATTATTTATTATCCATAGTAAAATGATATTTTGCAATCCGAATGTGTCCTGATATTGGACTAATCTTATTTATGAATTGTCCTTTGTTATTAGTAGAATGGGATTAAAGCTGAGCACAAACAATTCGCCAAGATTAAGGACTTATTCTGGCAGCAGCCCAAGTGGCACAAATGGAAGTGGAAGTAATGGAATCGCTGTGCGTGCGGGCGGGTCAGGTGCCCGTGCACGTGCACGGAGTTTTGGCAGCTTTCAAACTGGACATTCGTCAACTCTAAATATTCCTGCGAATGTGACGGGCCCCCGTGGAAATTCCCCAGACTCTGATTCAAGCTCCCCAGAAGAGGGTTCTGCTTTTGGAAGAACATTTACACATTCTCTTCCTGTGCATTTATTTGCTTTACAAGGTGTGTGGCATTTCATTTATCTCATCATTGACATTGATTTATTTGTGACTGTGAACTTCACAGAGAAGCCTTTTAGTATTAACCCGTTAAAGTTAGATGTGGTCAGGCACTACCATTATCAATATATTATATTCTTCATGTCTTCTTGTTCCTTCAAAATAAAGTTTTGGACAAATATTGTTTTGTTCAGGCTTTCAGCTACTCAACAAGTCAAAATACTAAAATAGTTTGATTTATAGTTTTAGTCAAAATAAATAAGATGAAACAAGAGCCTGAAACTTTTCGACTTTAAAAAGCCTACATTGGTACCTTAAAGCCTAATCTTGATTTTAAAAAATGCAATTCAGCCTTTGACGTTTGGATGGTCCTGTTGAGATTGGTTGTGATTCAAGTTAACTTTGAGTTGGATTAAATCCTGACCACCCAGTCTCAACTGCTAATAATCAACTTATGAATCATAGATTTTCAAGAGACCAAATTAGGAGGAATAATCAGTGACATCACTTGAGTCAATCACATCATGAAAAATAATATCCTTTTCTCTTAATAACAACCTTCCAACCAATTTGATAGTTGTACTTGGTTTGTATTGTTTTCTATTAGTTTGATACACCACAGTTTCTTGATGTCCTAAACAGGTATCCTGTCATATAATCAATAAATATTAGTGTCCAGCTGTAAGGTAGCTGTCCCTACAAGCAATGCTATGATACTTTACTGAGTGTATTTTACCATTACACCAGATATTGTTTTCAATACAGGCACTTTCTGCATGTTTTTAAGATAATCTTAAGGTAAACTTAAGTTGTTAAATTGGATGATTGAATATGATAATAACAGGTTATATAAATTCTCGCTCACAAAAATATGCTATCTGTCCCACATCATTAAACATAACAAAAAACACAAATCGTCTTTGTTGATGGATTGTACAAAAAAAGATATATATGTCATAATAAATTAAATTAGAGCAGAAATAATGTACTGGTTGATGTCAAAGATTTGACTCCATTTAAACTGAAGCTTTCAACATATTGTGTCTTTATTATTCAGTTTTATTGAAAACACTTCAAGTATATCTTGTTCTAGATTCATTTGAATTGATGAAAGAAAAAATACCAAATTGACCAAAGATGATCTTAAGGTTACTTAAAATGTCTTATTATGTCTTATAGTAGTGAAATTACTTTCAAAAAGATCAGGTTTCGTTTTAGAAATTTGAGCATGAAAACAATCCGTATTTTGAACTAAAAAAAAACTTTAAAATTAATTTAAATGAATACTTTTCTCAGGTTGGAATCAACTAAAAATCTTCCTCGTCTTTATATTTTGATAGTAAAATGGCTAAATGTGAATAATAGATGCCACTCAGTAATAACTTAATTTATTGGATACAACTTGTTGAAATAATGATCTAATTGAAGTAATTAATATATATTTTGAGATAGTCAATTATACTTATTTAATTTTCAACAGATGGAATCATTCACATTACACTATGGTAAAACAAAACTATGTAATACTTATATTAACCAACATCAGTTATTATTAAATATGCTTCCTATTGATTGAAACTTGTGGTGATATTTTTCTTGAATAAGCTGCATTAGAATGTTCAATCATTGAATGGCTAGATTTTGAATATCATTGCACCATTCAATTTAAACTTATGCAAAAATGGACATTCATTCAAAATTGTGAAAACTATGCAAGTTTAAAATTAAAAAATTCAGCTGTTAAATTTTAAAGCTGTTAAAAAACTACAGTACAGATTGGATTAAAATAATCGCTTAATTGAAGATAAATGTCTCTCCTACATATTCTAAAGGATTCAGGCCATTTTAAAACCAAACACCAAAACTAGGCCAAACTGCTAAATTAACAATTAGTTCTCTCCGTTTTTGATTAACCCTTTTAAAACAAATTTAGTTTGATCAAGATGATACACACATATAAATAGCATACTTTCAGGTATATTTTAAGACGTTTTTGATAATGGAATTTTTTTTTTAGAAAAAAAGTGGAATACCCCTTTAACTTTTCTTTAATACATTATCATTTGTGTGAAAATAAAAAGATAACTGCTGTGGGAATGTTGAGAACAAATATTGAATAGTGCTCACTTCCACACATTTGTTCTTAAACAAACCAGTTATCAGAGTTTTATTCAGAAAAATGATCTGGACACTTTTAAGGATTAAAATTTTATCAGGTTTCATTTATGAAATACATAAAAAAAACTTTGTTGAAAAACTAGGTTATTTGACTATTATATCAAGACTTTGTTACATTAAGTATTTTATTAAAGGAATTGCAAAGAGGTTCTCTATTTTTTCGTTTTGTGACACCACCAAACACTTAGCTTTGGTGATAATGTAGAAACCGCAGACGTCTGATAGACAATGGGAATGGTGCTATTTGATGCTATGAGTGTCTCCAATACACATACAAAATTTAGAAAAACCTCTTTTACAAACCCTTACAACCTGAGGATCTTAGTAATAAATCTAGGTATGTTTAGACATTGGTATAGTATTTATGTATTAGACAAGGTGTGATTTAATTGAGAAAATATTTGATTTATCAAATGACTTAAGAACTATGATATAAATTATTTTCTGATTTTTCAGGCATAAAATGTCCAGTTTGTTCTAAATTTATATCATCAGAAGAGATAGAATGTCATCTAGTGATGTGTTTAACAAAGCCTAGAATTAGTTATAATGGTAAGTCTTTGTGTTGTGGGAGATTCTAACTTCCAAACAAAATTCAGGAAACAGCTGTTTATAGACATGTTATTGTAGAATCCTTTCTCAACTAAGAATAAGGTTTTGTTGTGCCCTGTTTCTTAAATTGCATTCTTTTCTGTGGCGTTTGCCTTTCCCTGTGTTAGCTGGTCAAAAATTGAAAGAATAGTGACCTGTGTGTGTGAAATGAAATTGTTTATTTGATTGTAGAAGATGTATTGAATGAAGATAAAGGGGAATGTGTAATATGTTTTGAAGATTTAGTTCAAGGTGATACAATAGCTAGATTGCCCTGTCTGTGTATATATCATAAAGGGTAAGTTACTGCACATTTTAAATTAGGAGTTCTAGATAGAATTAATAAAAAAAAAATAGTCAATACTGAAAAAAGTATTATCAACCACAGGAGTCATGTGTCAGAAAAATTGGTGCAACCTTTTTATACGCCCACATGAGTATGGGGTCGTATATTGTCGTTGCCCCTGTCCGTTGGTCCATACGTCAACATTTCTTGTGGGCACAATAGAGACTACAGTTTTAATTTGATTGTAATGAAACTTTGTGTGAGCATTGGGATTGATAGGACGGTGGTCAAGATCTAATTTGATGATTTATTATTATGAAGATCTTTAATATATTTTTGGTCAATAAAGATTTATCATCTCTGACAGCTGCCAGTGGGCATATGTTAGCTTGCCTGGCAAGCTATCTTTATTTTGCGACAAGATGTTTAAAATTCTGTTTGGTGAGATTTGAATTATATATGTTCCATATCTTTAACATTTAAAAACAATAATTGCCAACTGTGGCAATATTATGACTAAATTTATAAACTTGAGCTACCTGCTCATGCCAAAAGATCACATATCTTACATTAAATTTGTTAAGATTGAGGTAATGAAGCCAAATCTTTCTTGATTCCTTGGATGTTTATTCAGACATTAAACATTGCCTGATCCATCGTGTCCAAACCACACCCCCATTCTTCATACTTCCTCGGGGACATGGAACGTGAGAAAACTTGCGTATTCATAACTAAATATTGTCCAATCAAAATTGGCCCTATAGCAAATTTCAGCCAACCTATAGCAAATTTCAGCCAATCAAAACAAATCACTTGTTATGACTCTTTGTTTGCGAACGTAAACAAAACGGAAGCGGCGTGCCATTACAGATTTTGATGAATATGTACGGTATATAATTGAGTAAGATTTTCATCAAGAATTGAAGCCGAGAAAAAGTCAAACCTTTACATGGAAAGAATGTGTTCTTATCTCATAGAACAGATGGCGGCAAAGCGGTGTTGTGCTTTGTTTACATGACCTCATTTCTGTTCTACCGATCTGATTGGTCAGATTTAAATGCCACAAATCTCATTTCCACAGCTCCAAAACGACCGTGTCAAAACCCGTATTCGTGATACGATGTGTCTGATTGTATCTGATATCAAAAGAATAAACTGTAAAATGTTTCACCATATTCTATTTCTAGGACTTTTATTTTTTTTTCCATCACTAGTCTTTTAACATCTCTCTGTATTTTCCAGATGTATTGATAAATGGTTTGAAGTGAACAGATCATGTCCTGAACACCCAACAGATTAACATGAACGTGACTTAGCTTGTCTTTCATAAACTTGATGGAGAATTTAGATAAGACTTAGCAGAAACTGAACTATTTTAGTGTATCAATAAAAAAAAGTGCTGTTATTGTCAAATCATGTTATATAACCAGATGCTCTCTACTCCTTGTGTCCTGTTTAAACCTGAGGCCGAGTTGGAGCTGGAAGATGATCAACATGGTAGAGGGAAATTCCAAGATAAAAATTTACATCATCTTTTGACAAAATAAATGCACCAGAATGTAACAAGAATAGAATAATAGTTAGGTTTTTTGTTTTTTTCTAGTTTTACTGTGCTGTATGTTCACATGCACAAATATTTTACTTTATCAGATAAAAATCCTGGCTAAAGCAAGTAGTGCTGACAGATGATGACAAATTATCAATATAAACTTCTATTTTAATTTACTTACAGCCAGTAGACTGAAATATTGAAGATTATTAGAAGTATAAAAAAAATACTATTGATTCCTTTGCGCCTTGATTTTTTGTTTCATGACCTTTGCTTATATTGGTCATTGGTGCTTTTTATATCCTTTGCTTTCAAATCATAGAATTTATCATATCAGTAGTATGTACTGTTTGTGAGTAATGTTTTAAATGTGCCTAAGGGCAGAATTTTTTACATTTTTTAAAATAAATAGTGTTGATTTCAAAATCAAATTTTTGTAATGAAATACATACAAATTCTGTTGTAAGCTATTTGTCTTGAAAAAAGAAAAAAATATATATCTATGAGTTGATTTACAATAGCAAAATATTTTTACTGTTAATATAGTGCTCAATACACTATGTAAAAATACTCACATGGAAATGTGGATGTATTGTTGTCACCTCATGGTATCTGCCTGTCAGTCAACACTTCATGTTGTTGTTTAATTGATGCTATGCATACAAATTATGATTAGATCTCAGGCATGTTGATATTTGGTATGATTTTTGTTCAAGGTATTGCCCTAAGCATATTACAGAATATTGCCATGCAAACATGATTGTGACCGTTTATATGATTTTGTAAATAGATTTATCAGATCACAGATGATCATTGAATATGTTAAATCTCAGTGATTATTTTATAGAATATGTTATTCTTTTTAGATACCATTGACCTTGTTCAAATAATGATAGACATGGGTTTTGGATAACTTTGTTTCAAAATGGCACCAAGCAATGATTTATTGTTATTCTTCAAATATCATATTGATATATGAGGCAGTTGACTGGTAATTTTGCAATCCCAGTCCAAGTTTCTCAAAAAATCTTACACACAACTATTTGCCTTAAATATTGAATTTAATTTGCAAAATAACACAATTGACAAAAAGTGTTTGGAAGAGTTTTTGAGTAATGATGGTCTGATTCCAGGGTAAGACTATATGCAATTTGAGGCTTATTCATTGTTTTCAGTTAAATTGATTGTTAATGAAACAAGCAAATTAAATATTTCTATACTCTAATTATGAGTTCGTATTCCTCAAAATCAGTGATTTCATTTAGATGTAGAGTGAATCTATTCAAAAGTAAAAATAAATTAGAGTGGTAATCGATTTTGAATGTGCTTCTTAACATCTTGCATAGCCTAGCCCTACTTATGCCATCACAGTTGACTAAATTGGACATGCTGAATATCTGAATGAAGGGACTGTGATTTGTAAATAATTTTAGTTGAAGTTTTAGTAAGAAATATTTTGTGCCATTCTTCATAAAGAAGTTTGAGTCATATAATTTTTGAAAGCTACCACTGTATGCATCCACTAAATGTGTTTCATTGTGTGCAAGTTGCAGCCAAAAACACCTTTTGGAAGTAAGTGGATTGCGATGGAATGATCTTAATTTATTCATTCAAATTAATAATGATCCTTGTAAGATATGTATATTATATGTTTTTGTTAGTGGCTGGCAAAATATTTATCAACATATAAATTGGTCTACATGGCTGTAGGATGTTGTATGATAAACTATTTTGGTACTGTGATTGTAAAGTTTGAATTGATTAAAGTTATATTTGTGAATAAGAAGTTGATCGATGGATAATGTGGAAGACAACCTTGATAAAAATTTAGTGAAATAAATTATATTATTTTAAAGCATTTTTTTTTAAATAAATGTTTTGGATTTCCAAATGATAGGTTTTAGTCATAAACATGTAAAGTACATGCCTAATTCTGTAACTGTGATAAAATTTAGTTGTTAAATAACATGTTGAGAAAAAATTATCATTCTCCTTTATCAATATATTACCTTTGACAGTTTTCATTTTATGAAGAAAATCATCTTCATTTCACGCACAATTATGAAATTTAAACACAGTTGTATGTGTTTCTGCTATTAGGTTAAATTAATGCTGTAGTGGAGTTTTTAAGATTTTTTTATAACTTCTATTGAATTAATGCTATTAGTTTTTATTGAAATTAAACTTTTAACATTTCAAACCTTGTGGATCCAAATGGTTGTTTCTCTTAAAATATAATTTCAAAAACCTGTTTGTGTAGAGCATAAATCTCTCAATTGAATTTTCTACAAATTTTTTCTAATTGACTATCATCCAAACTGATTTGAAAGAAAAATTAAATAAAGGAGGTGAAGATAGAGCTGATTGTAAATATTAGAAGCACCTGCTTTAGTATATGATAATATATGTATGTACTGTTACTTGTAAAACTGTAATAAACTTGTTGATTATATATATACATGATGTTTATTTGAGAATTGTATATACAGGGATCCCAGACTTCCTCTATTATTCTGGCCATTGGATTTTTTTTTATTTTCAAATAAAACCTAAATTTAGTTTTAGTAATGAAAAGAATTCTGTATAGGAAATGGTTAAATCTCCCCCTATACCTCACATGAGAGTCTGTGGCCCTCTTTACCTTCAGCCGATATTTTCCATTTCCTCCATTTTTTTGTTCCTCACTGGGATCCCTGGTTATAAACAATAAAATCGAACACAAGTTTGCAGTTGACAATATTTAATTAATCAGTCTATGCTCTTGATTTCAAGATGCATCATAATGAGCTTATTAGAAAAGACTTGTTTAGATACAGTATCACACATAATAAAAAACTCAGGCCTTCAAGTAAGGTTTGTTACAGATCCTGACAAGCATTATTTCTGTTACAGACATATACCTGTCCCTTATAATAACATGCATGAAACCCTTTAAATTGTTAGAAGTAATGATAGATTATATTGGATTCATATTCGAAAGAATTCATTTAGAATTTAATTCAATAATCTTTTGTTATGTGCTATCATTATGTGTTTTGTGCATAGTGAAAGCCTTACTCATTGAACATGAATAATGTTATGAATAAAGTAGTCCCATTGAAAGGCTTACTTGTAGACAGCACTTAAATCTGTATAAACTGAAATTGTCTGTTAAAAATGTAAAAAACTAAATAGATCAAAATGTTAATCTTGAAATTTCTAAAGAAACAATTTGATCTTTCGTTTTCTGGGAAATGCCTCTGAAGGCCCAAGAATAAAAAATGGAAAAAGGAAAAATTGAGAAATAACTACCTCTAACAATTGTTATATCGTATCATTATACATCATATCCTGAGTATGGGTTTTGACATAGTCTTGAGGAAGTATAACAAATGGAGCCGTATTTAGACACGGTGATAGTAAAAATGGTGAAATCATAGTTATGGTTTACTATTGTTATATCACATCATCTGTGAGAAATCATAGTTATTGCTTATTTGTTGTTATATCACAACATTTGATCCCAAATTTACCAGTTCAATATCTGATCAATTTTAGTTTTCATGTAGCCTTTATTTTTAGAATTTTTATAGGGATCACAGTTATTGCTTATGTTAGACATCTTATTGTTAACTTTTATTTTGATTACTGGTAATAAGATATCGGAATCACAGTTATCTCACCAAGTCACATTGTCAACCTTAACTTCCATAATTGTTATAAACATAATCACAGTTATCTTTTTTTGTGTGACTTCACATCAACTTTAGAAAATACAATTATAGCTTCACATTTGTTACTAAACATAATTATTAATAACTTTGATGACATTTAATTTCATAAAATGTCACCATGAATATTCACACAAGTAACTTTCACTTCTATTACTACAAATAAACTTGAGATAACACTCTCAACACTTTCAATTACTTCAATTGAACTGGAGCTGAAATTAAAATCATTAGGATTTCGAAGAATCTGCTTGAATCAGTGTGTAAATTTGTATATTTTGTCAGGGAAACAGATAATTTATTTTTCTCTTGGATGAGGTTTCAGTTCTTATGGACAACTTGTCTGAAAATGGATTATAAAATGATAGTCCTTCCTTTTCCCTGCCCTTCAAGTTTTGGAAAGAAAAATTGTATCTTACTTAGATATTTTCCTGATGGCACTTGTGATGATTTTGATGCAGATGATAATAATGACCGACTGGTACCACTTTTTCCTAAAAATAATATCCAAAATATCATGATTTTACTTTTGGATGGATTCCAGTAAATGAAAAGAAATGATAGAAGAGTAATAGTTACTTTAGATATATTAAATTGCATGCTTTGAATTATATCAATATATTACTATTTGAATGCTTACCTGGTAATACTATACAAAAATGTAACTGATTTACAATTTCTTTTGATTGAAATGATGCAAATTTAAATAGACCTTCACCAGTCTGAGAAGCTCTAACATAAAACAAAATGATGATAATTAATTTAGACATTTTTATTTGCTTTTAATCAAGTTACATTTGGTTGATGAAAATTTGTTGAATTAAAGTACAAATAGACTTCAGGTTTTAATTCTGAAAAGTAATAAGGGTAAAAACTAGTACAGCAAGTAGTTAGACACTAAATCCCTTTAACAACACTTCTTGCTATTTTATTCTTTTAAACTGTATGATTACTTTTAACTTACCTTCCAACTTCAATAGAAAATGTTTTATCATCTGCTGATGGTGTAAAATTTCGAATTACTTTGTATGGCCAGGTTGCTATCTGTACCCCATTGTGTGATTTTAAACGTATAGAATCTTTCTCTATCATAAAACAACATTCTCCTAAAAAACCCATCATTCCATTAGTTTCTAATAGTTTAACATAGGTTGTATGCACTGAAAATAAACATTATTGCTAAATTATCCTACCCTTTATTCTTATTCAAGTGTTATTCATCTTAATATTCATTAAATCCTATTATAATCTGGAAAGGTGGGTATTTTTCTGTTCCTATAGATGTGAAAGCTAAAAATTCGAAGGAAAGTCCTCAGAAATTCAGAAATTCAACTACTGCCATCTTCAAATTTGTTCGTAACATCATCATTTTCGTCAATAATCCCCACAGTTTCTATTGCTCTAACATGTTTGTATATATATATCAAAAAATATTTATATAGAATTTACCAAAAGGGGGACTTCTAAATGCATCATTTTGTTTGGTATCTCTGATTGATTGCAGCCAACTTGTGCTTTCCTCAACTGAAAGAAAAGATCATTACAAATACTTTGTTTTACTTCATCTTTTCTGAATAAGTCTCCTAATCTTATTCATATTTTGTTAAACTCAACCTTGTCACAATTTGGTAATATTTTACAAATTTTCAAGGCATAGATCAGAAAGTATTGATACTAAAACAAATTTGTATTAGCCTAATGAGAGGGATTTGACTTTCAAGATGCTGCATGTTTTATTTTGTATTCAAAGACAGTACCTTACCGTTTTCAAATTTCAAGGTTAAAGTTGTAGAATCTTTTATTCTAATATCAATACATGATTTATCTTTAATATCTTGTTGAACTTGGCTGATATCAGATAAATAGTAAATATTTTTCCCTCTATTTGCCACAAATTCATTTTTATCTTTATATTTGATAATACAAGATAAGCCCAGACTGGAACTAACACATATCATCATATATCTTCTTTTCCAGGTCTAAAATATAATAAGAATAAAGGAAAAACTCAAATTTCTTTTTCTCTTATAGGAAAGATGTGGGTAAAACCATATAATGTGCATAATATTTATTTTATGGTATAAAGTTATGTTTTTTGTAAAGCAATCAACCAAATCAATTATTTCAAATTAATTTAGAACCTTAAAAAAACATTTGTGAGTCAATATTAAGGATTCCTTATAGATAATTGGCCAAGTGTCAAGATTTACTTCCTGGATGGGTTGAATTTAATGTTTTAACCTCAACCTGATTCCATAGCTTCATAATATAGGCCTACAATAAAATAACAGATATATGGAAAAAAAATTATTTTCAATCATTTAAAGCAATTTACAGTTAACATAACAATACAAAATGGCATTTAAGAAGCCTACTTTTCATAAATTCTTATTTCTACCAAAATTTCAAAGGCCTACCTTTATAATACCACTTTCCTTTAAAACTTTAACATAACTATTCTTTATAATAAAGTTTGCATTTGTGGCATAATCAGGAGTTTCCATTCTGAGACTGACTGTAGGTCTACATTACAATTACCTTTTTTTATACACCAATATCAATCAAACAGTTGAACAATTTCACCCAATCTCTCAACTCTGAACATAATGCATGATTTAAATGACAATAAAGCCAATAGGTCAATAGGTCGTAAAAAAAGGGTAGGCCTATTCACAAATGACATTGAAATCAAAATAGAAGAAAAGACAACGTAACTTGGCCTTCAATGCACTTATAGTTATATTTTATACGCCCACATTATAATGTGGACGTATATTGTCGTCACCCATGTCCGTCGGTCCGTCTGTCAACAATTGGCTTGTGAACGCGATAGAGACTACAGTTTTCATCTGATTCGAATGAAATTTGGTGTGTTCATTTATATTGATGAGATCTTGGACAAGTTCGATATTCACGATTTTTCGATGAACGGTTTTTGAGTTATTGGCCTTGACTTAGCCAAAACGCGTCAAAATTGGCTTGTGAACGCGATAGAGACTAAAGTTTTCATCTGATATGAATGAAATTTGGTGTGATCATTTATATTCATGAGATCTTGGACAAGTTCGAATTTGACGATCTTTCGATGAACGGTTTTTGAGTTATTGCCCTGGACTTATAAAAAACGCGTCAACGTACGCGTCAAAAACACAATAGAGACTACAGTTTTTATCCAATTTCAATGAAATTTGGTGTGAATATTTTATAATGATGAGATCTTGGACAAGTTCGAATTTGGCTATCTTATTTCGATGAATGGTTTTTGAATTATTGCTCTTGATTTATGAAAAACGCGTCAAAATTTGTTTGTGAACACAATAGAGACTACAGTTTTCATCCGATTTAAATTAAATTTGGTATGATCATTTATAATAATGAGATCTATAGTCAAGATTAAATTTGACAATTTTTCGATCAACGGAATTTGAGTTATTGCCCATGATTTAGTAAAAACGCATCAAAATTTCTTAGCGTTAGAGGTGACAGTTTATGTCAGAATTTTATTAAATAATGTGTGTTTGTTTAAATCAACAATATCTTGCACAAATTAAATTTTTGGTATGATTTGACACAGATGGGTGACTGCCCTTGATATATACTGAAAATGTATCAGGAAAGTGGGCGTATCTTACTAGGCAACCACTTGTTATTCTCTTGTGTCATATTATATTGCCTTTCATTTCACAAAATATGCCTTAAATGTTTATATGACTCAAGCAATCATTATCTAAAATATTCTATTGAAATGCATTGGGGTTTAATTTTGGTCCGAGTTTCGTAAGAGACTGGCTGTGCATGTCTACATTCTACTTTCTTTTTATTTCTATTTATTCGTCCTTCACCTTTGTGTATGAAAAGCAGACAGCCTACAACAAATCTTGAAGAAATAGAAATAAATTATCATAATATTTATTAAAAATGAGTCAAATAAACGACAAGAAGTTTAATGAAGCGATGGAGCATGTACGCAATGCAGAGAAATAGTAAGAAATCTTTGTTTTTACATAACAAACTGGCCCTGATATTTCTAAATGTTTCTCCATAAATATAATGATTTTCATTGTGTATGTTTACAACTCACTGATTGATGCTACTTTCAGTTTGTTCTTATTTCAGCATGAAAACCTCTTTGTTTAAATGGAAACCTGATATCGATAGTGCAATCTCCGAATACCAAAAAGCTGGTAGGTTATGTGTATTTATGAGAGAAGTGTAACTAATGTTCAATATAACAATCATATTATCTTGAATATCGAGCACATCTTGTCATTAGAATGCAATTGGTGGTCTTCTAGCTATCTTCAAAAGCTTTACCGTTCCTGATTGAAAAGCTTATGTTATTCCTTATTATTACTCCTATTATTACTAGCAGACCTTTATAATATCACAACTGACAAAAATTCCTTGAGTGAGAGTTAGGAATCACATTAAATAAATGAAAACAATTTTATGGTGTTATACTAGGCCTATTAGATTGATTGATGCAGGATAGGGGTCTGTTGTCTATCAAATACATGTACTTTACTCCTTTGTCTTAAATTGCTACAATAACATTTTAATTTCAGCTACTGCATTTAGAAATGCCAAATCAATACATAAAGCCAAAGAAACTCACATCAAAGTAGCTGAGTTACAACAGCAAATGAATTCGTATCCTTTTTAACTCTATAAAACTCATTGTTTTAACCCTGTACCAGTGCCTACAGTTGAATAGTAAATTGTTACTAAAATTCATATATTTTCTTTAAAAAAGGTTTCTTTTGAAACATTAATGTTATCGGTATTAAAAAGACTTTTATCATTCAAGAACATTTGTTCCTCTTTTATAGCTTTCTTTAACAGTTTCAAGTACTTTCCATGCTGCAAAGTAAGTTTATTATTTGTATTTTTGTTTTAAATATCTATTAAATAGTAAAATCTATTATATTTTTTGAAAAGCAATAAAGTTTGATTAATTCCATATTAAACTACATAGAAAAAAATGCTTTGTTTTTCTTTTAAAGGTCATATGAACAAGCTGGTTTACTTTGTAAAGAAAATAAAGAATATGATGAAGCTTGTCACCTAATGATGATGGCCTCGAGAATGTTTCAAGAACATGGTACTCCTGATACTGCTGCTTTATGTCTGGATAAGGCTGGCAAGTAAGTGATGGCTTGGCTTATTTTAGTTTTGATGTGACATATCACTTGTATGAAAAGTGTAAATGAGTATAATAAAAATCACTAAACTTCTACTATTTCTCATTTCCTTCCTTTGTATTCTTTGGTTTGTACTTAAAGTTAATACTTAAAAACAAATGAAGCATGTTCTCACCTGATACTAGTAATTTTTGATACTAAAATATAGGTTTAATTGAAGAAATATAGTCTTAGAATTTCCCTAATAGATTATACCATATGTTTACTTAGAATGATGGAGCAAGTTAAACCAGGTCGAGCTGTAGAGTTATATATTAAAGCTTGTGACGTAGCAGAGGTAACTTTACTTTAGTAATTCAATAATCCAACCTTTCAACCACTCTAACCTTTTGAATAATCCATGTCTATTGATCAATAGTGAAACAAAAAAATATACATAATTTTGTTCACATATTTAATTTAATACTTCAAGATTGAAATTGAAATTTAGTGCTTTATTTCCTACTTATGTGCTCCTTGAATCTACAACTGTAGGGGAATCTGTAGTATAAAATGTAAACTTCTTGATACTTGATATGAATTTCTTGGTATATGATTAAAGATTTTGGTATATAGTATGAGTTTCTTGGTATAAAATTTCAACTTCTAGGTTTTTGATTTTTTTTATGTTGGATTTTTTCTGTTTTAGCAGTCCATACATATGATATAAATTGATTCTTTATCGAATGTTTGAATCTTCTGCTAAGATTTTAATCAATCATTATCCTATTTTTATCAGATTGAAGACAGACCACGAAACTGTGCAGAATTTATTGGTAAAGCTGCAAGACTTCTTATTAACACTCAAAGGTAATTAAACAGGTTTGATATCTGCAATCCAGGGACATGTATTTAGCAGCAGTATCTTTAAGTCTTTATATCAGTGGTAACTAGCTGTTAGTAACTTCTGATTTAAGTCTGGCGCTCAGACAGAATTCACTCGTGCACTTCTCCTTAAGGCGGTAGCTCCCATGTACGGACATAAATTTACCTCTAAGCAGATAGCTTTATTTACGGGCACACACAAGCATTTTTTCATTCCTGGAAAATATTATCAAACACATTAGATTTTCAACTTTTCGCCACTAATGACCAAAATCTTAAACATACATTTATCTACTTATACATATTACGTGTATTAGTGGCCATATATCATGACTGCCTTCTTTATGTTTATATATATAAGATGGCTGATATGCAAGAAAAGTTTTTAGTCTAATTTTTTACCGTAATAAAGTGATGATCATTATTATTACCACTCTCTTAACAAATCTTATCCTATATTTTTGCCACTGAATTGTCTTTAAATTCATTATTTCTGGAACTATTTCTTAGATATGAAGAAGCTATTAATGCTCTACAGAGAGAAATGGAATATTATCTAGCAGCAGAAGCTTATGATAAATTAAGGAAAGTTATAATGGGCCAAGTGTTGGTACATTTAACAAGAGATGACTACGTTGCTGCTGATTTGTGTTTTAAAAATTGTCTCAAGTAAGTTAGTCAGGCATGGAGGAAACACCTCTCATCACAGGTTTCTAAAACTTTGACATTGAGATGAAATGTTCTGACAATTATTATCTTATTTTCTTCATTCCCTTACATTAAAATTTATTAGCTATTATTTATGTATTAAGATATTATGTCACTTTAAAGTATATTTTCATTAACGTTTTGTCTAGAATATAGTTTGATTGTGAAAAAAATTGAGCAAGAGTTATTTACCATACCAAAAAGTATCATTTGACTGTGATATTGTAGTTTACCAGAATTTGGATCCAGTGAAGAAGCTGGTGCATTAGAAGATTTATTAACAGCTTATGATGAAGGAGATGATGAAAAAGGGAGAGCTACATTAAATTTACCATTATTCAAGTACTTAGATAATGCTGTATGTGTACTTCAATATTATCTATTGAAAGATGTCAAATAATTTGTTTCCAAGTTTAGAGACAAGATCTAAAAAATAAGCTAATTGTGATTTTGAAGACACAGCTAGTGTTTCAAATGACATGGACAATATTACATATAATTTATGATGTGGTTTAACAATTTCCATTTTCAACAAACTACAATTTTACGTATATAAATTTGTTATTTTTTTCTCAGGAGATTTAAAACTGAATTTTGTTTTACAGTTTGCTAAGTTAGCTAAAGGTTTAGTTATGCCAGAAAGTATTGGAGGTGCTAAAGATAAAAAAGGAATGGTTATAAAAGATGATGAATTTGCAGATGGTTTATGTTAAGCTCATGATTTATAAATTTCATAATACATTTTCACTTTAGGTAATATTATAAAAGTTAGGGTCATAGCACATCACAATGTTGTTAAAAGGACAAGGTCAATTTTTATGATAATAGTAGCTCAGTAACAACTATTTCTCTTTCTTTATAGATTGGCATCCAATTCTACCTGTCATTCAACAAAATCATATCATGAAAGTTTGGACTCTCAATACTGTAAGGCTGTTATTGAAAATAAGATAATGACATCATCTGCCATCACTGCCTGTGAGAGGTATACTTTTGTTGAATTGAAGGAGAATTGGAGGTCAGATTTTCATTCTGACAATTGTGTTGATAGATGATTCTATAAGATGATAAAGCAAATATTTCAAGAACTATTTCTCTTTTAGATTTCATTTGAAAGTATGTGGATTATGTAAAATATTATTATTGTATGAAATATAATCATGTGATAAATCTCTTGTGACATTTTTGCTTAAAGCAAAAAAATGGCTGTGATGTTTTTATTTTGAATAGTCTGTATGGAAATTAAATCTATGAAAAATCTAGATTGGTTAGTCAATACAAGTATTCCCCAAATATTGGCAATAATTGACATAATGCACATTTACGGTTGCCTCTTGTTTGTTTCACATTTTTTAATATAACCCAATGAATATTAAACTTAATTATTTCCATGTGCTACTCTGAATACCATTAAGTCATGCAAGTGGTACCATTATTTATAACATAAATATATAAGTCAATATAAAAAAAAAACAAATCATCAGCACACATTCCTCCAAATGTTTTTAACACCAGTACAAGACCAAGAAATGTCATGTGTTTACATTGAAAAGATAATTTAAGAATATTTTGTTTGTATTCATGATTGAGATTGTTATCTTTCTATTTATAAGCAATATCTAGTCTTTTGATTTTGTAATTGATGTATATATGGCAAAATGTCAAGAGTAAAATATTGCATGGGTATATACATAGGTATAATATGTGTAATGGAAATATGTTACAAATGTTTCAGCTAGAAAATATAATGGTGATTTTTGTTTGAAACGACATTCCCAGTTTTCATGTTTTCATATTTGTGATGTTTTACTTTTGAACTCCAAGTATGATATGATATGATATGCCTACCTACAATACATGTATTGTCTGTTTATTTGGTTATAGACTGCAGTTTTGATCAGATTTTGATAAAACTTGGTATGCTTATAGAAACTGAATACAATACACTAGTATAGTGTTCAATACATCAATTGTAGAGCGATAAAGAAAGAAAACTGGACACATGTAACTATATTTGTAAGTTCGGTATTCACAAAATGTTGATGAATTTAAATTAGATATTGGTAATGTTAAAGAATTAGAGAAGATTTTAAAAAGACTTGCTGTTGTGTAGACTATGGGAGACCGCTAGTGTACTGTTGTTTAGAGATATCACATAAATGAGTGACTAAATATTTCAGTTTTGAAATATTGGTCACAAAATTGCCTCCTTCATTAAAATACAGATACAAAATTTCGTTTTGCAGTCACTGTCACTTATTTCATGTGAATCTGACAATATTTTTACGAGTGGTATGCCCATGGTTTGTTAAAATATCAATTACTTAGTATTAAGCTTGTCTTATGTGACATTCTGAAATTATCATTTCTTTCTGTTTGTACATATTTCTATAGTTATGACTTCTGCAGTCAATGGTATCACATATTTATTAAACTTTTTACAAACTTTATATTACTTTATTTATTACTAAGATTATAATATAGGAGACAAGGACAATACAGGTTGTTATATTATTAATTATTAGCTTTATTAAAGTTATTTCTTTATTTATACTCTTTATTCTATATGTTATATACATGTATAAATGTAACATTCTCAGTTAACATATTTTAATCATTCTCATGTCATTTTAATGATAAAGGTTTATAAATTTAGAATTTTAATATAATTGATTGTAAATGACTTTGATCTCAATTATGGTTTGCTGATTGAGTGATTCATGAAAATGAACTTTTATGGTTTTCTGATAAACCAAATTTTGTGATCTAGAATAATTCATCATTTTTCATCTATGTAATTCATTCAGAGTTTTTGACAATTACCAGGACTTGTTAAGCATATTTTTTTTGTCCCCTTAATCATCTTGAGATTTGTTTTACCAGCAGATAAAACTTAAAGCTATCAGTATCTCTTTTCCATAAGGAATCAGATTTTTCATAATGAAAAGTAGACCCATTATCCTTGATAGATCATATGGTATAAACTATATTCCTTTAATAATATGGTATGTTTACATATATTTTTCATATTATAATTTAGGGTTAGGTCTCATCATTCCTTCCTGTGCTACAGACATAGCTAACACCCCATCTTTTCTCCATAATCTACCAGTTGCTATAGCCATACCATTTCCTACAAAGGTGCATGAAAAGTACATTTTAACATAAATCACATAAAGGCTTCATGATAGTATGATGTGTTAAATGTTAAAAGCAATTTGATATTTGTAAAGTGGAAAAGACTGGAACTTTCAATTACAACATTCACTTTCTTTCCAATTTCACCCATATTAGATAAATATGCATTAAGTGTAAGCCTCTCAGTAGGCCTACAAGCTGATTCCATTTATCAGTAAGGTTCATTAATGTCTCAATGAATGTGCATATTACCTCTTTGGGGACTTTCAATATCATATAGCAACCAGTCATTGGCTTGAAATGTATTGTGGAACCATATAGAATGATCCAGTGAGACAATTTGAAGATGTCTATCGGTATTATATATTGAAGCAACATCAACAAATAGATAATCAGTTAAAAATGCTGCAGCACACTGATGTATTCTACTGTCTTCACCTACAATTAAAAAGTAAATTTCAAGAATTTTTTAGTCAAAATTGACTTTTTTGTATTTAGGCTACTAAGAAATGCATTGTCTGATTGGACGAAAGACTTCATTACAGATGACAACAGGTATAATCATTTTCAATTTAGATATAATGTTTTACCTAAATATCCTTCAGCTTTAATCCAATATTTTCTTTTAGCTTCCTTTCTCTCTATTGAGGGCAATTCATAACTTGAACAAACTGGTCGTATTTCAAAAGGGAAATCTTGATGGCACAATGATTTTAAAATTTCTCTCTCTTTTATACTGCCATAATTATTCCTGAAAATACAATCAATATTGAAGTAAAAAACACCATGCAGTCATAAATTATATGAAGCCAAGACTTTAGTCACCGTGGTGTTCACAAATCAATCAAATATTTTGGCTCTGCCTAAAATCAAAAGTGTTCACAAATGAACAGACAGAGGAAGAGAGCAATTACACAAACACATGATGGGCTAAATGACATACTCTGGCTGAAAATAGAGTTTAATTTTTGTAACAAAAAGATAAGAACATATGAAAATTATTTGGGCTAAAATGTTACAGTATTTGAAAAAGTTGCAATGATTAACCAATGTGTCTATGTCTTAAATTATTGGAGACAATTAAGTGATTTTTTAAACATATAATTATTTAGGATAATAATATACTCACTTGACTGCTATCTGATATAATTGTTTAACATTGAGTAAATCTTGGGGCTGTTTATCTGTTATTGGCATAGAAAATTGATGATAATATTCATCTGTTTCTCCTTGTTTAAAACTAGTTTGCATTGTCAGTAATGTTGTATCATCTTGTTTAGCATCCACATTACGACTACAATATGTGTTACCATCTCTAGTTCTCTCTATATAATATAATACAGGATTAGTACAGGTACCTACAAATAAATATCATCATTATTATAACCATTGCTACAAGACCTATTACCATTATCATAGCTACAATATATATCACCATTACTATAACTTCAAAATATACATCGCCATTATTTTAACTTCAATATATATCACCATTATTATAACTACGATAATCGAGATTTTTGATGAATGATATCTTAAGTTAGAGTCTGAACATGCAGCGGTTACTCTCAAACTCTCTCTCAAAATATTCACCAATCTATCTATAGTTTTTTAATCTGTATTCAACCTTTGGGGTCAAGTCTTAACCTTGACTGCAATTTCAGATCTTTCTAATGTGACATTCCAAGTCTTTACTGTGAAAACTTTTGACAAATTGGGTACTTGTGGATATCAAGAATTTTTGGGGGGAGGAGGGGGGGCAAAAAATACCCCACGTGACTGCTTCAAGGTTAAGGTACAATTGGTTGCCAAGCCCACTTTCATGATACATTTTCCGTATATCAAGGGCGGTCACCTATTTGTGTCAAATCATACCAAAAATCTAATGTGTGCAAGATATTGTTGATTTAAACAAACACACATTATTTAATAAAATCTGACATAAACTGTCACCTCTATCGCGTTAACAAGCCAATAAATTGCAACAAAAGTGCAATAACTCATATTCCTTTGATCGAAAAATCGTCTAATTCAATCTTGGCTAAGATCATGTCAAATTTCCTTTAAATCGGATGAAAACTGAAATCTCTATTGTGTTCACAAACAAATTTTGACGCGCTTTTCATAAATCAAGGTCAATAACTCAAAAAAATTCATTGAAAGATCGTCAAATTCGAACTTGTCTAAGATCTTATCATTATAAATGATCACACGAAATTTCATTTAAATCAGATGAAAATTGTGGTCTCTATTGTGTTCACAAACAAAGGGCAATAACTCAAAGATAGCTTGTCAGGCAAGGTAACATACGCCCACTACAAGCTGTCAGAAATGATGAAGTCTTTAGTGGCTTTAATAAGGATGTTTTAAATAATCTAAAAAAAAAATTTTTAAAACAAATTTATAACCTCAAGAACAGTTCATCATATTGTCATCAAATTTGGTGAGCTTTTACTAAGTTAAGAGCAACAATTTCGAAACCTTTCATCCGAATAATACAAATTTCAAACTAAACTGAAATTTCTTCAATATATACATTGAAAATTCATCAAGATTAGATAAAAACTGTCTCTTGTGCCTAAAAGACAAATTTGACGACTTTTTACAAAGTCAAGAGCAATAACTCTGAAACCATTCATCCAAATAATACCAATTTCGAACTTGACCGAGATCTCATCAATATATACATGCATACCAAGTTTTATAAAGATCAGATAAAAACTGTAGCTTCTATTGTGCCTACAAGCCAAATTTGACAAGTTTTTACCAAGTCAAGAGAAATAACTCTAAAACAGTTCAATCAATTTCGAACTTGACCGAGATCTCATCAATATAGACATGCATACCAAGTTACATCAAGATGGTATAAAAACTGTAGTCTAACATTATGCGAGTAAACAGAGCTTAGAATATTATTTATAATTATAATTACCTCTATTGAGATAATAACAATGTAGACTATGAGCATGATGTGTATGAGAAACAGTTTTGCTTGCTGCAGCCAAAGCCTGTCCCACTAATTGACCCCCATAGATACCCTGCATGGTTGGTGGATGCCATAACTTGGACTTTGTTCTGTAAAGAAAAACAATATAATGACAAAATAAAATATAAATTTATGTAAAAGGGCCCTTCTGCATTTTTTAGGTCTCAATTTTTTTGAATGGTACTGTATTATTGTCATCAGATTGTTGGAGCTCAAAATTAATTGTGAAGACAACTCAAGTTAAAATGTTATTGATTTAGTTAATCAGATTCAGTATGCACTATGATGAATTCGTTAAAGATAATGACATGAGTATTTTATTTTAACATTAATTGGGGTAGGCCTAGACTAGTTCAAAACATCTGCCTCTGCCTCTATTCCAGCTCCAGTCTCTAATAGCCTAGCTATTTTCAAAGTATGCAGTAAGCTGTTGCCTGGAGTAGACCTATAATTCGAAGAAAAGATTTCAACTGTCAAAATAATGTCAAAAAAGGAAGCAAAGCATATTGAGAGCTGCAAGCTTCCAAAGGGCAAAGGGATTTTCTCTTAATACTAGATAATAGTCAATAGAGTGTTGTGCTCAACCTGAATATATTGGTATCAATCTTTTCTAAATTTAGGAATGATTTCTCAAGAACTCTTTGCAAGTCTAAGTCACCAAATGTTGTCACCATTTTTCTACACTTTAAGTAATCTAGTTCTAATGAAGGTCAGGAACTGTTTGAATCAATAATGCATAATTCAGTCAAATTTAGTAATTTAACGACAGGTGTTAGTTGCTATTAGCTTGATAAACTTTGACCTGATTAAAGGGAGACACCTATCAATTGTATTCAGACTACAGCTAATTTAGTGAGATTCTCTCCATCTTTCTTTCTTTCAAGTCTCCTTTCCCGCTTGCTTGACACATTAGCCTGGTTACGTGCCTGTTTACACCTGGTTCAAAATAGGACTTCAACACAAACATTACACATAGATTAAAAATCACACCTAAATTTACAAAACTTCTTCAAACACATTACACCTAGATTAACAAACTTCTACACACACAATACACCTGGTTCAATATAAATCCTACTAACACGTACATAACACATATGAATATAGAATACTTCTACATACACACATTACACATGGTTTTATAGAACTCCTACACACACATTACACATAGATTAACAATTTTTTACATGCACATCACACCTAATTTAACAAACTTCTACACTCACATTACACCCAGATAAACAAACTTTTAACACACACATTACATGTGGTTTAATATAACTTCTAAACACCCATTACACCTTGTTTAATATACTTTCTACACACACACATTACACATGGTTGAATATAACTTCTACACACATACATAAATTACACATGCTTTAATATAACTCCTAAACACACATTACACATGCTTTAATATAACTCCTAAACACACATTACACATGGTTTTATTGAACTTCAACACACAAATTACACATAGATTAGCAATTTCTTACATACACATCACACCTTAATTAACAAAACTCCTACACACACACACTACACCTGGATTAACAAACTTCTATACACACACAATTACACCCGGTTTTAAAAAACTTCTACACACACATTGCACCTGGATTAACAAACTTCTATACACACACAATTACACACAGTTTTAAAAAACTTCTACACACACATTGCACATGGTTTAATATAACTCTATACACTCATTACATCTGGTTGAATATAATTTCTACACACACACATTACACATGGTTTAATATAACTTCTACATACACATTACACTTGGATTAACATAACTCCAGTTAATCAAATCTTCTTGACCCACATTCACAAGCACACACCAACTAAAATTCTGTATACCTTTGTACCAGGATTAACATTAGGCCCACTGTATGCAACAAAAGGGATAAATTTATTCATTTTCTTTTGTAACTATTATTTTTATTACAAATCAATTAAGGTATATATGGTAAAATTAGCAATTAATAACATGAATAGTTCTTATCATAGGTTAGATTTTAAAGTTCGGATAACTCCTTCTTGAGTTGCATTTATAACTAAACTACCATCTTCTGACCAAACTCTGCAACAGATGAATCCACGACCTTCACCTAAGAAAAAATATAATAATAGCGTGCTTAAAAAAGTAATGAACAGATATGGCAGTTTAAACTTTTAGAAAACAATCTTTTTATTATTTATCAATATCATAATTGTTAGTTGGTGGAACTGGGCTGATAATAATCATCAATATTACAAATATTACAAGAAACCTAATGAAACTAACCTGTTACAGGACTCTCTATTTCAAATAATAACCAATCATTAACATTTATTGGTTTATGAAACCACATTGAATGATCTAATGTTGTCATGAAAAATTTGTGTTTCCCTAAATGAAAACCTGGTCTGCTGGCAGCATTTAGCATTAACATATCACTCACATATGCAGCTACAACTTTATGGCATAACTGTTTATTACCTGCAAAAAAAATATCTATTTATATAAGCTAATCTAATAACAACACAGGTTTGATTAGTAAAATGTTGATTAACACACTCAAAATTCTTCCTTTCTTCCAAGGATTGTCAACTTATAGATCTTAATAGTTTATGGTTTGCATTCTGATTATTAAATATGGTACACTAACCAATGGGTTCCTTTAGTCTACACCAAACAGTATTTTGAGGTGAATACTTTCTTTCTGTGGAATAACAATCTTGATCAATTGGTTTAAATGCAAATAAACTTTTGGCATCTGACTGTTTTAGATATTGCAAATGACTGATAATATTTTCACCAGAAGAATGTTGTCTACAATTAAGTTTAAAAAGTATAGCATCACAGTATGAAATAATTCAGATGATTTGTATTTAAATCGTTTGAAAATCTATGTCATAAATGTATTTAAGGAGACATAATTATTGTCGCAACCACATTGATCTGTTAATGCATGGCCCCTTGATATATCCTCCAGAATCTATAGTTTTTAACCGGTTTTTATAAAATTTGGTATATTATGTACGTTTAAAGCTAAAACTAACATCAAGTCCAAAATATAACCTCTAATATATTAACTTCTGTAATCTTGCAAAATAAAATTGCTATAAAATCTACAGTTTTAAGCGCATTTCGAATAAATTTGGTGCAGTTCAATTTTTGATCCTTTCACAGAATGATTACCCCCCTGAACAACTGATAACTGATTTTCAGAAAACTTGGTATATAGGCAAAGTTGGCCTTTTTGCTACTTGGACATGTTCCACTATAATACCTACCATATAATAACCACTATAATTTTCTGTTGACTTACTTTAGATCTAACAGCTCATTGAGAATCTCTGACTTGTTTTTTAGTTCATGGGGTTTTGGAACATTTGGCATTTTAACTTGAAACTGAAATGGATCTTTTTCTGCTTTTTTAAATGAACACTGCATGGTAAAAATATTTTGTCCATTTTGAATAGCTTTTACACCACGACTACAGTAAGTGTTTCCTCCTCTCGTAGATTCTACTTTATATATAATTGGCTGATCTTTACCTAAAAAGTGAATATGAAAGTGGACAATGCTGAACAATCAATTGGATTGAAAAATACTAGCATTTATTAAGATATGAAAATGCATTTCAACGAATGTAAAAACACATATTTACTCTAACTAGGAAAGATGATGCACCGTTTTTTATACGCCCACATGAAATGGTGGGCGTATATTGTTGTCACCCATGTCCGTCCGTCCACAATTGCTCATAAACACTCTAGAGGACTGATTTTCACGAAACTTGGTATGATTGTTTTTATCACCCCAGAAGGATGAATATTAAGAATGAGTTACTGCCCTTGTTCTTGAAATGCTCGTAAACACTATAGAAGGTTCAATTATTGACAGATTTTTACAAAACTGGATGAACCCTATCGAAAATCAAAAAAAATATTTAGTATTACTTATTGCCCTTGTTCTTGAAAACGTGTTCAATTTTTAGCTCTTAAACGCATTAGAAGGTTGAACTAATGACAGATTTTGATGAAACTTGGTGTGAGTGTTTGTAATCACCCAAGGATGAACCCTAACGAAAGTCAGAAAAATCAAAAAATTTTAGTTCAAGTTATTGCCCTTGTTCTTGAAAACATGTTCAATTTTTAGCCTGCAAACACTCTCGAAGGCACAATGTTTGATGGATTTTGAGTGTTTGTTGTGAAGCCTAAAAAAATCAGAAGAGTCGAATAGTATTTAGTTTGAGTTATTGCCCTCATTCTTAAAACACTCTAGAAGGCCCAATTCTTGCCAAAATTTGTCTAAAATTGGTAATATTATACAGTATCGCCGAAATATTACCTTGCCTGGCAAGTTATCTTTTTAACAATCATATCTTAGTCTCAGAAACGGTAAATTTTAAGCCAAGCCAATTAGTAAGAGTGTTCACAGCATCACCCTTTAAAACTTACAAAGGTTACTAAGTCTTATACCTACCAGCATTTAGGAAATAACAATGTAAACTATGAAGATGGTAATCTGTGGAAACTGTTTCTATTGCAGCCAATAAACCTAATGCTATTACTTGTCCACCAAATATTGTTCTACCACCAGTATTCATAACCTGATATGTGCTCCTAAATACAGAATATAAATAATTAATTCATTAAAACGAAGTAAGTTATTCGATTAAACGAAATAATCATTTCATTTAAACGAAATATATGATATTATTTCGTTCAGACGAATTATAAGACTATTGCTCAGTAGGCTATAAAAATTATTCTGTCATACATACTACATAGCCTAACATACGCCTATCTTCATGATCTCTCCGTTAGGCCTACTCTCTATAACTATTTCAAAAAGATAGGACCAGAAACAAATATCTGAGGCTCTGCTCTAGTTCTACACTAGCCACTCCAAAACACCCAGCTGCCAGGATCTATCAATAATATTATCAAGACACAGTAAAGTACCCTCCCACCATCCACAGACAAATCCACATCATTCATAATTCAAACCGGGTCTTTATCAAATTACCTGTATAATCCATTTCCTATCTTTTCAAGATTTAAAACCTGGTCAAGTTTTTCATTTCCCATTGGTGATAGTACTGCAGTTTCAGGTAAGTGTAGTGAATTTCCTGACATGATTCTCTTTTATCCAATATGAGGTAACCCTGACTCCTTTTATATAACAAAATTATTCAATTATTAAGTACGTACGAGTGAGGCAGGGAGATAACTGATGGAACTCTTCAATAGAAACAAACAGAGATCTAAAAGTATAACAAAATGGCGGTGGTTGTAGAAGAAATATTAGCTAAACTTTTACAACCGAATAACGAAGTAATCCAAGAGGTATACATTTACCGTCAATGTCAAGAAGGGCAGCGAGTGGAACCCATATTTCCATGTATCAGTTCTTTGTTTCTTGCACTTGTGAATTCGTTACGAGTAAATAAAACTCAAGAGACGGAGATGACTCAAGAAACCGAAACAAGCACGTGCTTTTCTTAATCACTTATTGATATTTCATTAAACTCTTCACACTAAATCGAATAGACCCATATAAGCGTGTTTTTATACCCAAAATGACTTAATATTTATTTAATTCAACAGAATTTTCTGCAAATATTAATATTGATAGTTGTTAACTTCAGTAGAGTCAGAAAAACTAGGCCCTGTTTTATTGGAGTATCCGATGATGCGTTTTTATTCATATTCATTAAATTACCTTTACGATGAATAGAATAATGATTGGCATCACCTTAACTTTCATTCTATTAGTATCACATAAGCCTTGAATTTTTTGATTACACACACATTCTTAATAAATGGCCAACAAGAGATTACAAAAACATCAATCTTCCCAAATATATAGGCTATGGATCCGATTTAAATGATTATGTTTAAAACCATTGCACCTTCATACATGTATAAAATCCCAACAAAAGAGGACCAAGTTTTTCTGTCTTTTCTAAGTCTATCCAAAAATTGAGTGAAACATGATTGGTCTCTCAAAAGACTCAATTTTTTGTCATACTAGTAGGCCTAGTAGTAAATGACACCTTCAAGCTACCAATGTTGCAATGTGGATAGACCTCTTTTGCTGTATTCAGAAATTTATATCTTATGTATTTCAGGCAACAAAACAATTAAAAGAAGCATTTAAAGATCCTGGCATTTTATCAGCGCTATGTCACATTTTAGGCTCCTCAACAAATTCTCAGGTTGACCAAAATTTTTTTTAGTTCAAATTAAACAATTTTTATACTGGTCACCATTATCATCATTAAAAATGTATGTGTTGATGAGATTTTTAGATGAATATATGAAATTTATTAAGTGTCAAGTATTGTATCAATAGAAGCTTGTAATTTTTGAGGGTTCACGATCTCACAATGAAATCATTAATTTGTTACAATAGAACCATGAAAATGAAGGTCTGTGAATTCATTAAGGTCATTAACTCATAAAGTGTGAATGAAATGAATAGAGTTTTACGTCCTACTTTTCTGCACTATGTGCAATTTTGCCAAGCAGCAGTATCCTGTAGCACATGGGGCCGCGGTGTATTGTCCCATCCAAACGACTAGATGCCTCTCCCATGTCAGCCCCTCTTACTGCATCACTGACTGTTGGAAAAAATCTGAAGATATTGTCTTGACCCGTGCCGGGATTGAACCCTGGACCTAGGGATGTTAGCGAGTAAGTGTCAAACTCATGGAGCCATCAGGGCTCCCTCATTAAAGTGTAAGCATTACTATATTGGTACATATCTTGTCTAACGTAATAAAGTTGTGTATCAACTGGAATATTGTATTTTATGGTTTTTATTTATGAAGATTCGCCAGTACTCTGCTGTTTTAATTCGGAGGAAAATACAGAAGTCAAGACATTGGAATGCCTTACCAAATGAAACAAAGGAAAGTATACGTAGAAATATTTTACAACTTCTAGTACAGGAGCCAGAGTAAGCATTTACTTTTATCAAATACAATACAATTAGAACTTTAAAACCTTGCATTGTTACATGAAATTTGTTTGAATACCAAATCTGAATACCAAACCTTTAAATTGAGCCTTCAGTTCCTAAACTACAATGTAACATTTTATTTCGATGTATGCTGCTTGAGACTGTTATCATTTAGTTTCTGATTGGCATTTTGACTCTTTCTTTTTAGCAAGAATGTTAAGACTGCCATAGGAACTATAATTGGTACAATTGCTAGACATGATTTACCTACAAATAAATGGCCTGCATTATTTGAATTTGTTACTGTCCAAGTTAAGAGTGAAGATGTTACAAAGAGAGAGGTAAAAATAATATCTTATTTTCTTATGAATATATTGGTTCTTGGAAAATAAACAGGCAAACTTCAAAGCTTTGAAATTAACAAGGGACCATTGACAACAGCCTCTTCTGTTGTAAACTTGTTGATGTTTTCATTTTTTTCTTAAAATTAATCCCTCTGAGCAAATTGTTTCTTCTAATTCTAGGTTGGAATGTTTATATTATATACATTATCATCTGATGCTGGCGAACAGCTTAAACCTCATTTGGTATCTGTCATGCAAATTTTAGTGGAGGCAATCAAAGACAATCAAAGCAAAATGGTTCCTTATTATGCCATTAGGTATTAATTTCATCTTTTTAATAATGTTCATTATTAATGTTTAGGATTTGTATATAGACTTTAAAGGGATATATGCCATTTTTTTGACCAAACATACCTTAGTCTCAGAAACATGAATTTTTTAGCTGATACAATCAGTAATAGTGTTTGAGCCTTCAAATCCATGCGTGTCCAGAATTATCTGCATTTTAAAGTTAGAAAGACAAGTCCTTTGTTCTTGAGACACTGCCACATTCCTAGTTAAATTTGTTAAGGTATTATGCAATTTTCGTACATTTCTTGTACTTCTGAAGACTATTTACGCATATTCAAGACTCAAGTCTCCCTGCCAAAACGGTGCACCTGTCCTTTTAACAAATTTCGATATGAACAACTTTGCAGGCACTTGGCTTTCTACATCTGAACAAAAAGTTTCTTACTTTAAGTTATTGTGTAGGATTTACATCTTAGTGGGTTGACTGCCAATACTAATTTTATTTTTCAAGTTGAGGATTCAAATAAGAAAATGCTAACATTTGTGTACAAAAGCTTACAAAGTCGTTAAATATTTTATGTTTATAGAACTATGAGTGAACTGGTGTTTTTAGTTGGAATGGAGGAGAGTGTAAGTATTTTTGTATTTTTTCATTGACTGTAGTGTGTAGTGTATTCTTTATCAAGCATTATTATTACATTGTTTCATGTTTTAAAATTTCTACACAAAGTATGGGGACACATACTTTCTTTCCATATGTAAACGATAAACTTGTACGGTATATTTGATTTTTGGTTGATTGAGTTTTGAGTCATTATCTTATTTGGTTTATGAACATTTATAAACGTTTTAATTGAATTTTGATATTCTATAATTGATTTTCATGACTCTCCCTTTTTAGCTATTGACCACACTGTGTCAAGAACGATGGTAGATTTGTTTTTTTATTGATTTTGACCAAATTCATTTTAGTTAAGCCAATTCTTTTGTCAATCATTTATTTATTTTTCCAGCTGCAATTTGTAAAGGTATGCTGTACACAAACAGTTGCTAATTCTTGTTGTATCTTTGTGTTAATTCAATTTTTGATTAATTTAATGTTAATTTTGTATGATTTTTTTTCTGACATGTTTATTTTGTTTCGAATTTTTTCAGCTCAAATATCATTCACATAATTAACAATGATGATAATTTTTCTGCAGATCTTTTGATAAACATTATTTAGATTGTATTATTTTAACCATTTAGAAATATATCCAGCAGAATATACCACAGATATTATTAGTTATACAAGAATTGATTAAAGTTGATGAGGTATTTTTATTATCATCAAATAATGAATATTTCTCCTTCTAGATTTTTAAATGCCCATATTTGCCTGAGGTTGAGTTGTACTTGATAGCCTTAGAATTGTTTAGTTAAGAGGCGTAGGAAAATCAAACCTTTTTGTACATGAAAGTTTTGTTTTGATATGAATTCCCATGTTTATAACCATTTGTCCTTTAAACTATGGAATGATCCAACTATCATGACCTTTCTGTGCTGGTGGTTTTTTTATTTACAAACTGTTATTTGCGTTCTGTATCATCTCATACCATGTTTTTTCCCCTATATTTTAAAGATTCATATATCACTTACATATATGATATTATTGTAGGAAGAAGCATGTGAATGTATGGAATTATTTGATGAATTGTTGGAATCTGAAGTGGGTGTCTTAGTACCACATGTTAAAACTGTAGTGGACTTCTGTTTACAGGTAGAGTACTAGTCCATTTGGTAAATAGACTACTTATACTCAACCAGGGCCTTTTAGCATCAAGTTAAGCAGTTTTGCTTTAACAAAGGCATCATTTTTATACGCCCACATGAAATGGGAGGCGTATATTAACGTCAGCCATGTCCGTCCGTCCGTCCGTCCGTCCACAATTGCTCGTAAACACTCTACATGACACAATTCTTGACGGATTTTGACAAAACATGGTATGAGTGTTCGTAATCACCCAACGATGAACCCTATTGAAATTCAGAAGAATCGAAAAATATTTAGTATGAGTTATTGCCCCTGTTCTTGAAAACGCGTTCAATTTTTAGCTCGTAAACACTCAAGAAGGCACAATTCATGATGGATTTTAACGAAATTTGGCATGAGTGTTTGTAATCACCCAAGGATAAACCCTATTGAAAATCAGAAGAATCGAAAAATATTTAGTATGAGTTATTGCCCTTGTTCTTGAAAACACGTTCAATTTTTAGCTCGTAAACACTCAAGAAGGCACAATTCTTGATGGATTTTGACGAAACTTGGTATGAGTGTTCGTAATCACCCAACGATGAACCCTATCGAAAATCAGAAGAATCAAAAATATTTAGTATGAGTTATTGCCCTTGTTCTTGAAAACACGTTCAATTTTTAGCGCGTAAACATTCAAGAAGGCACAATTCTTGATGGATTTTGACGAAACTTGGCATGAGTGTTTGTTATCAACCAAGGTTAAACCCTATTGAAAATCAGAAAAATCGAAAAATATTTAGTATGAGTTATTGCCCTTGTTCTTGAAAACGCGTTCAATTTTGACAAAACTTGCTTTTATTATTCAGTCCCGGGCTGAAGATTTAATGTTTGCCTTCTAAAGTTTTCATGAGCTAAAAATTGAATACGTTTTCAAGAACAAGGGCAATAACTCATACTCAATATTATTCATTATCGCCCTAAAGAGTTCAAAAGAAGTGAATGACTGAAGGTTGAATATTTCATACTGGTGATTGTTACTGTACTGCTAAATATTTTTATTCAAAATCAAAGCTGCCAGTGGGCGTAAATTACCTTGCCTGGCAAGCTATCTTACTTTATTCTAATCATAAACACATTATTATGAAAAAAAAATCTGTTAAAATGATGTTTTATTTATTTTTGTAGATAGCTGCTCAACCTACATTAGGAGATGCTATCAGAGTTAAAGCTATGTCATTTATTGCTTCACTTACAAGATTGAAGAAAAATGTGAGTTATTTTCTTTTGGACCAGTTTCAAGTTGAAGCGTAATGTTTTGCTCAATTGAAAAACAAAGAAATGGTAGTGTATTTGTTGATCCCAGTGTTCAGCTGAATGAGGGTAGGGACTGGTTATTTAGTTTCTTAACTAATATTTTACATTGTACTTAAAGTGATATGCATTTTATATTTGATTTCAGTCAATATTAAAACATAAATTAGTTGATCCTATATTAGAAGTCTTGTTTCCAATATTATGTGCTAATGAAGAAGAAGATGATGAGGAAGATGTTGAAGAAATTGAATCTCATACCCCAGTACAGTATATACCACAAGTAAATATTGATTTAAATACTCCTCTTATTCTTCTCTCATTATTATGCTGTAAAATTCCTCTTTTTCACTGATTATTACCAACATTCATTATTAACTTAGTTGTGAATAGACTTAATATGGTGTACAGTGCAGGATTATGGATACAGTAGAGAAAAATAAGAAGCAGCTGTTCTGCATCATATACCACAGAATACTTCTTCTATTCCAGCCTGAAGCAAACTTTTGAATTTAACAACCTTCATTGTTTGTACTCTATATTAATTTTTGGATGAAATTTATTGTAGGTTTTTGATACCATGTCTCTCCACTTACCACCCAAGAAGTTTATCCCTAATTTGGTAAGTGTCTGGTGGTAATTGAATTATTAAATTCATCAGATAGTTGTCATGAAGCAAATCAACTGTGATATGTGTATTTTAAACATGGATATGATTATAATTAGCAAAAGATGTTTTAAAAAATGTAAATGAAGAAAACCAATCTTGATATTGTAGATGCCCTTAATAGAGAAAGCTTTAGCTAGTGAAAATCCATACCATAGAAAAGCTGGTTATATATCTATGGCTGTGATTGTAGAAGGTTGTGCTGATTACATTATGAATAAGTAAGTTTAGATATTGTTTGATATTTTATCTACTAAATTCAGTCATTTCTTATGATAAAACATAATGAAGTATTATAAAATCTCAGATCTACTTCTGCACAAGTATTGTTGGTTTATGGAAACTCTAACATATTTCTGATTTTAGACATCTGAAAGCTGTATTACACTGTGTTTGTAAAGGTTTGAATGATCCAGATAACAATGTTAGAAATTCAGCTCTCTTTGCTCTTGGACAGTTCTCGGAGCATCTACAGGTAAATATTCAAATCAAAAAGTTCAAAATGTTATGATAGTTATGCTGTTCGGAAGGTAACTACCTCGCCAAGGCTAGAAATAAGCTTCTTTTGTTGTTGAAAAGATCGTGAATTATCAGCGATTCAGGCCGTTGATATTGCTAATAGAAGTCAAAGTTGTGTGTTCTTGAAAAATGTTGTTTCTCACGCAACGGATTGACATTTCTCACCTCAGAAAGCAAAAAGTTCAGAACAATAATAACATAGTCTAGATCATCCAGATTACTAGCACCTAGAGAAGATATGCAAGGTCTGGATGATCACATCAAAACACAAATGAATGGTGTTGACACAATTAGTCCAGTTCGTTTGTCCAATCTTTAAGTAATTTTGATTTTATAATTACTGGTACTTTATATAAATGTGAGATAATCTTGCATATGTAATCATTATGTCCAATCAGACTTTAATACTTTTATTTCAAATATTACTTATGAATTTGATACAAAGATATACACTGAGCCGAAGGAAATTGTTCAGCACCATGTTAAACAAACACCCCTGGATGTTATGATTACCTACATTTTTATGGCTCTATCATTTCCGGAGAGGCATAATGTAAAGAATATAAATAATCTCCTTTTGAATGACATAAACTATTTTCAGCTAGTTGTCAACCTGTATTGCAGTGAGAAAACGGCGAATATCAGTCCTAAATTGACGGGTTTTAAATGAAATTTTTCACTTTTGCTATGTATTGTACAAAATTTCAAATGTGCGTCACAAATTGAATTATGCCGGACAAAATGCCCAATTTCTGGTGTTATTTCAAGCCTTGTAACTCGCATATGGGTTTAAACTGAGTTTTATGATAAAGTTTCTGTCTTTTTATTTCAGCCTGATATTACTAAATATGCATCAGAATTATTACCATTATTATTTCAATATTTGGGTCAAGCTAGTCAGAATCCTGAAAGTAATCCTCGAGGTCTTACTAAGGTTTATTATGCCCTTGAAGTTTTCTGTGAAAATCTAGGTAAGTGGACAATCTATTACAATGTAAGCTTTAGATTTGATATAACTAAAACTAATTCTTTGCTGTTAATGTGTATTTTGAGGCGTTTTTGTCGGCCGATTTGATTTGGTTTTTGTTATGCGAGCACGATTTTGTGCAATTTCAATTAAATTAGCAGTGGTCTACAAATGGCAATATGGCTGCCTCTGCTGACAACAAAAGAAAGTCATCTATTTTGATTATTAGTATTATTGTTGTTGGATTTCCACATGCCGCCATCCTTAAAAAAGTCTAATCTAATTGCCTAACCACTTCATGGGACAATTAAGATGATTAGCCTAATCAGTTTCAGTAAACTTTCTCACAAATGTATTGATTAGTCTAAACTTCCTGGCTGACAAATGCACAAAATAGCTAATCTATCAAATTGAATCGGCCTGAAAAAATGCCTTGGATACAAAATTTGTACAATTATAGTGCAATATTAATCTGAAAATGTAATAATACATACAACTGTACTCCAAAGGTTTAAGAAGTGTTCAACTAAATAGAAGACACACATATCATTTCACAAAAATTTTTAAACATTCAAAAAAATAACCTGCTATAGTTTATTCACTTAATTCAGTTAATTCCATATTGTGTAACTTTTGCTCACTCTTCAAACAACAATTCTTAATGGATTCTTTTGATTTTTATATGCCCACACGTAGTACGGAAGCATATTGTTTTCTTGGCACACTTGGCGCATGTGTATGTCACCTTGCTTCTATCTATCTTTGAATTAAGATTTCATGAAGAATAGATGAATTTAATGTTTGATATCCAAACCAAAAATTGTTTTAATGATTTTGATATTTTAGAAAAGAAGATACTACCATATCTCCCTCCATTAATGGAACATTTACTAGCTGTATTGAAATGTGATCACATCAGATCTAAAGAGTTGGCCATCAGTGCAATTGGGGCAACTGGTTAGTTTCTTTTATTACTTAGTTGATACTACGTCTTAGAATGAAAAATTTTAAGGTCATGTATTCATCAGTAGATATATCTGGTGTCATAAATAACATAACAGGATCCTAATATAATCTGATAAATAAAAAAAAAACTAAATAATTATTCATTAAGATTAAGCGTTTTTCAATAATTACTTAGTTTTATGAATTTTCCAATTTTCTAGATTTTACAGGGATTCTGTTGTAACTTTATGACACCAGGTAAGCTAACTGATGAATATACTCATACTGACCATTCTTGAGAAATTAAATTTTATGTTCATTCTAAGACGTAGTATCTCTTTAACCTTGTCTAATAGTTTTATTTTCAAAAAATTAGTCTCCTTAATTGAATTTAGTTTGAATATTTCATCAGAAAGTTATAATTAATTCTTTCATATCATGTGAAATTTAGAATTTGGATTTGAATATTGTTTTTTTTTTTTTATTTGTTCAACGTTATACATGTATGTTCTTTGAAATATACAACTGCCTGATCACCTGGCAGCAGTTCATAGGAAGAAAGTCCTCTCTTGATTTTTAAAATTATGCTTTGTTCTATAGCTACTGCTGCTAAAGAAGAAATGAAACCTTACTTTAATGAGATAATTGAACAGTTAAAAAGCTATCTTGTTACTGGTAATACAGAAGATATGAAGAAATTACAGTTACAAACTATAGGTAATACAAACTGTTATTCAAATATCTGTGATTCATTCGTTCAAGTTATATTTTAGTGCATTCTTCAAACATGCTGCTTTGTATTTGGGAATATTTCGCTTTTGAAGTATGATTAAATTCCAACTCCCCCATTACGGTTTTTATTATCTAATTTGCATAAAGATATATGTAACCCTATATGTAATACTGAAATATTAACAGTTTGCTACATTGAAACCGGTGTATGTGTGAAACCTATTATATAAACCTATGAAATCCTTTTGTAGACACCCTGGGAATATTGGCTAGAAATTGTGGACCTGATATATTTTTACCTTTATCTAAAGAATGTTTACAACTTGGTATGAATTTGTTGGAGTCTGCTGAAGATCCTGATTTAAAACGATGTGTGTAAGTCTCAAAGAAATCTTTTTCTAATATGCTTTCTTTTTTTTTTCATTAAGTAGTTGATTAGGATTAGTTATAAATCTTTAATGTGTTAGAATGTTTTTTATGTTAATCATTATATTTTCTATTTTTTCAGATATAGTTTATTTGCTGCAATATCTAATTTATTAAAATCTGATATGGGAGATTATCTAGAGAAAATGGTCCATGCAATGTTATGTTCTATCAAATCTAAAGAAGGAGAAACAGTAAGTTATTAGGATTCTTTGTACAGTAAAATATGCTATTCGTTAATATCATTTAAATCCTAGAATAGTACTTAAGTATTTATTATTAAAAATGGAAAATAGGTTGAATGTTAAGCCTGAACTGGATAGAAATAGCTTATCACATCAAAAAGAAGGAATACTATGATTTGATGGACATGGTGAGAAATTGACCATAAGCCATGTTTTTTTTTTTCAGTTACATTATAAAGAAGAAAGTGATGCTATTGGAGTATTTAATGAAGATGATTTAATTGATGAAGAAGATATAGGAGATGAAGATTCTGAAGAGGATGATGATGAACATAAAATTGAAGGGTTTGTATTTATAATCTCAAATTGACTCTAGCTGATCTCATTCTGGCGATACATTTTACCAATACAAAATATTAATGAGGACATATATTTTTAATCTACCTACTTGGTATGAAGGGTTATAAGACTTAAGATCTCTGTGATCCTGAATTGTGATAATGCCATAGCTCCATTTTCATTTTGACTTGGTCAAAGTTTCGCAACCTTATGACGTAGTGGGTGAAATACTAGAAACTTGATCAATAAAAGACCATTTTGTTGCATTTAATATTCTCTTGTTTTAATGTGTTTTATTATACCAATGTAATCCTCTGAAAAGAATTATTTATTATTTTTTTAGAGTTAGTGTAGAAAATGCGTATTTAGATGAAAAAGAAGATGCTTGTTGCTCTTTGGGAGAAATTGCTATAAATGTTGGGTAAGAGATTTTTTAGTTATGAAAACTTTTTTTTTCAAATGCATTTTACTTTTCAACATAAACATTAAATGCAGCATAATTAGATGCATTTAATAACATGATTTATGCATCTTAATTTGAAAAAGGTTTCTTGCTTCTTTTTTTGAATATAGGGCACCATTTATACCATACTTAGAACCATGTTATACAGAAGTACTTGTTTTGTTAGAATATCCAGCAGAAAACATTAAAAAAGTTTCTATAGCAACCTTATCTCAATTCTGTTGTTGTGTTCATAAAGTCTGTCTTGATAGTGGCATGGATCAAACAGGTATTTACCAACTTTTTTGACATGGGCATTTTTCAATCCGTGTTTCAAAGACATGATTAATCAGATTAAAATGCAATTCTGGATGCTTTTTTTTTCATGTGTTGTACCATGGTGAAAAAAGCATGAATTGATATATTCACATGCAAAATTTAATCAGATTTAAACTTGATTATCAGTAAAGTGAAATGATTGTATAGATTGGAATTTACAGTGTTTTTAAATGCCCACATGAAAATGTGGACGTATATTGCAGTTGCCCTGTTCGTCAGTCTGTCAACATTTCTTGTGAACACAATAGGCCTAGAGCCAATAGTTTTTATCTGATATTAATAAAACTTGATGTGATAATGTATATTGATGAGATCTTGGTCAAGTTCGAACATGATGATTTAAATAACGGTTTTAATACGCCCATATTATAATGTTGTTGTATATTGTCATCGCCCGTATGCGTCTGTCGGTCTGTCCACTATTGGCTTGTGAACAGTTTTTGAGTTATTGCCCTTGACTTATGAAAACGCGTATCAACAATATCTTGCACAAATTAGGTTTTTGATATGATTTGACACGGTTAGGTGACCGCCCTTGATATACTGAATATGTATCAGGAAAGAGGGCGTATCTTGCTAGGCAACCACTTGTTGAGTAGACTTATGAAAAGCTAGTCAAAATTTGTTACACAATAGAAACTACAGTTTTCATCGGATTTAAATGAAATATAGTGTGATCATTTATAATGATGAGAACTTCGACAAGTTGGAATTTGATGATTTTCGATGCACATTCTTTTGAGCTATTGCCCTTGACTCTGGAAAAATCCTGTCAAAATTTGTTTGTGAACACAATAGAAACTAGTTTTCATCCAATTTAAAATTTTTAAGTTTTTTATCAACTGATTTTGAGTTATTGCCCTTGACTTAGTAAAAACGCATCAAAATTTGTTGGCTTGTGAATGCGATACAGTTTATTCAAAATTTTATTGAATAATGTGTGTTTGTTTAAATCAAGAATATCTTGCACAAATTAGATTTTGGTATGATTTGACACAAATAGGTGACCGCCCTTGATATACTGAAAATGTATCAGGAAAGTGGGCGTATCTTGCTAGGCAATCACTTATGAGTTATTGCCCTTGAACAAAACTCGTCAAAATTTGTTCATAAGCCTAATAGAGACTACAGTTGTCATGTGATTTAAATGGAAATTGGTGTAATCATATTTATTTATGAGATCTTGAACAGGTTCAAATTTGAAGATTTTACGATGAACTGTTTTTGAGTAAATAGTGATTACAGTTTTTATACGCCCACATGAATATGTGGTCGTATATTGTCGTCGCCCCTGTCCGTAGTTCCGTCCGTCAACATTTCTTGTGAGCACTATAGAGACTACAGTTTTTATCTGATTTTGATAAAACTTGGTGTGATGCTTAAGATTGATAACGGTTTTTATACGCCCACACGTAAGATGGGCGTATATTGTAATCGGTCCGTCGGTCCGTCCGTTCACATTTGGCTCGTGCTCACTCTACAGGCTACAGTTCTTTATGGATTCTTTTGATTTTTATTTTGTGTGTCAATGTCATTATGAAGATGATCCCTATTGATTTTCGTGATGATCGGATAATTTTTCACCGAAATATCGTGTCTGACTTGACGTTTTTCTCTATTAGCTATATTGTGCAAATCGTGCTCACTCTACAGGCTACAATTTTTTACAGATTCTTTTGATTTTTATTTTGTGTGTCAATGTCATTATGAAGATGATCCCTATTGATTTTCGTGATGATAGGATTTTTCACCGAAATATGGTGTCTGACTTGACGTTTCACTCTATTAGCTATATTGTGCAACCCTGTAGTCACTAAAGACTGTTTAATCATTTCTGACAGCTGCCAGTGGGCGTATGTTACCTTGCCTGGCAAGCTATCTTTGAGATATTGCCCTTGACTTAGAAAGCTTTGAAATTTGTTAAAAATTGTTCGTGAGCAGGATTGAAGCTACAGTTTTCATCCGATTCTGATGAAACTTGGTGTGATCATTGGAATTCATAAGATCTCGGACAAGTTCTAACTTGACGCATTTTCTATGAACGGTTTTTGAGTTATTGCCCTTGACTTTGTTAAAATGCGTCAAAATTTGTTAAAAATAGTTCGTGAGCAGGATTGAAGCTACAGTTTTCAACGGATTCTGATGAAACTTGGTGTGATCATTGGAATTGATAAGATCTCGGACAAGTTCTAACTTGACGCATTTTCGATGAACGGTTTTTGAGTTATTGCCCTTGACTTTGTTAAAACGCTTCGAAATTTGTTAAAAATAGTTCGTGAGCAGGATTGAAGCTACAGTTTTCATCCGATTCTGATGAAACTTGGTGTGATCATTGGAATTCATAAGATCTCGGACAAGTTCTAACTTGACGCATTTTCGATGAACGGTTTTTGAGTTATTGCCCTTGACTTTGTTAAAACGCGTCAAAATTTGTTAAAAATAGTTCGTGAGCAGGATTGAAGCTACAGTTTTCAACGGATTCTGATGAAACTTGGTGTGATCATTGGAATTGATAAGATCTCGGACAAGATCTAACTTGACGCATTTTCGATGAACGGTTTTTGAGTTATTGCCCTTGACTTTGTTAAAACGCGTCGAAATTTGTTAAAAATAGTTCGTGAGCAGGATTGAAGCTACAGTTTTCAACCGATTCTGATGAAACTTGGTGTGATCATTGGAATTGATAAGATCTCGGACAAGTTCTAACAAGAGATATTTTTGATGAACATTTTTTGAGTTATTGCCCTTGACTTTGTAAACATGTGTCAAAAGTTGTTTTTTGCCCTTGATTAGAGCTGTGTGATTTAATTGTTTGTTGTATTTGGGTTATTGATATTGATTTTAAAAAAATTTGTGGAATTATTCAGCATAAATAACTTCTTCAATATGAGAAAATTCGTACTTTAGTCACTAAAGACTCTTTTATTATTTCTGACAGATGCCAGTGGGTGTATGTTACCTTGCAACGCAAGCTATCTTGTCTGATTTTAATGAAATTTCATGTGATCTTATATATTGATGATATCTTGGTCTAGTTCAAATTTGATGATTTTTCGATGAACATTTTTTGAGTTATTGCCCTATTGTCTTCATCCAATTATGATGAAATTTGGTGTGATCATTTAAATTGATAAGAATTTAGTGAAGTTCCAATACACTGATTTTGCGATGAAGGGCTTTTGGGTTATTGCTATTGATTTAAAAAAAAAGAATTGGAATAAATATAATAAATAACTATTATATATTATGAAGATCTTTAAAATAAGTTGGTGTGAAGATTTATATTGATGAATGAAATGAATGGAGGTTTACATTCCTATTTATTTATATTAATAAGATCTTGGTCAAGTTTGAATTTTCATAATTTTTCACTTAGCAATTTTGAGTTATTGCTCTTGACATCAGAACAGTGTGATTTAATAATTTGGGTTATTGATGTTCTTAAGCTTTCTCTCACTTCAGGTTAGTTACATGTATCTTTGCCTTGGAAAGGAATCCGAGCAAAGCAATAAGGACCTTAGGTGATACGGATTTTTAAGCCTAATAAGCATTATGAAATTAGAAAGTTGATTATCGTTTCCGACAGTTGCCAGTGGGCATATGTTACCTTGCCTGGCAATCTAACTTTAGAAACTTAACAGTATAATTCTTTTTTTGTAGCATTAAAGAATATGTTAAATACTATTATACCAATGTATCTGGAGATCATTAAAACAGATAAAGAAAGAACTGTTGTCATGTCTGCTGTAGATTCATTAGCTGAAATATTGACTAAAATAGGACGACCTGCATTAGAAATAACTGGTGCTACCAATCCTATCTTGTCAGCAATGAAGGCAATATTTACGCATAAGGTTTGTTATTGTAGAATATTTCCAGGTCAGTGAAACCTGGTTAAGCTTTCTCTCATTTCAGATTAATTATTTCTATCTCTGCCTTGGAAAAGAATCCAAGCAAAGCAATAAGGACCCTAGGTGATACTGATTTGTAAGCCTAATAATTCTAGATTTTTGTTTACATTCAATGTTTCAGTGTGTTGTTACAGATTATTGTGTCATTTGTAAAACAATTTGGAGGTATTTAAAAATTTTGCAAGCCATATATCATCTACTTATATCGCAAAGTGTTGTGTAAACAGGTTGCTTGTCAAGATGATGAAGATGAAGATGATGATCAACAAGCAGAGTTTGATGCCATGTTGATAGAATCTGCTGGTGATGTATTGCCCACAATGGCTAAACTTGTTGGTGGACCTGATTTCTTACCTTTCTTTCAAAGTTTCCTTACAGATTTACTTAAACGTCTGGTAGGTTTTTTATTTGAATTTTCTCTTTAAGGTAAAATGCAAAGGAATTAAAGATGGTGACAAATTATCTGTACATTGTGGCTAGATGTATGAATTATAATATACAAGCAGTCAAATTTAATTGATTGTTTTAGTGGTTTCTAATTAAATCGTACAATTGTTCATTAAAAGAATACTACCTCTTAGGATGGACATAAAACTCTCAAACTTGGTCAATAAGAGTATATATTCAGTTGGACGGGCCAGGTGACTAAAAAGTAGAATCTCTGTATAAAGTACCTAAGTAATTATTGAAAAACGCCTCTTAGTAAAATTTCAATTTTGGTCATACTAAGAGGTGGTATACTTTTTGAAAATACGGGTTTTCTTATCCTGTTTATTTTTCAATGACAAGTTTGTGTTATTTTTATAGAAAGTGACAAGTTCTGTTCCAGAGAAGTCGTTTGCTGTAGGAACATTAGCAGAAGTTATACAGGCATGTGGTGATGTGTCTGCAGCATTTGTTGATACATTATATCCATTGTTTATGAGATTAATTAATGATGAAGATGAAGAAGTAAGAAGTAACGCTGTATTTGCTATTGGTGTCTTAGCTCAATACGGTGGACAGAAACTACATGGGTGGGTATTTATGTTTAATAGATTTACATGTCACAGCTATAATAATATTGATTTGTTCTTAGTAGATCTATAGATGATCACACCACCAGCCTATTAAAGACAAAAGACAAATTGAGATCATTAATGTCATAATAAACGTTTAAGTTGAAAGCTCTTTACAATGTGGATATTTACTTTGATGACATCGCATAAGGTATAACAGCCTTTGTTTGGGAACTTGATTTTACATCCAGAGTAATTTATTTAGGACAACGGATTTTATTTCAGAAATTTTCCTGTGATATTAAAATCTCTATTTGATATTGTGAGTAAGGAGGAAGAAGAAAATCCACGTGTGTTAGATAATGTCTGTGCTGCCATCTGTAGATTAATTATGACCAATAGTAGTGCTATTCCATTTGATAAGGTAGTTTTAAATGTGGACAAAATTACGATAAAAAAAACCCAATGAAATTCAATTTCAACGAGAAATTTTATTTTTGTAAAACTTTAATAGTCTAGATTTTGAAAAATATAAAATATATTTCATACATTTTATTTGTAGTATTAAGAGTAGTGAAGATATAAGTGATGTTATTGTGTTTTTTATTTGTTTTTTACAGGTTATTCCTGCTATAGTTAGTTTTCTACCATTAAAAGAAGATTATGAAGAAAATCATACAGTATATCATTGTTTAATCGAGTTATTTATTGCTGGCAATCCCCATGTATTACAATGTACTCCACAATTATTAAGTTCTATAGCTTCTGTTATTGATACAGATCAAGTTAAACCCGGTTAGTTAGCTTAAGATTTTTTCAAATTTATTTTGGAAATCAAATACAAATCTGCAAATGGTGGAAACTTCCATCAAAGTATCAAAATTTATCTTTCATTATGTTTTGTTATTAAAATAATCTATCCACATATGCTTGTAAACACACTACAATACACAATTATTGACAGATTTTATCGAAAATTGGTATGAGTGTTTGTAATCATCTTAGAATGAACTCTATTGAAAATCAGAAAAATTGAAAAAAATTTAGTATGAGTTATTGCCTTGTTCTTGAAAACGCGTTCAATTTTTAGCTTCTTGAATCCATGATGGAGTTTGATGAAACTTGGTGTGAATATATAGAAATATATTCATAGAATGAGTTATAGCCCTTGTTCAATTTTAGCTTGTACACACTCTAGAAGGCACAATTCTTGACAGATTTTTATGAAACTTTGTGTGAGTGTTTGTAATTGCTATTGGAAATAAGAAAATTAAAAAAAAATTGATATGAGTTATTGCCCTTGTTTAAAAAAAAAACGTGAAATCTTTAGCAAGTAAACACTCTAGAAAGCATTATTCGTGACAGATTTTGGCAAAACTTAATTTCTGTTATCACCAAAGTATGAACCCTATTGAAAATCAGAAAAATCGAAAAATATTAAGTATAAGTTATTGCCGGATTTTGACAAACATTTGTAATATTGTTCAGTTTAAAAAGAAGTACATGACAGAAGGTTGTATATTTCATACTGATGCTTGTTACTGTACTGCCAAATATTTCTATTTAAAATCAAAGCTTTCATTCTTTTATTAATTCTTGTTTCAGAAACTCAAATTATATTGGTCCAGTTTGCAAAACATATTAATGACAAGTTCCCTGATGAGTTCCAGAAAGTTAAAGCAACACTACCAAATGATTTGGGTGGTAAATTAGATTCATGTTTATTGATGGTAAATGGTGGAGGACACTAAATAGAGCTGGTCAGATAAGGGATTTCTTTTAACATGTTATGCATTGTCAATATTAAGATTATTTGATGAGGGAAGAAATTTTTTTAAAAAACAAAAATGATTCTAATCAGGATATGTGATTGAAGAAAGTGTTGCTTTTGACAAATCTGGATAATAACAAATGATAAAAATCTTAAGACGTGTTATACTGCTTATTTAAAGTTTTTACATGTTTAAAATAGTGTAATCTTAGGGGCTTTTTGCTTTTAAATTGTGCTCTAATGCTTTTCATTTATCATGTGAGATAAGATGAAAGTCAACTAAATATTTTATTCATACCCACAAAATAAAGCTGAATTTGGAGTGAAGCACATTTGATGCGATAATAATTGATAAATGCTAAATCAGTATATCTGTTCGGATGGTGACTTAGATTTACATAATATTCCAGGGGTTTTCTTGATATGAGCAAAAACATTTCAACACTTGATGATTGATTGATTGAAATTAGTAAATGGTTGCACTCTCTTTATATGCAAAATTTTAAATACTAATTTTGATAGAATCTTTGTTATTTGCATTTTACAATTGTTTCTAGTTTTATTTATTTTTTCATGTTTTATTAAGGTGTTTTATTAGTTAAACTTACTGTTAGATATTTTCATCATATTGAATTTTTGTATAGCTAAATCTAGTCTTAATAGTCACATGTGGGTCAGATATATTTATCACACAACAGTTCTGTTCTCAAATTTATAACACGTGTTAATAAAAACGATATTATGAACTAGTAGCACAGTTTAATAATCATGCAAATTAGGTCATCTATTCATGCGCCGTGTAAACAAGCAACATGTCATCCTGTGAAGTTGTCAAAGTAGAAGGTCAAGGGCTTGAAATTGCTCCAAATAACATAACTTTAACTACAAGTTTCAATGTCGTGATCACATGAACATGCTTATTAAGATATTTTTTGTTGCACACAAAGACATTTTGTTCAAAATGAAGGCCCTGCATAGAAAAAGTGCAAAGAATTTAAGGAAGATATCATTTATTGATAGTTGTGTGATAAATAGAATCTTTCATTTGTGTTTATGTCATACGAAATTTATGAAATTCATTGCAACTGTTTTCATAAATTTCATGTGCCATAAGCACTTGTTTAAGATCCTCTACATCAGAAACATATATGTGTAATAAATTGATATGATTAAGTTTTCTAACTGAAAAGTGGTGATACATGCTTTATCCTTTATTTGTTATATCCAAGGATAGAAAACATGCAAAGTTTAGTGTTAGTGTTAGTTTCAAATTAAATGCACTATGATTCATATAAATCGTCCATCAAAGGTCTCCTAAAGTCAATAATAATTTCCTTTTGATATTCCTGCAGATAACATAGAAATGATAGCTTAAGATTTTGAGCTATGAATATGAAATAACCTTTTTTCCCCATAAATTTGAATAATACCAACTTCAGATCTATCAGGGAATTAGTCATTTGATGAAAAATAGATGAACTGAATTAATTACTCACAGATTAAGATAGCCTTCTTTTTTGTAAAAACGTATTGAACTTATTGTCCTTATTAATACAAAAAAAATTTTCCCTTCCCAAGACGATATTTCCATAGAAAAAGATCAAATGAGGTAGAAATGTGGGCTGCTCTTTTTTATGGATTAATCTGGTCATGTGTTTTTACTAAGAAAAGAGTTAATGGCATGGAAACAAGTTATATAAAGTAGTTAACTTTCTTTATTATGTCATTAATTTGATAGTTTTGATAGCAAAAACTATTTTGAATTGTATTTGAAAAATTGTTCAGTATATCTTTCAATGTTTTTGTGTTCAATATTGTTATTGATTATGTTGATGGAAGAATGCTTGAAGTGTTTTGCAAGGCTTTTTGTGACAAAAATGTATTTTTAAGAGCTCAATATTGATTCATGTACATGATCTATGCATCTGCCAATTAAAAGCTTAAAATGTAATGCTCATCTCTAAACCCACATAAAATCATTGACTGCATCCTCACCCTAGATGTGCTGAATTTTTTCAGGGTATTTAGGTGACTCTAAATCAGCTAATAGAAGAAGACTATTTACGGATATATTAAAGACTCAAATCAACCCCTTAAAATGCAAAAGGGTCCTACTTGTAGTGAAATATAGTAAAAAATTTGCCAGTTCTCGCAGAAATAGAACATTGTCCTCTTCGTTGAGCTCACTCTCAAACAGAAATTTGTATTTCGTCAGTTTCAAGCAGACCACATGCCACTAGACTAGTAAATCGCTCTCCGCAGTTATATCGACAGTTGAACTTTGATTTCTGACACTTCTCAACTTGGAGGAATTCGCTCTCGACAAGTTAATTAAAAGTTGGTTGCGAATGTCTATCATTTTCTTGCAAAGTACAACATGCAAATTACTCTCAGAAAGCGGAGACACCCGGCATTAGTCACCTATTCATAAAATAAATCAACTTTGACAAAAACTTTATAGATAGTAACAGATTGGTTGCATCATATTTCACACAGAGAATATATATTTTTGCAAAGGTTGTTTTCTTAAGGAATAAGAGTGAAAAAAACTTCATTTTATTTGGAATGAAAAAGCAAGAAATAATTTTTGGAAAAAATCTTACAGTAAAAATTGATTTTTTCACCTAATGAAACTTTACTTTTTTCTTGCCCAGGATATAGCAAAACCAATAAGCTTTTCTGTGATTCCAAAAACCTAATAAAGTAATACTAATTACCAAAATAAAATATCAATCCTAGTTACCTAATTGTATACAATTTAAATGTTTTTGATCACATTTCTTACAACTACAGTAACACTATAGTCAACTTTGTTCTGGTAAAGGTTTGAGAGACTAAACTAAATTTTGAGGGTTTTGAGTCATGTGTTTGCAGACAGTTTCTATTATGCTTTGTATGTCATCCAATCCAGGCTTAAAGCTATCTTACTTTAATTACATAAAATTTTATTTATTAAAAAATAAAAAGGACAGACTCAGTCAGCCATCAGTTTGCCATTGGTTCACTATCTTGTGACAATTTTCCAATTGACAAAAACAATTTAAAAGATATATATATAATTTATTTTGTTAATAAAATGAGGTAAATAGTTGAATATCTTCACTATGTTAAATATGACACCATTCAGTTTTCTTTCTAATATATCTAGATAAATTACTTTATAAACTTAGTAACAAAACTATTTGAAATGTCACCTGACATAAATATTGTCTAGTCATTTCACCATTAACTACGCACCCTACCCCATATCTACATAAGAACATTATCCTTGAACATAGCAACTAAAACAGTTCTTCCTTCTTAAACAGTATGTAACAAATTTAATATTAAACCATTTTCCTTAGTTTTGTTAATAATAACTTTATACCCTCCAAAACAAATAGAACATATCACAACAGGTGCTAGCACTAAAACATGAACACATTATATTTACACAACTTCATTCTCTTGTTTATATCAGTATGAAATGTTTCAAACCACTCCTCTATCTGGTTTAACTTGGTACATAGTACCTACTACATAGTAGTACTACATACATGTATAAAATGAAAGATCGTGTTTGACTGATATGATTTGACTATCCTAGATATTAAAGATTATCAGTATGATAAAAATCACTTTTACTTTTACAATCTATTACCAGGAGTTTATCATTATCACGATTCATATTATTATTATTATTATTATTATTATTATTACTACACAATATTATCCTGGAATGGTTTTTTTCTTTTTAGTTACATCTAAATTGTTGTATGAATTGACTTAACTACTATACATAATGTCTGTTAATTTTAATATCATCATTCTTCTAAAAAGCTCCAACCAATCTTTTCTGTACATTTTTTAGCAGTTTTAAACTTGCTTCCACTTTATCTACAGCATCTGATGTCATGGCCTTACAGAAAGACACATCCAGATGACGTAATCGGCGACAGTTGGTCTGTATATTCTGTAGTGTTTTATTGGTCAGCATATCACAGCTAGAAACATTAATATAGGATAATCTAGGACATTTCTGGGTTAAGATAGATATAGAATAATCTGTAATTTTTGGACATTGTTGTAAATGTATTTCTTCTAAACTAGGATTACCTAGTGCTATGGCTATAACGCTGACATCGGTAATACTATGAACAGAAGATAAATTCAGACTTTTTAATTCACTGAATTTGATAGCTTCTTTGATGCTGACGTCTGTTAATTTTTCACAGGAAGAGAGATCTAGATGTTGCAGACCACCAATATTACTGATACAACATCTTTCTTCTTCTGTTAAAACTCTTGCCTCCAGTTGTTTTATAGCAAACTTCTTCTTTAAATGTTCACCAGTTGGCTTCTTGAAGATAGTTTTAACATCTGTTCTACGTGTACAACGACACTGGCCATGGTCACCATGATCAGAATGGGATTCATGGTTTAAACTGACATTCTTAAAACCTATCAAACCCATATCTGTTATTTCTTTGCACCATGTTATACACAGGAATTTTAAATTCTTCAAATTCTTCGAAATACTCTGAATACTTAAATCAGTAATAGGGAAACAGGAGCCAAGGTCAAGGTAAACCAAACAGGGTACATATTTACATAAATCTACAATAAAACTATCAGTAATAGAACTACAACATCGTAGATTCAGATGAGTCAGTTTAGTTTTAATACCACTACATAACCCAACACTCAATCCTGAACTTAATATTTTATAACATTCTGATAGATCTAATGTGGTCAAAGATGGAAGACTTTTTAAGGTTTCAACAGCATTATCTGTCAGTCTTTGACATTTACTGGCTTTAAGAACTTTCAAATTGATTAGGTTCTCAGTGACTGCTCCAAAGCCATGGTCTCCTACATCCATACAGCCACTAATATCAAGGAAATCAATATCTTTCTGATTTTTACAAAGCTTTTTAATTCCATCACTGGTAATATCTCGACAATTGACCAATCCAAGTTTTTGTAGTTTTAAATCAAACACAGAGGCTATTTGTTCAAGATGACTGTTAGTGATTGATGTTTTACTGAAATCAAGTGACTTTAGTTTCAGGCTATTCTTCTGGATAAAGAAGAGGACATTTTGGAATGTAAGAACAGATGCACTGTTACATATTTTAGTGTTTGGTGGATAGTAGGCATGGCTGTTAAAACTGATCTGTGTTGAAGTCATAGTCAGGTGTTGTAAATTCTCACAAACTGAAACAATTCTATTAAATGAGCAATCAGACAGGAATCTTATTGAAGACAGTTTTAATGTATGCAGATTTTGTAGGCTTTCTTTCAGCAGCTTGGTATCTGTAGATTTTTCAAGAATTTTACCAGACATAAATAAAGAGTTACAGCAGGTTAAATCTAAAATCTCTAACTGTTTGAACTGAGAAACCAACAGTATAAATGTTGTTTCTGTTATATTTGATCCTTTCAAACATAAACTTTTTAACCCATCACTGATGTTTCTGCAAGATCTCATCAATTCATCATTTGAGGAAATGGTATTTTCAAACTGGTTCAGAACTAAATGTGTTAATTTTCTTCTTCCCAAACCTGATGTCAATTCGGGAGCATCAATACTACCAAGAAAATTCATCATCACATCTTTCTGTAACATTGGATCTAATGATGCTTCATACCATATACGACTTACTAAAGATGCCTCCTTTCTATCGGAAACAGAAAGATATTTAAAGATGTTCGATAGCACCTGAAACAGATAAAATAATAATAAATAATTTTGTAGACAATATTTGAATTCTGATATTTATCACACAGAAGACATTATCTAATCATTAAACTAATAAATTTGGCTTCCAAAATAATTCACAGGACCATAATATTGTCTACATAAAATGAATGATAATTTTCGCATGACACTAAGTGCAAGTATAATAGACCCTTCTTTCATTTTACTTTTGTCTAAATATGATTTTGAAGTGAATGGCAATATCAACTTTAAAACTAGACTATAAAATGACACCAACTTTGCTTTGTTGAAATGCGAACTAAGCCAAAGTACTCAAAGGCTAACTAAGCTGATATCCGATTATAATTGTAATAATCAATATCAAAAAATAAAAATACAGTTTATTAGGCTTAAGTTAAACTTACTTCAACAGGTACATCGGCTGTCATTTTGATTTCCAATTCGTGCAAAAAGATAGAACTCAACTTCAGCTGCTACAGACAAATTATGTAACGCGTAAAGTCACAAGTTCTTGACACTTTGAGTCATTTGTTTACATTAAGATAATGGTCATGTGACGTTCATGTCAGTCTGCCTTTTTAGTTTCGCAATAAAATTTGCCATTTTTATTTTGACAAACGACAAATTAGTAATTTGACTGTGAAACAAATATCTTAAAATTACCGATATACATTAACAATTAGCAAAATATTGCTTATTGTTTAAACAATTAATAAAGTAAATAAAATAATATCAAAGGGGGACAACTGTGTTTATTACAGGTACTAGTTATGTCCCTTTGACCACTTGTCGAATATGTTTTCATCTTTGACCTGCACAAAGGTTATGTTATGAAAATGGCCTCATCAATAACTATTCCAAGGCGACTTCCACTGCTATTAGTCGCTGACAATGTTTTATTACCGGGGTCATCGATGCGAATTCCTGTCAGAAGTATGAAAAAGTGAGTGTTTTTTGTCATTTTTCTAAATTTAAGTCACATTCACAAACCCATGGTTCTGCATTTCTTCACTAAAGAAACCTAATAATAGGCCATGCTTATAGTTATACTCAAACAAGCAGTTATAATAACGTAATAACCTTATTGTAGGTAGATCTATTAGGCTTAGGGTGGGGGCACACAAGCAGTCATGGTTGCAGACTCCAGTCGGTTGTTTTTCACCTTGTTGATAATCATGTGCTTGCAATTGAAGGTAAAATGAATCTGATTAGATGACGGTCTGTCTTGTTGACAATTATCAAACTTGTTTGATATTATAAATCCTGTTGGCGACACAATAATCTTGTCATGGAAGCATTGGCAACAAAAAACTCTGACATTTAGTGACCAATAACATTATGGGCATTATAATAGTCCTAATATGCCCTTGGCTACCCTATAGTGATACAAACAGCAGACAAACTGTACTCTAAGTAAGATTAGATCATTAAGGTCATAGGCTACTCTCCGAAGTCTAGGGCTGGGTATGGATTACCAAACTGAGATTGATTATCGACGGCAAGGTATTGATCAATAATTGATTGATAAATGAAATATTTTAAGTGAGAAATCTTCTAAATAAAATCATGTACAGTCAAGTAACCTAATTTCGTGGAAACCTATTATTCGTGGATTTCCGGAAAGGATTAATAATTTACATGAGCGACCTTGCGCGACTTCCGCATTAGTTTGTTTTAATAAACATGGGTTTTCTCTACAATGTCAGCTAGTAGAAGGAATCCAGTAGTTTCAAGCAAGGTAAAATGTATTAATGTATACTTTGACAAATACAAAATGGCGGATTTCACTTATTACCAAACATCACCATTTTTTATCGGCCGAATTTCCTTATAATCCCAAGCGGTAATCGGAATTCCAAGTGTCGTCTGCTAGAATGTATTCCAACGAATGAAGTCACGTGATCAACTAGCAGGTTCCGTGTCAGCAGAAAATTTCTATGGAACACAAGGTGGGCCATATTCTTATGTTGCTACGTATCATATTTTGTCAGTCAGTATTTTTTTTTTAAATCGTGGTTCTTTGAAGGAATTGTCACTAGTTATAATGAATTGATATTAAAGATAACTACTAAGAGAAGTTAATAATACCACCGGTATCTATACAACGTGTTTTTCTCGACTTATTTATAGATCAAACATTGTACACGAAAATAGGTGACGCATTCTGCCGCCGTTGCCGAGTTGGTTGCTCATGAAATATGGGTCAAAGTAAAGGATTCATAAAGAAAATTAAAATAAACCAATTTTAATTATTTTGTAGAATATCTGAGGAAACATCTAAGACATAAACAATTTTTTTCGTTTTTTTATCTTTGACGAAATTCGGTTTTGAGTCCTTATATCCACGAAAATAGGTTACACCACTGTATACATTTTTAATTCCATGGGTTATTTGTGTATCATAAAATTATGATAACATAATATTCATTGCTGAGATCGATTATTACAGTTTATTGTTGGTAAGTTATATGCTGAGCTTAGTAGTTTACCCCCTTGAAATGAAGTATTATTTTTGAAAATATGATTTGGCGGAAGGAAATTTTTATGCAGAAATTTCTTGCACTCATATTGCATAAGCGTAAATTGATCTAGGCATAATCTTATATATTTCAATGGACCTGATAACATTTTTTGTATGCAATCGTACATTTTATGTTGAATACTTGTGAAATGAATGAAAAAAGAATTATGGGCTTAAATGGTCATAGAGTCTGATACAGAAATTAAAAATACTTAATGATGTGCTACTTGAACTATGATCTAATGATCATCATTCCAAATTTTGTTTTTTCAGCATGAATATGGTGAAAAGTCGATTGCTGGGGAGGAATACATTAAGTAGTACAGTTATTGGTGTCATACCAAAACAAGAAAGTACAGAAGATGATGTAAAGAATAAATTAGATCTTAATATATTTTCCAAATATATGATAAGTTGATTTCATTTTAGAGCATTTAGAGATAGTTCCATATCTGAAGTTTATTCAGGGAACATAATTATTAAAGGGACAGCTTCGCCATCCATTTGACCTATCATACCATAAGGTCAGAAATTTTTTTAGCTAAGCTAACAGTTCACTGTTCAAATGTCCAGTGTCCAGAATTATCAAGTTCGACCTTACATAGAAATAGAAGGTGAAATTTTCTACTTTGAGGTATTTTCGAGGGAATTATGCAATTTTCATATATATCTAGTCCTTACAGACACTAGTTTGCATTTTTGCCATACATTATATTGCAGACGAGCTAATTGAAACATTTTGGTTAAAAAAAAGTATTTTGGGACAGTTCTACAGAATATAACTAGAAAAAAAAAAATCACCAACACTACTCTGAAAATTATTCATATATATTCAAGACCAAAATCAAGCCCCGAAAATGGCAAATCTTTTCCTTTAATGCAAACAGAGAGGCCTATCTGCTTTTTAGCTGATCCCATTCAATAAGAATTGTTGATGTAAAAGCTTTTGATAACATGTTATGGTAGTAAGAAATTCTTTACATTATTTTAGGATGGAGAAATTTCAGGACTTCATTCAATAGGCACAGCTGCTGTTGTGGTTCAAATAACAGGTACTAACTGGCCAAGACCAGCTTATACCCTACTGGTAACTGGTTTGTGTAGGTTTAAAGTGGATAAATTGTTACAGGAATCACCTTATCCTGTTGCTACAGTAACACAACTTGATAAACTTGGAACTGATGATAAAGGTAATGGTTTTAATTATGATATTCTTGGTTAAAAATCATAAATATTCCAACAATCTGAAACTTTAATCATGAAAAGATTTAGTTAAATTGAGTAAATGCTAAAAATTTCCAAAAGCTCTAGCCTACATATTCAAGGTACGATATGAGAAATTTCAGGAAGGGATACATATTTAAGGTCAGATAATTTTCTATTCCAGCCTTTGAAGTTTCTGGAGATGAAGAATTGATTACATTGGCAGAACATTTCCGTGAACAAGCTTCAAAATTAGTTGAGATGTTAGATGTTTCGATTCCAGTTGTTGCAAAGTTAAAGGTCTGTTAACCATGTGAATTTGTCATACTTTGAGTAACTTTAGAACAATGGAATAAACTAAGCCAAATAAACACAACCTATTTCAAATTTAACTTAATGTGTTCAAAAAAGTCTTCACTAATGAATTATTTTGTACTATTTCAGAGGATGTTAGAAAGTTTACCAAGTCAACATTTACCAGATGTATGTGCTGCTATTGTTAAAGCATCATATACAGAGAAATTACAAGTTTTAGATGCTATAGATTTAACGGACAGATTTAATAAAGCTTTACCATTACTAGTTAGACAAATAGAGGTATAATTTTGATATCTATCAATCGTGAAAGTTAAGAGGAGGTTTGTGTCTGGATCAGTAGCTTAGTAATGTTATCAGTTGTATGCAATTTAAGTAAGTGCTTATATACATAATTATACGTGTATATTGTTTGCTGTTCTGTTTCTCTTCAAGCACAAATAAAGCTTGTCATATGTAAATATGATTTTGTTGGATTAAAGTTTATTGTGTTGATATAGTACCTCATAATTTCAGGGATTGAAACTACTACAGAAAGCCCGTAAAGATGGTAAAGTAGAAATTATAACGAGAAAAGAAAGTAATAAATCTATCAATATGAGACAATTATTTCAAAAATTAAATACACCAACTCAAGATGAAGATGGGGAAGAGAATGAAGATGTAGAAGAAAGTCAGGATATGGAACAAAAAATAAAGTGAGTAGTTACCATTTTCGATATCTCTGGAAAGTTGGAAGGCTTTTGCCACATATTTATTAGGAATTCAATTTGGACTGGAAATCATCCCACTTCCCATTTATCTGGTTATGATTCTTATTAAAAAATACTTAAGCTTGTAAAAGTAGCTATTGATTGATCTTTTGAGGTTTTAGAAGAATCATAACTTAGAGAAATTTAGTTATCAGAATCCCTTTCATTTTGTTTTATAAGGGAATGTAAAATGTCAGATATTGCCTATAAAGCTGCTATGAAAGAATTAAAAAGATTAAAGAAGATGCCTCAACATATGCCTGAACATGCTATGATCAGGTATGCAACATTGATTTGATTGGTTTTTGATTGTTTAATAGTTTTTGTACGCCCACATGGAAATGTGAATGTATATTGCCGTCACCCCCATACGTCCGTCCGTCCATTCACATTTTTTGTAGGCGCGATAGAGGCTACAGTTTTTATCCGATCTTGATGAAACTTGGTATGCATGTATACATTGATGAGATCTCGGTCAAGTTCGAAATTGGTAATAATTGGATGAACGATTTCAGAGTTATTGCCCTTATTGACTCTCATTTGACTTGTAGGCATGATCAATAGAGACTACAATTTTTATCCGATCTTGATGAAACTTGGTATGCATCTATATATTGATGAGATGTTGGTCAAGTGCGGAATTGGTTATTGCCTTTGACTTAGTAAAAACGATTCAAATTTTGATTGTAGGCACAATAGAAACTACAGTTTTTATCTAAGCTAGATGAACCTAGGTATGCATGTATATATTGATGAGATCTCACTCGAGTTCGTAATTGGTAACAATCGGATTAAGGTTTCGGAGTTATTGCCCTTGACTTAGTAAAAACTCGTCAAATTTGACTTGTAGGCATGATCAATAGAGACTACAATTTTTATCCGATCTTGATGAAACTTGGTATGCATCTATATATTGATGAGATGTTGGTCAAGTGCGGAATTGGTTATTGCCTTTGACTTAGTAAAAACGATTCAAATTTTGATTGTAGGCACAATAGAAACTACAGTTTTTATCTAAGCTAGATGAACCTAGGTATGCATGTATATATTGATGAGATCTCACTCGAGTTCGTAATGGGTAACAATCGGATTAAGGGTTTCGGAGTTATTGCCCTTGACGTAGTAAAAACTTGTCAAATTCGGTTTGCAGGCACGATAGAGACTACAGTTTTTATCCAATCTTGATGAAACTAGATATGCATGATGATATCTCGGTCAAGTTAGAAATTGGTAATAATTGAATCAACAGTTTCCGAGTTATTGCCCTTGTGTGTACAGCGATGAGACATTATTCATGTTTGAATTTCATGATAACTTGATGAACTGTTTAGGTTTTTGCCTTGACTTATGGATGATTTTAAGATTATTTGAAAATTTATTATTAAGCCACTAAAGATTTTGTTATCATTCTGACAGCTGGTAGTGGGCATATGTTACCTTGCCTGGCAAGCTATCTTTATAACTTTGAGTGGCATTTCTTTAGCAACAAAATATAGGAGACTACCTTTATTTCTTAAAAGAAATTCACTTGATAATGACAGTGTAAATTGTTGAAAATTTATTTTCCATAAAAACTTTCCAAACTGGTTTTCGAGAAAGTTCTGCTGTAATTAGTTTGTAATAAAGACTGTTTTATCATTTCTGACAGCTGCCAGTGGGCGTATGTTACCTTGCCTCGCAAGCTATCTTTTATAAATCTAGGAATTATTTGGAATTGATGACAGAACTTCCGTGGTCTAAATGTACTAAAGATGCACTGGACATCATACAGGCAAGGTAAGATAAAAAAAAAAACGATTTGATTATATTATGAGAGGACACATTCGGATACTGAACGTATTTCTAGCTAACTAAGAGTAAAACCTTCAGCTTAGATTCAAGTGATCACTACTAAACAGGTATATTTGATAATGGGTATTTATATTGGATTGTAGGAAAGATATGGATGTAGACCATTATGGACTTGATAAATTAAAGAAGAGAGTATTAGAATATTTAGCTGTACGGCAGTTAAAGAATTCTCTGAAAGGACCAATATTATGTTTTGTTGGAGCACCTGGTGTTGGTAAAACTAGTTTAGGAAAGTCAATATCCAGTACATTAGGCAGGGAGTTTCACAGGTATTATATTTCTTTATTTAACAACGATGGTTACAAAAGCAAATACTTACTATTGCCCAAAATTTGTAATAAAGAGAAAAAGAAAAATATATCAACCTATATACAATTCATATTCAATATTATAAATAAAATATATCATATATTATGTATGGTAGAAACTTTGGTTCTTGAAAATAGAACTATATTATATCACAATGTTTGCGTAAAGCCAGTAAATACTGGTAAAAGGATTTCTAGATTAGAAATGTATTGAGAGATATCCTAAGTCATGTATTGTTTTTGTTTGTTTGTTTGTTTAGAATAGCTCTAGGTGGAGTGTCTGATCAATCTGATATAAGAGGACATCGAAGAACTTATATTGGATCTATGCCTGGTCGTATTATACAAGGTTTAAAAACTGTGGGTGTCAATAATCCTGTCTTTCTTTTTGATGAAATTGATAAACTGGTGAGTAGAAGAATTGCTTTTGTATGGAAACATGTTTATCTCATTTGTAATGTTTAGCGAAAGATTCTCAAATTAAACATGAAAGTTACAGTTATTGTAATGTGCCGTTACTGTGATAAAATTGTCATATAACCTGAAATTTGTACATCTATCTCCATCTTCATTAGCCCACATTGTGCAGAAAAGTAGGACATAGAACTCCATTCATTTTAATATTTTTGTACGTCTATCAAACTATATTGATATATTTAAGAGTCGAGGACCACATGGTGATCCAGCTGCAGCATTATTAGAAGTTCTAGATCCAGAACAAAATCATAGTTTTGTGGATCAGTATCCTTTTTATTTACATCTTGAATTACTCGAAGGTTATTATTTATTCAAAAGTCATGTATATCTGGCTCTTGAATGATATTGTAATCTGGAACTTGAAATGTTTTTGTAGATATTATTTGCAATATTATATGTGGAAGTATACAATAACAACCAAGTTCAATCAGATATTACTTGATTTTTTTTTTTAACCAAATTTAGCTATTTGAATGTTCCATTTGATCTATCACAAGTGTTATTTATTGCTACTGCTAACAATATGTCAACAATACCACCAGCTTTATTAGATAGAATGGAGGTGATACAGATACCAGGTTATACTGAGGAAGAAAAAATACACATTGCTGTTAGACATCTTATACCTAAACAATTACAAGAACATGGCTTAACTGAAGAGAAATTACAAATTCCTGCTGATACTGTTAAAATAATAGGTTTGTATTGCCTCAAAAATTTATATGTGATCAAATCTGAGCTAAGGTTATATATTATATAAAAAATATCTTTAAAACTTAATTTGTTTCTGATTAACAAGAGTTCATTATGAGCTGATATTTTGATATCTGTTTATAACATATTTACCCTAGTATCAAACTATACCCGGGAAGCTGGAGTAAGAAAGTTAGAAAGACGTTTAGCTGCTATCTGTAGAGCAGTAGCTGTTAGAGTAGCAGAAGGTATCTCCAAAACTAAACATGAGAAATTAGAAAGTTTAGAAGAGAACAGAAAAGAAATGTTAAATAATAATAGTTTATCAGAGATAGACTCTAATACAGCATCTGCTCTAGCTCATCCACCAGAAATGCCAATTGTTATTGATGATGCTGCTCTTGAAGATATACTTGGGGTGAGTTTGAATATTCTTAACTTTGTCAACCTACAAATCCATTATGATAACAGATTGAGACTACCAGTATAATGATATATTATATGATATATCTGAATTGTGTTCATTTAACATCTGATTTTTTCAGCCACCTGTGTATGACATAGAAACCAAAGATAGATTACAGCAACCTGGTGTAGCTATAGGTTTAGCTTGGACAGCTATGGGTGGTGAAATAATGTTTGTAGAGGCTTCACGTGTTGAAAATACTGAGAGGGAAGGAAAACTTACTCTCACTGGCCAACTGGGTGATGTCATGAAAGAATCAGCTAATTTAGCCTTAAACTGGGTCCGAGCTAATTCAAAAAAGGTAAATTCTATTTTTATTTTTCTATAGATTAGCAGTATTAGTCTACAATTTAATACTGTTGTGTAAGTCTACTTAACGTTACATAATGTATTGTACTTTTACAGTTACATTTAAAACTAGATGGAGATATATTCAATTGTACTGATATACATATACATTTCCCTGCTGGTGCTGTGGGAAAAGATGGTCCGTCAGCTGGAGTTACCATAACAACAGTCCTTGTTTCATTATTCAGTGGTAAATGTGTGCGCAATGATACAGCTATGACAGGGGAAATTACTCTGAGAGGTTTAGTCTTGCCAGTAAGTTGATCACATATTCTAGTCAATTATATCTGTGATGTTTTGCATCTGTGATGACAGATTTTAAATCTAGGTCTCAGTTATGTCACTGTTTTGCAATGTTCTTTTTCGATTCTGTAACCGCAAATTGAGAATAATGTAAACATTAGTAGATTATTGTAGATTATTAATTTCTTTTAAATATAAAAATCATTTATGCATTACATGGCTTTAGAAATATTGGCATCTGATCTAAAAACTTCACCACAATGACATCAAATTGTGAAAAAGACATATATATTTTTAGGTGGGAGGAATAAAGGAGAAGGTTCTAGCAGCCCATAGAGCTGGTATTAATAGAATAATATTACCAAAAAGAAATGAGAAAGACTTACACGAAATTCCTGATAATATTAGGGTAATATGATACTATTTGTCTTAGTCATTGGTTAAACTTTAATTGAAGATTCCTGAAAACTGACTTGCTAACCTACACACTCAGTAATACGTTGAACTTGGCAGTAATTTGAATGAATTCTTGTATGTTATTTCAGAGAGATATTAGTTTTATATTTGCCAGTCAACTTGGTGATGTTCTGAATGCAGCATTTAATGATGGCTTTCCTGCCCTCAATGTCCCTGTTATAACAGACAGTAAATTGTAACAATGGTGAAGAGATGGTCTATTATACGCATGAAAAATAATTTTCAAAGTGATTATTTCCCTGATTTTTTTCATGTATTTGTTGAATCTGATGATTTGAAAGATTTAAGGGTGTAATTATGCAACTCTTGAAGATGCTTTGCCTTAGAAATCGTTCTTGCTAAGGGGTCATATTTTAATATTACACACACGCACACACACCCTCACCATAATTGTGACTTCATATGTGAGAGATGGAACAATTGTGAAGGTAAAGGCACAATTTGTAAACTCAATCCCTTCAAGGAATTCATTATTTTTTTCATTGATTATCATATCCTGTTGACTATCCGATGCATCATATGTATAGAATTCAAAGAATTCATTTTAAAATATATATCCTCACAAAAGTGAGAAATGATTGCAAATGGCTGTTGATGTAATTTAGGGAGAAGACTAGAGAAAGTCAGTATTCTCTTGTGATAAGGTATGACAAAAACAAGACTATTAACAATCTAATGTTATAATGATTGTGATTGGATATTACCTTGTTACTATAGCAACCTGATTCTACATTTGATAACTTCAGTGAGTTGTGCCAAGTCTTCTTGAAATATACATACCAGATGTAGTATTTTGCTTCAATTGCATTATTATTATACTGTTAGATTTATAGAACATTGAAAAATAATCTTTCTAATGTCATGATAATATGAGATCTTGGTATACCCTATTTATTTTACACTAACATAAATTGTTTGGTAGAAATTTAAAACATTCAATTATTGCACTCTTTGTATTGCAAATATGCTAATATAACGGTTTTTATAATTGAGCTAGTATAACAAATTGTCAGCCTAAAGAAACAAGGCCATAATAATTAGTGGTGGTGCTTATCAATATTTCAACTCAAATAAATAGTGCAGATATAGAAGTATATTCAGAAATGAGAAAGCTTATAGATTCAAACACATGGAACGGGGATAATTATAACTTTTAGCATTATTATAAGACAGAGTGCTAACATTTACACTCGAAACATTTAAACTCCAAAATGGATTATTTTGTATCTTCCACAATATTTCTTCTGGCAATATTTATCTGCCACATACCAATAATTATTATCAGTTTTGAGCCAGTCTTGTGTATTTAAAAATATATGTTTAAAAATTGTAAAATAATTCATTATATTTGAATTTGCCTACAAAGATGCCTACATGTACTTTACTGTAAAATTTAAAAAAATAATGAAATATCATTACAATAATATTTATGTAAACTGTTGATGATTGTTGAAGCTGTTGAAATTTTGGTAATAAAATATTTTTGGCAATCAATTTTGTTTATAATACATGTTATAATCCTTTAGCAAAAGTTTATATATCCAGCTATGGCATATGGGCTAAGAATATCATAATTATTTCACAAAAAGTCTTATGTCGTAAAAAATTTAGGCATTACAAAATTGAATCCTCACAAAAATGTATTTTTTTGAGGTATTAAAAGAACTGTTAAATAAGAGTGGTTTCAAGTTGATTCAACAATGCAGAATTCAATGCACATATTATCAGTGTAATATATGTCTTGTGCAAGTTTAATTATATTGGAAAGTGCACAAGAATAATAAGATAGTTGTATTACAGATCAAAGTATAGAGTCTGTTCTATCTTGGTTGTACATGGTTTATATTATATAATCTAAGTTAGAAACAGATTCACATACCATTTCTATAAAAATACCTGTCTTTACCTACTGATCATTATCAAGGTGAACAATCTATAGACCAGACCTGATATTTATTCAGTTCTACTACAAAGATTTTTTTCCAACAGAACATTTTCAGGTAATGTCAATTATTTATCTTGATGTTGAAAGAGCACATGATATGAAAAATATTTTTTTTGGAACAGAGTTGTTGAAATGCTGGTACTTGCTGATTTGAGCAACAATAATTCCGAATATGATATTCATTAATTTTTAAATTTAATGACGGCAACCACTTAAATGTGGCCCAATTGTAGAAACAATCTTCGAAATATTCTATATCTAGTTACTAAAAACTATTAATTTTTCTGTATTTAGTCCATTATTAGTAGGAAATTAGTTATAACTGACACTTGCTCTTATTAATCATAAAATTTTTTAGATTAATGATAGATCATGATAACCTTTGATGATTTAATGGATATATTTTCTTATGCCAAGTCTAAATATCATTAGGTCATGCACCACAATAATCTCAGACACCCAGACTTCTATCTATGTTTGCTACAGTTGTGTGCATACAAAGTTGAACTGGAGGATAAAGCCTAGCACCAAAAGATATAGTATAATTTTCCAAACTGTAGTGGCTCCTGTGGTTATTACTAGACTTTTTTTTTATATAGGCCTACATGTACTTTAAAATTGTTCAATGTCAAATGATTTCTTTAACTTCAAGGCAATGCAACTGAAAGATGCTTTATTAGTGATTTTTAAAAAAACGTTACTTATCACTCCTAATTGATATATTTTATGAATATAGAAATAGGCTTTGTTTAAGTTCAGTAAGATCGGGGTGCCATCATAGAGATATATATAAAACTATTTGTTATCAATCATATACCATCTAGTTGAAACAGTTGAAATGTAGCACTGGTGTTATATATCAGAAAGAATAAATAACTTGTTGTATTTCACCTCAACCCACACATTTTGATAATTTTAGTATCTTTGCTCAACATTTAATATTAGTTCTTTGCAATCTTTTTACGACATGAGTTGTTGTATTTTAATCAATGACCTTGAAATCTTAGTATACTGAACATGTTCCCACCTGATCGGTTCTGTCAGACTTAATAAACAAATATGAATTGTGATAAAGGTAAACAGGAATATCAGCAAGGTACACTGTAACACGAGTCGTTTGTATCAAGAGCCTCTAGTAAGGGTTGGTTTGTTACCAGGTGTATTGTGTCGGAGACAAGTCAAGGTATAGAGTTGAGACAACCTTCATCTTACCTCAGGTAATTTCAACAACCTATTTGATCTAAATCAACCTGATTACCTTGACAACCATACTCTCAGACTTAAATAACACACGAGTGTATCAGACGCGCGCCTCACCATTTTTAGGCACAACATAGACATCATGGCAAGAATTTTGGACTAGTCTATTACTCACAGGTGATGTTCCTCTCATTCCATAACTCATTGATTTTGGTTAAAGCTTCCAATATCTGTTATAGATTTTATTACTAAGGGTTCTCATTATATTGAACTCTTCTATCTTAAAGTTCAATAATCTGGAATTCATCATGAACACATTTGGACGGAAACATTGACCTTCATGACTTCCAGGAACTAATGCTACACCCGACTCCCCTGAAAATGGTATTTACCTGATTCTCGGTATAGGTACCAGTGTAAGTTACTGTTAGCCTTATCGCTACCACTCTCGTCTCTGGTAGAATACAGTGCCTGTAAAATCTTTCGTTTTAACTCTTCCTGTAGGCCTGTGTACGTAAGTAAAATTCATTTTCCAGCTAATAATCAGTTTTTGAGAAATTTTTGTAGAATAATAACATTTCAAGCATTATTGAAAAAATATTGTAATAACTTAATTTGTTACCTTTAGCCTAATTAAGTTAAGATGGTTCGGCTATTGGATGAAGATTTTGTAAATATAAATGATGTTAAATATGATAATTGTAAAGATTATATTAGACATCTGAGTTGAATCAGATGGATCGGGCAAAGTATTTGCCGGTGATATTTGGAATCTATCTTATTCTATAGAACTTTGGGTTCATGACATTTACCTGTAGAGTCTGTGTACAGGTGTCTGATAACTGATTCCCTTCTCTATTAACCATAACATTCTATCTCCTTTCTACGTCAAACTATTAAAAGTCACCTCTCGTATTTATTACATATAAAACCATTGCTCTTTTATCAATCCATTTATAGAAGGCACATCTTGTAGCCATCTCTGATTGAAAGGTGGACCTCTCAAGTGATTCTTTAAGTATAGGCCTATAGTTTAGTTTGTGGGTTGTTATTAAGACCTCTGTTCAGGTAGATAATTAAAATGTTTGAAGATATAAGTTTTAGAGATATGGAAGGGTTAAATGAGGATGATAAGGAAGTTATAGCTTATGCCCAGGTAAGTGTATTTGTTGATTGCTGACTCAGCAATTCCAGGTGTGACCAGGTGTGCTTAAGTAATGACCCTCAGGAGAGTACCTTACTTCTTTGGACTGTGTAGTGTAGAGATTGATAAATGGTAGTTGTAGTTTAAGAATTGGAAATCTTTGAGATAAAAAATCTTGTTTGTGGAAAAAGTGTAGAAAATATTGGACAATCAAAATATTGTTTAACAAAATGGATTATATAACATTGAAATGGAAGTAACTAAAAATGTTTCAAAATACATTTTAAATTGGACACATGACTTAAGGTGATATAGGTGCTATAGATATGTGAATGCTTAAGGTAATGAGTAACCGAAAGTATCTTTGGTTGTGTGGTGTTAGATTACTAGATAGATAAGAATAGAACAAACTCATTACCCACACAACTGGTACTGTAGGAATGTGTATACAGCATATTTATTTATATCTTTTGTTTATAACTTTTACAGATGTCACATGACTTGCTTAAGACAAGTATTGCATCTGAAGTTAAGAATCTTTTAGATTCAATTTAAAAAAAAAAGAAATATTTAGAAACTTTAAAAAAAAGTTTATTCCAAAATTTTGTTTTATTTTTCATATATCAACCTCCAACTAAAATAACTAAGGGCTTCTGCTTGACCTTGATAATATTACTTTAAACTCTCAAGATTGAAAAAAAAACTGAAATTGATAAGTGTTAGGGGTTAACTTAACTTCTTTACACATCTAATATGCAAGTCTAATATTTGATATTTAAGTGATATTATTTTGTCCAGTTGTTATAGCAAATTGCTAAAAATGATAAACAATGTAGTGTATTAACCATAAGAAAAGTTATATTAAAGTATGTCAATGGTTATCTCTATAGATGAGGTGTAGGCATGAAGGTAGTGCCTACTACTTTATATGTGGTGTTAAGGCTATAAATAGATTTATGGAATCATCTAAACAGCAATTAGTTCTGCAAACATTATCAGTGAGAGTCAGATATAAGTACCATAAGTAGAGGTGTGTTTGAGCCATAAGTGTAAGTAAGTGTGTAAGAAGTTATCACATATCAGTTACAGGTAAGTTCAGCAGTAAGTATAAACTAAATAAAAGAGCAATGGTGATTTAAATTTGACTATTCTTACTCCCCCATAAATATAATTCAGGGCTGTATAGGAGAGTTTTATACTAGTGCATCATTGTTATAATTAATAATTTAGGTGAGAGAGTGTGGAAGCGATGACAAGGAGGAGACCAGCACCGGGCTTCTCCGTGGTAAGTTCTACTATTCAATCTTTCCTGTTAACTGTTATGTTATTGGTTGACAAACTAATTTTGCTTACCTTAGCCATTATTACTGTATTTAATATTTTTATATGCTACAACACTAATGAATGTTAACAAAGTATAAAACTCAGTATAATTTTACAAATTGATATTACAAGTATCTAATATTATCTAAAAGGTGCAAAGACTTTGTATGTAAAATTATGTTGTGATTAAAGACTAAGGGAGAATGTTTGCATATGTAGGAGCTCATTAAGAATTAGCAAAAGAGATGCATAGTTTTGGGGAAATATAAATCGTAATATTAATCTATTGAAGAACAGTTAATTATTTTGCCACTAATATGTGAGCATGATATTTCTTTTAAGAATATGACACCTAATCTTTATAATAATGAAAATATTATCAAATTTTGCTTGATTAAATAACAATCAATGGAAAATCGTTTTCCAAAGAACAATGTAAAAAAATAAAAAAAAGGTAAGTTGAGTTTGGAATGTGCTAACAGATTGTCTAGTTTTTATATTATATGGTTGATGTTGAAAGAAAAGGTTTGTATTTAAGAAAGTAAGAGTGAGAGATATTTCTAGAGAAAGTAATATCTATGATAGCTTACCACCTGAAGTTAATCATTCCAACAAAAAAATAAATTAATAAAGTCTTAGATCGATTCAATTAACTTTAATAAAACTTTATATACTATTTCTCAATCTCAATATATCACTACATATTTTACAATGGTAATACATTACAATAATTGAAGAAAATTTCAAATGAAATATTTTGGGCACATATTGAGTTCAGGTACTGTATTTCTTATTTCAATTTACAGAGCACGAAGGGACACTCTGTTCTGCGAAAGTATGCCTACAGTAGTCCTCCTTCCCAACGGAGATATGGTTATGGACTTGATTATTCCAGTGTGTCACCAGTAAGGAGTCGATATTGTAAGTATAAGTCAAACAGAAAATAATATCCAGACGTTTTTAAATGTATTGAAAATTTAGATGCAATCTTTGAATTGGAACTGGAAACAGAAATAGCATCCTTGTTGATTCCGAATGAGTTCCTAAAAACTGATGTTCCAAAAGATATTAGAAATAATGAATGACTACGCGCTTGGTATTCTAGATTCTGGTGAGGAAGACTACCTTAACAGTGCTGTTCAGAGAGCAACATCTATTGGATCTGATGCTCTATACGATACATATGATACTGCCAACATGTCTCGTAATCGCGATTATGACTTAATTTCCGCTACCAATTCAGCCATAGTAAGTTTTACTTTATTTATTTCATTTAAAGTTTATCTCAATATTAAGTTCATTAATAGAATGCTCCTGATTCAAATATTCTTAAAAAGTGCCAAAGTAATTTGAAATGTAGAGCTTTCTTTTTGAGCTTCATTTTGAGATAACTACCAATTCAATTTATTTTCAACTCCTTTGTAATCCATGCAGTAATGTTTAACATCATGATTGTTCATTTACTTTAAAGATTTATTTCAAAAAATGAAGACAAAATAATAAATGATCTTGAAAATAATTATATCAATGATAAATAGGAGTTGGAAATAGTCAGTAAAATTTAATATTGTTAGTTATGTATTAGGACATTCATATTTCATGGTTTTGTATTTTGAGTCTACATTTATCATGCACAGTTGCCTTTGATTTTATTAGTTGACTGATCAAGGATATTTAGCAAAGAATCTGAAGGAACTCTTTATTGAATTTGATAGAATTACCACTTTTAGATATTGGTATTAATGATTATAGAATAAGTTTGAATTATATTTTGAACAGGAGTTAATATTGTTTTAACAATTGTGATTAATTGCATGATGTATGTATATAATAACAAGAGACCAGATATAAAATAGATCTTTACTTATAGATATTAATATCTTTATATCTCAAAACCAACTTAATAATGATATCTCGACCAAAATTAACAATACCACTTTTTGACCTCTAATCTCTAGGTTTCTGATATTATATATATACATCCATGTAATATTCACTTCAAAATAGAGAGTATAAATAGTTTTAAGAATATTTGTGATTCCAACACCAACAATCATTACAAATTAATTGTGTTATAAGTGATCATTCGATCATGATATATGTCATCATGCATGTTCTGGGAACTATTTATAAACTCTATGTTATGGAGGTATAATGTACACATCATTTTGTTACTACACCTATCTTTGAGGATTGAGTTTATTCCAAAGGAATTAAACAGGAAATTTTCAGTCTTATCCTATTTAGTAGATGTAGTTACCTCTTACCATTTTTGGTTTAAATCCTATAGATTCCTACTTTTAGTATTGGTCTATTCTTTAGTTTCTTTTATTTTTGAATGAAAAATTATTCATGAGAAACTCTAACAAAGTGTTACCTTGACCTTATTCAAGCAGCCCCCGTCACCGTTTTCTGCTGTGAAGGCCAGATTGAATCGGATATCATCAAACCTCCCACACAGACGTTTTCCCTCTCAACATTTCACATCACGCTCAGACATCAGTCCAATACGAGATCTAGACACATCAGACACAACATCGTTAGTTGCTAGTCCAAGTCCAAGACCATCAGCAGTTCATATACCACATACTCCTCACTCCACATACAGACACAGTCCACTACCAGACAGTACTTCAGATAAATTATACAGAGATTCAGATACAAGTCATTTAGTAGCAAGTCCTGCACCACAACCAGCCATATTACCACACAGATTACACTCTTTGAGTCATCGAGCTGGTCTGTCCACACCTATTACAGCTGGTAGTACATGGAATGACTTTAATCTACCCGTTCCAACACAAGCGTCAGCGTTTTCAGAACGTCCTATACTAGATGATCCTAATCTAGCTAATTTACCTGAACAGAGGTCTTCTACACTGGTCCATGGATATCTATCTCCATCATTGGTGGCTAAATACAGTGGATCGCCTATCATTTCACCAATTGGAAGTGGTACACAGACGCCAATTAGATCAAGCTACCTTACTAGATCGAAATATGCTGATATCCCATCTCTAGCACAAAGCATTGATGATACAGGATTAGAATATGGGCCGGATACAAAGTACACAGGACAGAGGCACAGAGTGCTTGGGACCAAAAGGTATACAGGGAACTATTATGATCGACTATGTAAAAAAAGATTGGGAAGAGAGAAGCGTTCTAAATATTGGCCATATTATGATGTGGAATCAATTGGTCAGAGTGATGATAGCGATATTTTGAGTGATGAGGAATATGGTACATCAGGCTACACTCCAGTATCATATAGAGATACAGAAGATTATACAACTGATAATTATGTACCATTTAAACCAAGATATGACACATTAACATCACCAGGTCTATTAGAGATGTCACCATATAACGAGAGTGCTTTGAAACCTGACTTATCTTATCTCTCTTCCTCCAATTTGCTTCCAAGATATAAACCTTCCACTTCCACTGATGTTTCAAAATACAATGAACATGACTCTGTAATATCTTCACTTGTAGCAAAATCTGTGCAAAAGGCTAAGGAGCATTTGAAAGGGGTAAATTGGGGGAAATATGAAAATGCTAGTTTGGTGCTAAGTGTTGAAGGTGATGTGGTACATCCAAATAATGGTGAACGCTATGGATTCCGATATTATCCTGAACCCATTTCAGTGCATGGTAAAGCTGATGTAACTGAGAGGCTTGCAGGAGTTGCTCCAAAAGAGTTATCATCAGGTGATCAAGTATTCTTTAATTATGTTAGTAAAATGCGCGACTTCCGTGATGGTGTGCGAAATCGACTTGGTGATGTGGACACTTATAGTTATAAACCAAGATATGACTCTAACTTATCAAAGACAATTTTAACACGCTTGCCACCACTGCAATCTGGACATCCATCTTATATACCCCAAACTACATTTAAAAAACGTCTGGAGGGAGGTTTGAGCCACCAAGTTGATGTCTTCTCTCTGCCTATGAGTGATCAAGCTTTACCCTCATCACTGCAACTGTCTACTAAACCAAAGTCTAATGAAAAGCATGATGGCTATTCACGCGAAGGCCCAGTCACAGTTCTTGATAGAATTTTAATAAAGGTAAATGTATTGGGTTCACAAATTCTGATCCGTTTCAATGCCTGCCCGCACGCCCGCATCCATTTAGTTTCCTAAAGACCTGCCTTCACCTTGTAGTAGCTTTCAATTAAACACCTTACCATGGTGTGTTTTAGATTCTAACAACAGCTTTTACTAGGTGAATGCATCTTGTAGTGCGCAGTACCGCGATGTAGTGTTTCTCTATTCTTATGGATGAGTGGACTAACTACTGTTAATGCAACACACAGCCTAGGCACTGTTAACTTATAATGACTCTAATTTTAACCCTTTAGTGCCAGAAAATGGCAGAAACAGGACGGTGGGTTGCCTGAATTATATATATGTATTCATATCTTTATATACATGTATAATGGGAACATGAAGGAACACTCAAAACACCAAAACATTTTTTTCTTTTTCTTTATTAGTAGCAATCTACTCTATTTTGATAGATTTTTAAGTTTCATTTCTTCTCCTGTAGTCATTAATGTGTGCATTACCTTCACAGTTTCCTTTGTAGATATCATGAACTTTGACCCTACCTTGACCTTGACCTCCCTCATACAGGTTAATACAGAGACCCATTCATCACCTAGAGCAGCAGTAGCTTCACTCAGAGCCAGAACACGGCCACAAACCCAACCACTTTCAGCTAGAAGGGTATCACCAGTACGCCAAGTCTATCAACAGGTAGAATTTGTCAGGGCATCTTCTGCTCCACCATTGGGTCAGCCAGTTGTTGTGTTTGCACAGCCGAGACAATCATGGGCAAGACGATCTCCCATATTTGTAAGAAATAGATCACCAAGTGTTGAAAGATCAAGAAGCGTAGATCGAGAATATGGTGCATTTGAATATTTGCATAGGCATCCAACTGCTCCAACAGCAATAAGAGAAGCTCTTGATAGCAGCAGACGACCAACAAAAGATGATCGTACAAATTATCTTGTTGCCAAATATGAGAGATCGATTCGAAATGCACAGCGTGCAATGTCTCCATCACATGTTTACGATTATGATGTAGCACCAACGAGATCTAGGGGTTATTATATATCGCCTGCCAATACTCGTCACTATCGTTACTACCCACGGCGGTACAGAATGCTTGATTATTATACTAGCCCACTAACAGCTCATAGGCATAATAATAGATTTTGGCGATTCTTGGGTGATACCAGTGAAAAATCACCTGTACCATACTATGAGTTAATGTACAACCCGCGATATCAGAATGAAGTAAATAGATTGCTTGAATCACTTGAGAGACCCAGAACTAGAAAAAGAAAACAAAGATCTCTCTATGTAAGCCAATTTGTGTAACGTTTGAATTTTCTCTTACTTGCTGCTTTGAGCATTTTGTTCAAATGTTCTGTTTCGACTGACACGATGCTATTTCATCTCCTAACTTAATTGCCAATCCAAATTCATGCTTTCATCCTATTTTACACCATACTTGTCAAGATATGAAATTAATATTATCATGCTTACTAAAAACCAAATTTAACTTTTACCTTTTTCTACATATTTAATATTGGTTTCACTGAATTATACTCATTCAAATTCATGATTTTAGAAATAATGTCTTGACTTGTATGGAACTTCATTTATAAGGCTTTCAATGTTTTCATTTTTTATTGAACCTATAAATATCAAGCTTATTGTTGCGAGGCCATTAAGGTTGTTGTTTCCTTCATGTTCAATACAGTGCCTGGGACTGTTTGTTGTTGACAGATCTTAATGCTTTTTTAAACATCTGTTTCTTATTTTATTTTGTTGAATTTTTATAGCATGCCATACTTTTCAAATGGCTGCCTCTGTATCAAAAACACCAAGCATGTAGTTATTGGTTATAAATGCTCAGCACAGTTTTGTTAGGCTGTTCAACAATTCAACCTAGCATGTGAATAAGTGGCCGACCAAAATAGAAGAAAAAATTTCAATTTAAAATCAGATATGCATGGAAAAATGAGAAGAAAAATTTGAAGGCATGTAAATGTTATTTTATTAACAATAAAGAGTAGTGGTAGGCGATATATAGAAAACTTCAAGACATTAGTTGAATTTGAAATTTACACTGTCAAAAATTACAGTCACAATTCCATTTTTTAATTTATTATTTTATTGGACCTATTTGGTTGGCCTCACCCACTGCAGCATTTTTACTAATCTTTTCATAAAGATCATAAAGTTGATTTGTAAATGCATTTGTAACGATAAAAATAATAAATATTTTATAATGTTTTATTATATATCATTAATTTAAAAAAGACAAAGTTCAGTAATTTTTCATATATTCTATACACGTTTTTTTTGTTTAATTGTCATATAAAGTAATGCTAAAAGGGTGAGGCTATTCACAAAATCTTCAAATACTGACCTAAATTTATGATTTTAATACAGGCTGCTATTGTTGCCAGTAAACTTGAAGATGAGCCTGGCACACGTCGTCGTAGGACACCAAGATCTAAATATGCCGCTGATAAATATCGGGCAACACACAAAGTAGGAGAGGTAAAGTCGAGCTTATGTTTGTGTCGGCAAAGTGCACACAATTTTCACTAACTATGTTACATGTCTAAGGCTTATAGTTTGATTGTAATAGGATGGCAAAATTATTGTATTTTTAGAAGTACTAATGTTATCAGTCAAGTCACTGTTTTTTGTTTACTGTATCAAGGTTTCATGAAAGAAAATATTTTTGGAAACTATTGCAATATCCTATCAATCAAACTATTAAGTTAAGAATATCTTCTTCAGAGGAACTACTAGCTATTTTCTGTTGTCAAATTTCTTATTCTAACATTCTTCCACAGTTCAAATGGAATGATTCATTGCTAACAATTCATTTCTTATGCTTTATTATTATAAACAATTTCATTAATATGTTTGTTTATTCATGTTTGATTTAAAGATTTTACCTTACAGAATGTATTTTGCTTGATAATGTTTAATCTTCATCGTCTGTTCAGAAGTTCAAACAGTAGTTATATGTCTGTAGCTATAGCTAACTATGAGCTTAAAGGGATGTAGATGTCTAATTATTTGCTTAATAAACTGATATCGGTCAAATTTAGCTATCTGTATCACTTTTCAGAATTAAAATCAAGGGTACTGTGGCTATATAAACTGTTATTACTTCCAGTTTGTTTAGTGAAGACGTCTAATCTTAACTGATTTTTTTTCCTCTGAAAGGTGATACAAATTAAATTGACCTCAATCTGCTGGTTATGCAAATATTTGAATTGTTTAATCCCTTTTTATAATATTTTTAATGTGTTGGCCATTAGCATGAAATTTTACATTTTGTATGAATAATTTGAAGAAATCAGCAAAAACATACATAAAATATTACTTGACTTTCTAATTTTACTATTTAAAATGTTTTTTGAATGGTAGGCTTCAATGCTGAACTCATTTGTTTTTTTTTTTCAAAGGATTTAAATTCCAAATGTGAATGCCTATCTGTTTGTTATTGTGTTACTTGTAATGTAATATGCTATGTTAATTATGAATATAGGAGTACTTCTTACATAGGGTTCAGTAACTGTAATTATGAAATTTTAAAATTATCACAAATCACGAAAACTCGTGAATCAGTGTACGAAGTGCTTCAAATTTTTACAAAAAATCCCATAATGTAAGTGTACATCTATATCACTTTTATGTATATTTTTCTCTATTTTGTGCATGGTAAGTTTTGACACTTTAATTATTCATTTGAATTGTTCCACTTGAATTGTCCCATTCCCACTATAAGACTTCAGATATAACTCCCACCATAACCTATTTCTTTCATTATGCCCAGCAATAAACGGTTAGGGATTTTTCCTATGTATTTTTCATTCTAAAATCCCTTATACCTTGATGTTAGAATAAATTGGCAACAGAAAATAGGCAGTAATGAAAGTTGAGATATTTATAAAAGAATACGATACATCCCACCTTATTTTTTCAATGTTTCAGAATCCACTTTATTATAGCCCTGATCCTCATACTGCAGGACTAACAGCATCAAGAGGAACCGTGGTATGTATTTGTCAAATTTCTCTCATAAAATGTGATGAGTGTGCTGCCTGTGGTTGATATAATAATATTAAGAGTTTTAGAGCAATCTACCAAATATCTGAACATTTTAGGAACCATCAGATACAAATTTTATAATACATTTTATCCAAAATAGGATATATGAAATATATTTATGATCAGCGTTGTTTAATCCCATAGATAATTTCCTTATCATTATCACAGTTATCAACCCTCATACCATCCTGAAATCCACAAATTTTATTTCTTTCTTTACTCCCTGGTACATCTCATACAGATCAATTTGGTCTGGTGAATAATTTATAATTTTTTGAGCAAAATCAAATTTTGATATTATAACACGGCAGTTGAAATGATTATGTCATTGTTTACAAGAAATAAGATTAGAAAATGCTTGATATTCACCAGAAAGAAAACAGTATGTATGAGTTACTCCAGGGTTATAAGTTAGTATACAAAGTACGGTATTGGAATCATACAATCATAGTTACCTTCAATATCTTATCCTGTATAACCTCAATCATCCTGTAAATAACCACTAGAAACCCATTTTTATAGCAAAGAGTAACGGAAAGAAAGGCTGTACGTGACTCTGAAGGCAATTTTACCAAACCCAAGAATATTCTTTCATGGCAGGTATGTATAGTGTAACACCACTAACAAAACCTAGTCTACATACTTACTTTGTCTTATCCAGCCTGTTTCATCACTATTTCTCATTAGATTGTTATCAGTTGTAATAGTCATGTCGAGAACAGTTGCTCTAAAGCTTTGCCTCAAAATGTTTTATCAAAGTTATTGCCTGAAAATGAAGATGTTGATATTTTGTTGTTAAAGCTGCTTAAATATATAGTTTCAGCTCGACAGATATTCTGCTTTTCTTTACTATATAACCTTATTTCTGCTTCTAATTATTTATTTATCTAAATATAGCATAGACTTGTTATGCACTTTTCATTTTGGTGGGTCTAACATACAAATACAATGCTAAAAATTTCAATATAATAGTTCAACAGAATTGAGCTATTTGGATTTGTATGTTTTCTCCATTTATGGTAGTGCTGTTTTATCTGTTGCTTTCTGTTCCTTTCTCATTTACAATTCTTGCAATTAACACAATTTAGCAAATGATACAAAAAGACATATTTCTTGCTCTTAAAATTACCAAATTTTGAATTGAACATTAATTAAACCTGATAACAAATTAAATTTTCTTTGATACCATTATAAAAGCAATTTTAATTCAATATCTTACTAAATTAGTGAGAAAATAGCAAGAAAATGTCTTTTGGTATCAAAAACTAAAAAAAGAACAAATATAAAGCCATTATGTTACCATGACATTAGTATCGACTGGATTCTCGAATACCACCTGAGGAAGTTTTATATCGACCCACAACTTTCAATCGAATGAGAGAAAGGCTGCACGAAGCTCAGGATAAAATGGATCGACATCGTCAACTATTGGATAGATATATACCTGAAGAAGGTACTAGTGAATCTATAGAAAGTAGAGTTAACAGAAAATTAAATGAATTGGAGCAACGTGATTCGTAAGTAATATTTTATCTTCTTTTATCTTATTTTCTCATATGAGGTGAATCTCTCCAAGTTTGATAAACACCTCTATATTATCAATGTCATTGAAGGTTATATAAGTAGGCTATCATATAATATAGGAATACACTGAAAATGGTAAACCACCTTACTCTTTGACATATTTCCATCTTTCTGATATGAAATTGAAACCCACCTTAATTTTCAGAAAGTGTAATTAATCATCAAGCAATTTGGAGAGATTCCAATTCATTTTAACTTTTCAATAATTTGACCCTGCAGGCAAAAAGAAACTTAAATAGTTGATTTGTTAAACTATGTAAATGAAAAAATCTAAAATTCTATTCTGAATTTGTTTTAATTTAGTGCATGGCTATGTTTTGTTTTATCTTATTTTAACTTTTTATTTGCTTTCATATTTTCTATTCTAGAATAGCTTTTAGATTCCCTCTGTTTATGAGTTTATTAATTCTTCTCTGTTTATTTTGAATTGTTTCTAAAATCTTTATGTATATTTACAAATGAAAAAAGAAGGATGAAATGATTTTCACAAAAAAAAAACCTATTTTCTGTCAAATTCTTTTTGTTTTTATCATTTCTAGATTCTCAATAATCATTTATCCTGTAGTTTATTTATTTATTTTTTTTCCTCTTTGCTACTTGCTTTTGCTTTTCAACATCCCTGGTTCAGAATTTTTCCTTATTATTTACTGGGATGAAAAGAAATATACTATCCATATTGATACATTTCAATGTCCACATAAATGTTGTTTGAATTTGAATTTATGATAAGATTATAATATTAGGCCACATACTTTATTGTGAGTTAAAAAAAATCAATTCTATACTGTTATAAAATTTGATATATCAAACTTGAATATTCCAAGAAATTGCATGAATCATCAGAATTAGACTGTTTACTTCTCATCTTGCCAACATCACACTTCCTTAAAATGCTAAGTGTGAGATAAGTCGGCTTCAATATGGCTTAATGCCAGGTATATAAAATAAGAAGGTATAGGTAACATAATATGTCTACTAGTTACCATGACAACTAGAGGTTGAATACCTGCCCATATGATGATTTGATATGATGCCAAATAATCAGCATTCTTCTATATAGTGATCTTAGAACACTGATATTGTTACTCTTACAAAACTATCTTAACATTTCTCTTTGTGTCCTGCTATCCATTTTAAAAAAAACCTACAAATAATATTTTGTAAACATAGGAATCCCTGAAATTTTTTGCCAATAATGAAACTAAATGGTTTCACAGCGAATTCTAGAAATTGGAGGAAACATACCAAATTAACATAAATATCAAATTGTAGCCCTAGTTTAGAATTAAAATCTAAATTTTACTTTATCCGGAATGATTCCCATTTATCAGACCATTTTATTTTTCCATTTCTTATCTTCCCTTACCCTTATATTCCTGGTATTTGTGCATCATGCTTTGATTAAAATGACTTTTTTCTGACACTTAGCTCTTACAGGTCTGGAGGCAGTAAAGCATCGGTAGGCTCATACACACCTTTTGATTACTACGTAAGTTTGCTGCATGTGCTTTTTACTAATGCTGTGCTCTTTACAGTCCAATATTTTAGACCTATTTTTAAAAATACAATCAATAAATGAAAGAAAAATATCTATCATTATATAAATACTATATATTACTTAACATATGTGGTCAATTTAATAGGGAAGTAATGTAAAATCTATTTGATGTTACGAGAATGCACATAATATTGAGAAGAAATTAAGTTTTAGTGCAGTTTCATGGTTATGACCTAGTTTTAGTGAAGGTTTTGGTAATGACCAAAGGTATAAGAAACTGAAGAATTCATTTTAAGAAAAGAATTTTATTGGTATTGAATTTGATATTGTTGACTTGTCTATTGCTTCCAAACCTGCAGCTTTGGGTATTCAAGATGATGTTGTATAGCTCAGAAGCTTGCTTTATGTTTTAGAAATTGAAACTTTTCAATTGCTTTCAGAACAGTCAATTTTCATGAAATTTAGAATTATTCTGCGGTAAAATTGCATGCTAAAACAATCTCTGTATGGATTATTTAAATATTTTCTAATCTATATGCTTAAATGGAATTTTGTAAGTGTTAGATGACTCTCTTAGAATTTATGCTCTGCAATTTATTTCTATTTTAACAAATTGCTCTGTTTAAGGCTGCTGCGCTTTGAAAACAAGAATAAAATATTCATACTTTAGTTTTTAATCATTTATTTTATTGGAATTATTGGTATTTGTCCATTACTGAACTCAAATTTATGCTAATATTGCAAATTGCAATGTCAGACTTTATAAAAGTCATATTCCTTTATGGATTATTGGTATAAAAATAAAATAACACAATATTATAGAGTGTTATTCTTGTTTTCAATACTTAATAAACTATGCTATATTACTTTTATATTAACATAAAATAAATCAAAAACAATGAAAATCTATTTCTTTTCTATATAATTCTTTCTATATGTTAGATTTAAAAATGCATGAAGTAGAAATCTGAGTAAATTTAGTTAATATTATATCCTATTTTTACATAAAATAGAAGGTGCAGAAACCAAATTTTCTTTTTAAATTTATAATGATAATGATATTAGTATAAGTATTCTATTTTCAATATTTTTATAAAAAGACTAAATGCTCAAAATGTGTAGATTTGATAAATTCTTTAGCTATTCACCTTTATTGTGTTATTAGAATCTTCATATTTTGAGCAAATAAATTATTTTGTTCCATTTTCATCACTTCATCACAGAGTTATCAATTAACCAATGATTTCCGTTCCTAGGGACCAAGCGGACCTCCAGTTTCTGAAACGAGAAGACGAATTCGCAGGGTGCTTAATGGTACTAGACGATAAATGATATGAAAGGGAGGGTATGTATCCCTCAAGTTTTTCTCCTTGTGAAGTGAATCAAAAACCCTTGAAGTAGCACTTGATGTCCTATCTCTCTCCTGACCTCTCACCTGTCTCATGATGATGTCATAAAACCCTATAATTTGTCAATATGAATATAGAGTGTTTATAGTGACTTGTAATAGATCTAGATGACTGCCCAGTAGCATCTCAGTCATTGTTTGTGTTGTGAACATTATGACCTCTTTTTTCTTATTTTAGTCAGGTTTTAGATGTAGAATAAGTAATGCTGTTTAATACAGTTCAGTTATAGTTTGCTTGTTCTTAACTTTGAAAAAAACAGTGATGAGCTAGTAGAGACATTTTGATGTACATTCTACTCAAGCCACAGTTTTGGATGTCACCTTTTGACATTTGACATACCGCTACTATTATCAGTATTAGTTTGTACAGTTTATATAGTTTGTTGAAGTACTGTTTTTATCATAAAGGGAAAGAATTAATTTCTGTAATTTTATTCCTGATTAAATTGTATATTCAGACCATAATGCAATGGAAGTTATGAAGGAAAATTAAATAATTCAAATTCTAGGTATTTAATTACCGCAAAACTTTACATATTGTAAAATAGCAATCTTAATACCACAGCTTGATAGTGTAACTTCGTGTTTGTGACATCAATATGACTTAGAGGCTTTTTTCAGTGGGTGTCATTGAGCTCTTAAGTTACAGATCTGTTCTTGTCACTGGTTGATTGTGAAGGTTTCTGTATAGGTTTTCTGTCTGTTGTCATGAGGATTATCTATATAGATTATTATTGCAGTGGTTAGCTTTATTTAGAATAGATATCTTCCTAGTCATGATCATCACATTATAATTTTACCTTCTATTTCAGTCTTCTCTCTCATTTGATGTAATTTATAACTACAATATTTTAGTTTTTTACAGAGACTTATTGTTTCATTGAAGAACAGACAAAACTGTGGTAAAACATGTGGCTCCAAATATTTGTTAATTTACAAAATTTTAAAATGCAATTTCAAAACTTTTTGGCAAATTTTTTCAAAATTCTGCGCTTTGTATTTTCATGTTATCACTTGCTTGCTTTGATATTTTGCTTTGTTGCTTTGTTTTCATACTGCCAATGTTCTCCACATGAACTTGACAAGCTTTCAGCTATTTAATTGTTTTACTAAATCATCTTTTTTTCTATTTTTTCTAATATATTTCATATATCAATAAATGATTATTGTATTAAGTAAATATTTTGATCTAAGAATCAGAATTTATTAAGGGATACAACAGCAGTAATTATAACAATAAAGCTTTAAAATTTAGACACATGAAAAATCCCTGAAGCTTTTGAATGCCTTAAATATACATGTATATATATCATCAGAAACTAGAAATGCACCTCAATTGGATATTTATTGGTAGAATATATTTGTGATTATTACCATTCAAACCATTTGGCATCTGTATTACTTTATAAATTAAATTTCAGTGATATACATCTTTCAAAAATATTTTGTCATTGGTTTTTTATATTTTTGACAATTTTACTGAATCTAAATTAAACAGTGCCAAATGCTCCTTATATTGCAGAATTTAGTGTTGTATGTAGTTTATTAATGTGTTATTATCCTTTATATTTTTCAGAGATATTAAGTAAAGAGAGGTAGAGTTGAGCTTCATTAGCCAGCCAGCCACAGTCACGCCAAGCTTCAACAGCATCAAGCTATCAGTTCAAGCTAAATTGCCTTTCAACTTTTAAATACTATTGTTAATTGTAAAGCTTTATATATGTAGCTAATATTATCTAAATGTTACAGTAGATCTGAAGAAGAACAATACTTTATTATAATTTTATTTGTCGACTCTCCTCTTTTTATAAGTTTTCCTCCATTTTTTCTGGTCTCTATTTTTTTCGATTTCCTTTGATTTAAATTTGTAAATCCAGCCAAAATGGTGTTTAAATTACCACAAAATTGTGTGATATCAATCCTATCGTGTTCAATAGATAGCAATTTAGTCTGATCTACCCAATGTATATTTGACACCCTGGCAACATTCGTTGATCGATAACTGTCTAATGGTTTTTAAAAGTTTGAAATTTGGAGGAAAGAGATTCATCTGAATTATAAATTGTTACTTTTGTATATAGAATGAACTCTAATTATCACTGGTTAAAACAAAAGACTGGGTAAAAATTTGCCATTTGATTTAATTTTTAGATTAAAGATAAATTAATTGTACATATAAATAATAATGAATACCTAATTATTTGTAAAATATTTTTTGAAGTAATTTGTAATATTTTGTGTTTCTCTAATTGTATCTAAGCTGACTTTCTCCATGTTGTTTAGAGCAAGGGATATTAAAGGGCTATGTGCAATATTTATGACCTCTGAGGTTCAATCCCAGTTCTCTGTTCTATTTTTCCTGGCTTATATAAGAATTGTGCGGTTTGTTTTCTTGACAGGGTCAGACAGGTGTGAGTCTAGCAAAACTCTACCCAATGTAATAATCAATGACCCATCACAAGATTGAGTTGAATAAAAAAAAATTGTCATCTAATATTTGTGTTGTGTTTTAACCACCACTGAAGGAGCACGCTTACTTGTCCATTTGCAGAAAAAAAGTAAGGTGCCATTTATCCTCAATTTGCTGAACTATAACATGCTTACTTGATGTTTCATACCGCCACAGACTTTGTTCACGGAATGTGAATGTATATTGTTAGAGAAGAGAAATGCAGTAATTATTCCAGAAGGATCAGACATCATGTGTGTTCATTACAATGTTATATTTTCTAGGGGGCAAAAAACTTAATCTTTAAGAAAGTATATTATACATGTACACATACTATGGCAGAAATGCTGTATTAGATTCACTACATTGAAAGATAGATGACCCGCAGTTGTGTCTTGAATTGTATTTGGTCTCTTTCCTATGAGAAGGAAGACAAATAGCAGTTTTATCAGTCAAGTATTGGAAGTAATCTACGTTGATAGGTCATATAAAATATATGAATACTCAATGTAACTCACATAATTAGGGAAAACCCCAAATATCTTCTTACACAGCAACTAAGAAATATTCCAGATATTGAACATATGAATTATTTGGTAGTCTGTTCACAGTACAAAATTATTAACAACTGATGCAGACTTGACCAATGCTTAAGGCTTTAACAACCTGACTATTTACCTGCCATGTGAAGCTGGAGTTAACCATAATTACATTCTGTTAATAACTGGCTTATATGATTACATGTATGAAATGCACAATAGATATAGATAAATACAAGTACAGGGATTGTATAATTCATGGATTCAGCATTGTATTTTTATTTCATATACTGAAAACAATTATACATACCTTAACAAATAATCCAGGTAAAACCAGTCATATTTATCCACCAACATATAAAGGGAAGCAACCATTATACTAACTTGACAATGTTTTCACTCAAAATATCTTGACAATAAATTTTAAAAAAGCTTACCACATAATTCTATTGTTATGAGTGGCACCTAGGTATTGTTCCACATCAACATAAATAGTTTAATTCTCAAAGTAAAGTTTATAATATATATCATCAATCATAAAGATAATTCCAAGCCAAAACGGAGAATTACTGATTAAAACTCAACAAGCCAGACCTGTAAATTCTACTTAGCCTGCCCAAAATAATATAAATTGATTGGAGCTCCACAAATCACAAAGGTGAATTCAAGAGCTAATATGTCTACTAATGTATATTTTTATGACAAAAGATTCAGGTTGAATCAAAAATGCTGTAAGTGGAGTTTCTTTTACATTCCAGACTATTAAATACATAACCCAGATTTACAAAATATGTTTTGTTCACAAAGAAATACTAAATATACCAAGTCGCAAAATAATACAACATTTTAATAGTATGAAGGGAATTTATTCATAAAGTCTAAATGATAAAATGATATGATTTGTGACAATAAATAACTTATGTCTATCATCCATTTTTTCTTTACAGCTAATCATTTAATATTTATATTGTGCTGTACTGACCTTATTAGACAAACACATCAAAACCTTCTTCACTGACTTCCATTCTGAATAACATGATAAATAGTTTGGTGTTTCTAATTTAGATATAAGTAATCTATCTTAGTAAATTTTAAAGGTATTGTAAAGAGTTTTTCCAAACATATAGCATTGATTTACTCCATTCCAATTTTCAATCAGATGTCTGTGGGTCTTGTAATTCCACTAACCACTTTATCACATAGCTATCGCAAATGCCTTTAGATATATTAGTGGTGTAAGAATACGATTATGCATTTGTATAATTACAAAACTTTGCTAGATACAAATCGAAGCTACTAGACTACCTGATAAACATAAAAAGTTCAGCAAAACAACTCACAATCCCTTTAATATCATATAACTGAAGTCATTGCACAAAATATATTACACTTTTTGTAAAGTCAACTATTGTGAAATCTATATTCTGACAAAAAAATTATGGAACCTTATTCGCTATTAATTGTAAAAGATTTTATGCAACATTTCTCCCAAAAACTCCAATAGTAGTTCCATAAAGTCCTGTCAAAATATTGAACATGTAATTTCAATTCCTAAATGTAATTTTAAGACTGCTGTGAAATATATTTTACCAAAATCAAATTTCATGGGGCTTTTTACATAGGAATTCGAGGGTGGAGACTTAAATTTATGGATTTCAACTTTTTCCAGAGTATTTTGGTATATGTATGAAGTTATGACAATTGAGTCATTTAGTAATCTATGTAAAACATATGTAATATCAAATCTGGTATTATTCCTCCTACTACAACTAACTACAGTATATTATTATAGGGTGCTCTTATATTCCTATCATATAATATTAATAATGAGTAGTCACTTGACAATAAACAATGTATTAACAGGCTTTAAAGAAATAAGGTAGTCTAAATATTTGTATTACTAGCTGACACAGCTCCATTTCAGCCATTCATATCATTAAATTTGTTCTGTTGTCAATATGATTTTTAAGTCATCAACATATATGATTTTTAGTTAAAAAGACCAAGCTTTTGATCTAGGGACGATGCCATACAGGACCTTACAGAGGCATTACCACTAACTGTGAACACATTAATATTTGATACTTTAAACTGAAAGTTAAGTGAACGAAAGTACAACAAGAGATTAAAATATATAAAATAAATATGTTAAAAATGTTTTTGGATATATTTGATGCTAAGAAACATCAGTTAAATCAATTTCACTGTCATCATCATCATTTTCATCATCATCATTACCTTGTAAGGGAAATGATTTTAAACTGGAAGACCGACTTTTAACTAAACAAGGTTGACTACTTCGCTTTAATCTGAAATAGAGGATTTGAAAGCATAGATTACCAACTAAAGTCCAAAACAAAAAACATTACAATATTCAATATTACATCTAATACTGATAAAGAATCACAGTCATTATCATTATGAGGTTATTGCTTCCAGATATAACAGAAAGAGATTTTTTCTATCAATAGGCCAGGTTCATCTTATATGTAGAAAAAAAGAGTACGTAATTAAGAGTACTAATTAATATTGATGAAGTTTCTTACCTTGACTGTAAGTGCTCATTTTGTACCTGAAGATTTTCAACTTGCGCTTGAAGTTCATCATTAGTTCGCTGTAATTTACGTACGTTATTAGCTTGTATATCAACCTAAAAATAAAAAGAAACAAATCTCAACATCAAAACAAGGACAAGAAATACAGATACATGATGATATATGTAAATGACAGAAAAACTTGAATTGGGTATTGATCAATTACATGAAAACCTCAGAATAGAGCAAGATGCTGCTCATAAATTTGATAAACCCTTCCCTGATCCTTTAATGATTGTATTTTGATAAAGATGTTAAATAGGGAAGTTACAATGAAAACCATTTCTCAAGCATACAAGTTATTTGTAACAAATCTGAATGATGCCACACACAGTTTTATTCTGTTTTGAAATTTTTGGTCAAAGATTAAGTTCAATACAAAAGTATTAAAAATCTTACCTCGTCCTCTGAATTGGCTAAATCTTTTTTCAATTCTTCGATTCTAGAACGTAACTTTTTAACTTCTAATTCATATTGTTCTGTTCGACGTTTAGTGTGATCTAATTCTGTTAATTTATCTTGATAGGTTTTCTTTATCTTGGTATGAATATGTCTTAAATCATTCAATTCCTACAACAAAAAAACATTAATTATATAATAAGTCAAGAGCAATAACCCAAAGAATCTACACAAACTGACTTTCCTCCTTTAATATCTGATAAACTGTCAGCTCTGTTTGCAATTGAAATAAATTATGTTATCTTTTACAGTTAACTAAATAGGACAGCATTAAAAATATACTATAAAATGTAGGGTAAATGAACAATCCCTAACTATAAGTTATATTTACCTTGTGTTTTTCAGATAATTCCATCTGTAAAGATTTCATGTCAGAATCCATAACAGCCGAGACATGCTGATTCTTTCTGTCTAATTGTTCTTGTAAATCTTCTGCTTGGCTTCGTAACTTTTTATTTTCTCTCTCTAATGCTAATTTTTCTGTTTCTAATCTTTCACGTTTTGCCCATTCTGAGGCATTTTCTGACTGCAATCTTTCCAACTGTACAAAAATAAACATAATGCATTAAATATCAAGACATTTTTATTGATCTTGTTGGTCTAATACAAACAGTTTATTCATAGAAAAAAAAATGCAATGTAACATTACTTACATAATGCACATCTTTCAAACCAAAATGAGATTCCCTTCTTGTGAGCCACTTTGATACATGGAATAAATTTGTTGAGTACTTGTACTTTTTTGTCCCAAATTTTGAACCAACTAGACACACTTCTAACAGGCAGCCCCCCTACCCCCCAAGAAAAAAAATTATATAATCAGCATTACAATACATACAGTATACTAATGGATTATTTCACTGAACAAAGTGAAAACAAACCTCTCTTCGCAGATCAGCTATTTTCTTATCTAAACCTGAACGACTAGCATTTTCTTCTTCAAGTTCTTGACATATTCTGGTTATTTCATCTTTATGAGAGTCTTTAAGTTTACAAACCTGAAAACACATTTGTTACATTCGAATTAACGTCTATATCAATATCATTTAGAGAAAATTTCACAATATTTCTGAAAATATGATAGGTAATTATTATCATTATTATCATTAATCTTAATTAACAACCTAGTTTATTGTCTGTTTACTTGTATAAGTGCAATAATTTGGTTAAGATATTTGATGACATCTGATTGACAAGACTGGCAGAAAATATACCTGTTTGAAACTGCAGGACTCTTACTTAGAAAAAATATTAAAATATTAAAAAATCAATACACATTCTGACAAAAAAATAAAAATTTTTACATAACAATACATGCTACATGCTATTTACATAGAACATTCCTCTTTAACATTTTAATATAATAATAGTCTATTTCTTCATGCATCAACTAAAGTAGGGTAATGATGTAAACCCCATTCAACCACATAGTACCTCTACAGCGGTTACTGTTGC